AGGCAACATATGCCACTCCCCTTTTCTTATCTTTCTTTATAGCAAAGTACCATAAGAAACGCACGTAGTCTCGGGGCATCAGACATATCATGCGCACATTTCGTATCACACGTGTGTTCGTGTCTATTCAGCATCTTCATTCAGAATGGGCCCTAGCTTAAGGTCCCGCTTGCTTTCATATATGTAAGCTGCTTTGCTCGTTGTTATGAGGAAAGGCAGCCACTAATTTATTTATTTACTTTATTCGCCCTCTTACTCTTACCTGTCTCTCCCATCGCCCCACATCTGACTCGCGAGAGTCTGATTGCATTTCATCTGTCTGCATTGACCAGGTCTCGTAACAACTGCTCTTCTACAACTTAACTGGACATTATCGCCTCTACGGTAAGCATGAATCCCACACCAGGGGATTGATTTTGAATTGATAATCCAACTGCGTGCCAAATGAAGAATCAATGTGGTCAGGAACCGTGATACGTAAGCAACGGGACACCAGGTGCCCAGATCTGCCAAACTCCCCAGGTCCACGCCGCGCAGCTGTGGGTCGAGATCAACGGAATATCAAGTTCTTCTACGCAAGCAACAAGCTTTTTTTTTTTTTTTTTTTGCTACTTCAAGTCTAGCCCAGATTTTTTTTTTCTTTTTTCATATCGGATGAATAGGTATATCACGTTCCTTCAAGGGACGAACGCAGAGAATCTAAAACTGCTCGAGATACCAAGTCATGCATAGTCGCCTCGATGGGGAAGCACCTGTGATAAAAGTGGGTCTCATCAAGCGCAAAAGTTGAATGCATTTGTCTACACCCGTCCCAGGCGTGCACTGAGCTGAGCACACGCAAACAGGCCGGTCATCGGCCGTGCCAGACTGCCATCGACACGTTCAAGTTGTAATCACACGTGGAACCGAGTCCCCATACATACAATTCATACGTTTATCACACACAAACTATCTTAATAATCATACTTGCTTTGTCTCTCGCGTGCTTATTTGCACACGCACACGTTGTTACCATTGCAGTAACCACCTGGCTTGCCAACCGTAGCGCAGCTGGCCTTGCAGCAAAGACCGCCACCGTTGAAGCCTCCGATGTTGCAAGCAGAGCAAGAGACACGGCTCACGGAGGGTCCGTTGTGCACCTCGAGAGAATCGTCGTCAGACATCAGCAACTTGCCACCGAAGAAGTCCTCAGCACTCTTGAGGTCTTCCTCCTGCGTGTGCGTCTCTTCACCGCGCTTGGTTGAAGCGCCACAGCAGCACTGGCCGTTGGAGTACGATCCACCGTGGTGGCCACGAACACTGCATTCAGCAGCACAGGTCGAGCCAAGGAAGCTTGGGCGTCCGAAGCACAGCGACGACGCCGACACGACCGAGAACAACATGGCCACGAGGGAGAGGACAATGGCAACGCGCATCTTTGAAGATCTTTGTTGGTGGTAGTACTGAAGAGGCATCATTCTTCTTTATATACCTTTTCGCAGCTCGCTATGGCTCCCCGTTCGGTCCGCTGACATACTGTATATGCATCTGATCGTAATTAGCATCGCCCAGGTGGGCATCGACCTTGCACGTTGTGAATGCGGGGAAGGTGCATGTCATTTTGATGACCAATCACCGCTCGCTTCGCTATAATGGGATTTAGCCAAGACCTGGGTTATCGCACGTGTCCCCAGTCGCCGCAACTCCGGCGTCGACACATGTCTTGGCATTGCGTCCTCGTTTCTTGCTTTCAATGATACTAAGCTATGGGACTCTGCTTACGGTTCGATTATATCAATCTACGAATCAGGCATGCCAATATAATGTAGGGTTGCAATGTCGGCCCATGCAGGGTCTTTAGCTCGCTCGAAATTCTGCAGCGTTGTATCCCGTGTTCTATTCGCGTACAAGTGCGTTGCCCCCGGGCATCCATGCCATTTGATGCATAAATGTTGCGTACTCAGAATTGAGCGGGCGTCTTTTGAAATCATTGAATAAGCTAAATTGACGTTTTGACTATGTTTCATGCGCCCACGTACATAGAAACAAATCTCTCACCAGCATATACCATTCGAGCCATATATTTCACCTCAGTAGGATGACACCTGATTACATCATGACAACGAACGTCTATCGTAATGTACACACTAGTCGAGGTTTTGCCCCAGCAGCCAATGCACGTGGGAGATGTCTCATGCGACAAGTGGGGGATTTAGGTCTAAGCCCGACGGCATCAGACGTATCATTTACTTAAATACCTGGCTGTGCGACTAGGCGTGTGTCGTAGCGTTAGTACGGATCTTTGAACCTTCCAGCTTTTCTCTGCAGGTACACTTGTACATAAGATCAATAAGATATGCGCTTGTTAGGAAACTTGCACCACAAACCACTAGATTCCCTGTTACTAGTCTTGTCAGTTGCATTTGTTATGCCTGTTGTAGCTGAACTCCGAGTCGACGTTGCAAATCACAGCAATATCTACAACATTCTTATTGATTCATGAAAAGTACTTCTTTACAAGTCTTTGTATTTTGTTTCTCGCGTATGGCTCATGCAACATATCATATGCAATTATGCTCTTATGTTCTAGTTGATAATGAGAAATATAAGACCGCTCTTGAGCCTGAACTGCGGTTTTTTCAGATATCTCTCTTTGCTAACAGGAAGAGACGATCGAACGTGATGAGCATAAGTATGTATTCGCATCTCAGTACGGGCGGTCACAGTAATCAACTCTCCAACTGACACAACAAATACGCCAGAGGGCATTCTCGATGCTTTACCAGCTTAACATTGCCTCATACTGTCGATGTGCTCTAATACTTCTTCGTCAATACCTGAAATTGCATAACACCATGAACTGTCTACTCGCAAGAAGATCCACCTCCTGGACTGCTTATGATCTTACGGGAAAAATTCACAAAAGCCTGATTAACGCTGTACTTTTCATTTACCTCGAACCAGACTTCTTCATTATCCACGATATCATGGTTTGGAGCCCTCAATATCTTCAGCACTTCAACCTTTCCTGTTTCTGATCCCATACTTTTCGTGCTAAACTAGACTGTTATAACACTTTTCGGCTTGACGTGAATCAACTATGAGTCATTTTTCTTCAACGTCCATTTTCTCCACAGGGGTCTGAGCCGGATGTGGGCCAATCACGCACCCTCGCCATTCGGTCACGAAGCCAAGCGGGTCTACATGCGCTAAGACAATGACCAGCAGCTGCATATAACAGCACTTGGCTTCTTACTACCTGATGCTTATCTCGGTCGATTATAGCGGCGATATGTAACAAAAATCCCGTGGGAAAGCAGCCTTGATCCTGTTTTTCGTGATAACAGCGCTACTTCCATGTAAAGGTTTTTTTTTTTTTGAGCTTGCCCTTCACCATATTTTGTAGTGACTTTATAATCATGGATCGCTAATTCCTAATGCATCATCAGTCTATTCGTACTTAAATGGATCCTAGACAAGTATTCGGCAAAATGCCATCACACTTTGACGCAGAAGGAGAAAGAATGCTAACATGATGAATTGCCAGCAGCTCGTGGTTTTGTGTGAGCCTTGCAAACTAGAAAAATAGTATGGTATGTTTCAAACGGGCTGGCATCACGCATTCCTCGCACAAAAATCACTACGGGCTTTTACGTAAAAGTGCGTTGGCTGGCGGTTCTTCCTAGGGTGTGTATCCTACATGATCACCACATGGAATACCCGATGTCACTGGGTTCTCGTCACGCCAAAAAACGCGATGATGTACTCTATATGCTCATGTGCCATGCACAATTTCATCATTTCACATTCACGTGTCATATACGTCGTCTATATTGACATCATCAGGCCTAGCCTAAAAGAGTTAGGCACTAGCCTTCATATTGGATTTGTTCAGGAACCCCTGTGGCCAATGAATAAACTGCTTAAATCAGCCCAGAGGTTCACCCGAGAAACGACCTTCCAGGTAAGCATGGGATCCGTGTCATGTCGGATTCTTCGAGTAGGGCTTTTTCATGTCGAAACAGTTGGTACTCGCACAGTACTGAAGGGGGGCGCACTAGTTGCCTGTTTTGTGATTTGTCTCAGCTCAAATTCGTGGCGCAAGAGTACTGAGGATTGGCAGCAGTCATTCTCTCGCACCTGCCCACTCTGTTGTACAACCTATACCGTGTTTACATCCTATAATACAAGTATATTATTCTACATTCAAATAGGTGTAAGACGGAAGAGAGGCCTTGCCCCTGACCCTCCCTCATTGAATGGCTGCTCCTGCACGTGGTAGTACTTAATACTCGGTTCCTTGTGCGCTTGTACACTGTCTGGGCTGCTCTGTGAAGAGAGGAATCTCTTGTCCTTGCCCCATGAGACGAACCGTCCTGTAAGTCGAAACGCCAATACAAGCGTCTCGGCGAGTGCACGCTAGCAACCCATCCAATTACCACTGGCCTCTCCTCGCTGCTTACTCCTCAATCAACTCCACCTCCCAGTTCATCTTTTGGATCTGTGTATCAAGTTTTCGGTACTCCCCAGCCAGTTTATCCACCTTTTTTTGCATCTCTCTTACGTCGACCACGCTTACATACTTGATCTCACTTCGTGTGTATCGGTCTTGTGAAGTACTGGCCCTCGTTGCCACATCTGAATACAGCTTCCGTCGCTTGAGTGCCATGTCTCGAAATGCGATCGCATCTGTGAGCGTGTGCTTCTCATCAAACATGGTTACTGTGTTCGTTTTGTTCACGCTCCGGATCAGCCAATCCATTCGGTCTATGATGGCATTTGCCGTAGTCAAGAGCTCTTCTGGGTCTTCCACCGGCTCGTCTCCTTCTTGTACGCGCACGACTCGTAGCAGCCGTTGCATCAGCTGCTCATATCGTCGCTGCGCCTCGGCTCGCTCTGCTAATGCCTCAGCCAGCAGCATGAGGGAGGATGCAACCTTGCGGCACCTCTTTATATCTTGAGTGTCGGGTCTTTGACTCGTGCACTCTCACCATTCGAAACGAAACCAAAGTTTATGCATGCAGCTCTATTTTGACATGTGCCCTGGCCACCCATAATAGGCCCTAGCCGCAATGACTCATTTTCACGTGATATCGTTTTTCCGCTCGCATTCTTCTCGTGCACTTCGTCGCATGGGCATTCTCCGGCACAGTGTTTCAGCCACTTGAGGGTAATCTCCTGACCAATGGCTGAATCCCAACACACTTTATACCAGTTCTCTAATGCATTCTCCATTCGAACGGTCTAATTTTGTGCACTTCTCTTTGTCAAACCGGCAAGTTAGTCCGCACGTCATTGCTTGCTGTCGTATTGCATTGACCCTCTTGATTGTAGGGATCCTTTGCCCATGTCCCCCTGGCTATCGTACATCTACTAGCGCAATTCCGTGCGCTTGGCCATCCCCAACTTGCCTTGGCCTCATGGCTATTCTTCACTCGTTTTTCCAGTGTCTCGTTGCTTCCTCTATACCCTAAATGTGTATTCCTCCACTCATCTATCCCACATCTTGCCTACCCCTGTTGAATCGAAATTGGCCAAATTCTTATGTATACCAATTGCTCTGAACATCGTGAACATGCTATTCATTATCGAGCCACATAACATATCCACACGTAGGCATATACAGTGATATTTTGTATATATCTTTTCTCAATCCCTCCTATCCCTTCTTTCCTCGTTCTTCGGTGATATTCATCGTCCCTCGCACACTGGCGCTACATCACCTTCTTCCTTTATGCCTTCCTGCTTCTTTGTCACTGTCTTTCGCCATTGCATTTTTCTTCTCTCTTTACTTTCTGTATGCCTTCTCTCTGACTTTTGCAAAAGCCATCGACCTGGTTGTCCAAGGCTTCTGGTTTTTTTTTTTCTCCGTCAGGATACTCGTCTTTTCCTCGGCTGCTTACGAGAGGGCATATTTGTTCTAGCGTTCTTAGTCGTCGCTGACGCCTCGCCATCTCGACGTTTCAAATGGACGGCGTGTCGGCAGGGGGCGCATGGTCCTCAACAGAAAAATGCTACCTATTGGTGAAGAAGGATGCAATCGAGGTGCAGCCCAGTGAACTTCACATAACGGAGACCCATTGCCACCAACAGTTCATTGATGCGCCGCTGGAGTATCCTAACAAACGTGCTTGAGTTGGACCAGCAGGGGTATGAGGTTGACGAGGAGATATGGGACCTGAACCGAGAGAAGGACCATCTATTGTTTGGTCGGAAATTGATGTACTAGCTCGCAGTATCCCATCAGTACATGGGTGATGAAAAGGCGAAAGAGGGCAAAGGTCGATCGATCCGCTCGTCGTTTCGGGTCCACGAGCTCCGAAGGCAAACATTCATTCCATATTTAGCTCATGTTGGATACCCACACAGACAAAACTCGGTACCATCACTGCGCTGTTCTTTTCAATACCATCAGCAACACTTGCAGACTCTCTTGCTAGTATGCTGCACATACCATAAGCTCTTCAACCCTGCAGTCGCCACCTACTGAGCATGGATACCTTTGTCGTCATCTTGATATTGGTCTTTATACTTCAAGCCAGAAAAGTCAATCCGCCTACCAGGAAAAACATATCGGCCGTTCCTGTGCAGAGCAATCAAGTCATCGAGTTCGAAATAATTGATTTCCCAACAAATGTCTGTCTGGTACTTCAGATAGGACAATTTCCCACAACAAGTGAAATGGAAATTTCCGGTACGTTTTGCTATTTCGACGTCCTCGTCGGTAATCTCCCTGTCTTTGTACCCAGATTTCTCCGACATTTTAGCGCTTTTTTGAAAATTGCGCCAATCTGAAGTAGAGATCAGTGAACGTTGCGAAGCACAAAGTTTTAGCTTGCGGAAAACAACCTTTTGAAGTCTCTGAATCTCGTTATTGTCGATGTCTACCATGAAATGAGGCGAGCTCGCTAAGATCTCGCCTTCTTCAAGGCAAAATCGAAAATACCAGTCATCAGCAAAACTTCCCATCTTTCTGAGGATACCATCAACAAAGTCTTTCATCCAACGAGACCAATCAATGCGTTCTTGAGCGACAAACCACAGCTTTTTGGTGTCCACATCCGGTAGCTGAAAAATAGATTGGTCTTTACCTCGGTAAGAACGTTCATAACCGCCTCTTTCTGCGAAGTCCCAGATTCGCGCAAAATCCTCAGCGTTCATCTAAATGTCAGGTTCTCGGGTGGCACGGAGACAAACTGTGGCAAATCTTGGTAGGACTAGCAGAAGCCGCACGTGATGTGACGTCAAACTAGGTGGCACAGGTCCGTGCATGAGTTCATTTAGGCTAGCGGTTCCTGCAGCTGTTCTTGCGAATTGCACTCGACAGGGTCTGGGAAGAAATTCACGATATGATGAGTGTCACGTACAAATGTGCCATACTAATAGATATTGTCGTATTTCGAGGCCCTCTCTGCAAGTTTTGTATAGTCATTTAGTGCTATACAATTCGATTTTGGATCAGGAACAAATTCGCGAATGCTCAGATATCAGTAATACAATTCGTAACATCCCTGGAACGGCTTTGGGCTGAGTACGCCGTATGTGCATTTCCGGCTGTTGATTTACAGAAAAATGTCCATAAAAACTCTGCTGCTAAATATCACCATAAAAAGATCTCAGAAAAGATATGTAAGGTTTAGCCTAAGGCCATGTAGACGTCGGAAGATCTGTTCGGGCAACGGTCTAATACCAGGAAGAGTATCCAAGAAAATCATGTGGCGTCCCTTGCGCACGAGCGATATGAAAATGAAGAGATACTACCGATTCTTGAGTTTGTGATGGCACACTATGTTTTCTTGTGCATCAAATAATACGATGGATACTCTCCTCGTCTGTTCCTACTTGAAGAAACAGTTGTTCAAGACTGGGCTTGAAACAACCATATCTCAAAGCGTCGAACCTCTGCTATTGGGGTTAGGTATTAACATTTCCGATGAACATCTGTGCTAGCAAGTAACTTTGCATCTTCGAAACTCGAATCTAACAATCATGTAAAAAGTATAACTACTTCATGGTTATAGTAGTGTATTAAAAGGTACATATTCGCCATCGTCTTTGGGAGGAGTACTCACAATAGCTCGCGTTCCCAAAAGCGAGTGCCAGCATTCTTAATGAATTCAGCACCCAAATCCGTAGAAATGCCTCTCACGTTCATATCCACACCAGCTTTCTCGAGTAGACCTTGAGATTCTTTGGTGTAGGTGATGGCTTTCAGGTGCGCGTAAGCATCTTGCACCCACTGAACAGCAGTCAATTCCTTCACTAGCTTGTCCGTGCCTTCCTTTGACAGAACAACGGCTACTGCATCAAATACAACGGAGGGCATGCCTGCAAGGATACCATCCACATCCACCTTTGAGCCATCCGATAGCTTTATGCCGTGTGCACGGGGAGCAATCAAGGCTGGGACACCATTGTGCTCTCTAATCATGTTTTTCAGATGCTCAATCTTATCCTTGTCGCTTCCTTCATTAATAAGAATACCAATTGACCGTCCCTCGATGGTCTGTTTTGCGTTTCGCTGAATAGACAGCGCTGGACTGGCAGGTAGATCAACAGGCTCGCGAAGCGACTTCGACTTCTCCGGAAGTTCGATGCCAAGACCTTGGGCTACACGGCGAGCAAGCGACTCGTCCACGTTGCGCAAGTTGGCGACGGCTCGCTTGAGTACATGTGGAAGAGACACTTGCGAAAGTTCGAACACAAAGCCACCGACCGTGTGGTTCTGCTCAGACTCCGTGAGCGACTTCCAGTATTGGCGTGCCTGACTGTAGTGATCGGCAAATCGCTCATCACGGGCGCGGAGCTTAGGACCACGCTGACGGGGCCCTATTACTTCATCCGAGGTACGGAAAGCGGCGGCGAAAGGACATGCGCGAGGACCGGTAGGTTCATCGGCCTCGTACAAGCTATTCGGTTCATAGTTTGCACGCCCCTTCGGAATGCTCATTTGCATCATGCCATCACGCTGAAAGTTGCGCACAGGCACCTTCGGATGGTTAATTGGAAGCTGATGGAAGTTCGCAGTACCCAAGCGTGACTTTTGAGTGTCCAGGTAAGAAAACAGGCGTCCCTGCAGCAAGGGATCGTCTGAGAAGTCAATACCGGGAACGACGTTCGATGGGCAGAACGCGACCTGCTCCGTTTCGGCAAAGAAGTTATCAGGGTTGCGGTTCAGCACCATACGGCCAATGAACTTGACTGGAACATCTTCCTCTGGAATCAGTTTGGTCGAGTCCAGCACGTCGTAAGGCTGAGCGTCGGCAAATTCCTTGTCAAACACCTGGATACCGAGTTGCCACTCGGGGTACATGCCTGATTCGATAGACTCAAAAAGGTCTTTGCGGTGATAGTCGTTGTTTGCACCCTGAATCTTGGTCGTTTCATCCCATAAGGTGGATTGAACGCCAAGCTTTGGTTTCCAGTGGAATTTAACAAAATGCGCATCTCCGCGCTCATTCACCAGCTGGAAGGTGTGAATACCAAAGCCCTCCATCATGCGAATTGAGCGCGGAAGACCGCGGTCGGACATAGCCCAGAGCTGCATGTGCGTGGACTCAGGCATAAGCGTGGCACAGTCCCAGAAGGTATCGTGCGCCGTTGCAGCCTGCGGATAACCGCGATCCGCTTCCATCTTCGCCGCATGGATCAAGTCTGGGAACTTGATCGCATCCTGAATAAAGAAAACAGGAATGTTGTTACCGACGAAATCCCAGTTGCCTTCGTCCGTGTAGAACTTGACTGAAAAGCCTCGCACATCACGAGGTGTGTCGACCGACCCCGCGCCGCCTACGACAGTGGAGAAACGTGCAAACACAGGCGTCTTAGTTCCTTTCTTAAAAACATGCGCTCTGCTCAGGTGCGAGATGTCCTCCGTAGCCTCAAAGTACCCATGTGCACCGGAACCACGAGCGTGCACAATGCGCTCTGGGATACGCTCATGATCAAAATGAAAAATTTTCTCCCGCAGGACAAAGTCCTCAAGTAGAGTGGGACCGCGTGTGCCTGCTTTAAGACTATTTTGGTTATCCGAAACAATTATGCCTTGGTTCGTGGTGAGATTTCCCTCGCCGCCATGCTGCTGCGGGTCGCCACCACTCCCGAATTGCAACGTTACGTTGATATCGCTCCCCGAAGAAGCCTGAGCCTGGTTAGAAGCCATTGTGTTGGGGACATTATGAGTCGGGGCTGAATATTTATACACGCCGAACGGGGTTTTGCCACCAGTGATCACGTCAACCCGTAGTCCGTGCGCGCCAACCTATCGTACTGCAGTGTACCCGTGGGTTTCAGACCAGTGTTTATGCCCTCTTGCAGCTGCATGCAATAGTAGGCGGATTAGGGTGACTCTTTGACCAATCATAATATCGACTTTCGAATTTGCCTCAATGCCAACCCCGTGGACCTATTGATGGCTTAATCTCGGACCACACGTTTCTCCGGCGTACATATGCTTATCTATGAATGGCAAGTCCTTTCTCCAGGATTAGTAATGACACCGACTTACCTGGGCTTGGCTCGACCGTCTCCGCAAATAATATATCTATTATATGAAACGAATTCCCTGCATCCCAATTTGTCGTATGAGTTTCTAAATGTCTAGAGTTGTGCAGAGCACCTTGTTTTATGGTGTCACAAAGATTGACCTCCTACAACGATTGATAATGCTTTCATCACTTCCCCACATACTTTGCCTGTGTTTATGTGTGGTGCATCTGTCTAATAGGTTCATAGTCTGACTGGTCATCTGGGTGCACGAAGCTGTCGCTTAACCTCGTTGTACTAGGATAGTGGCTTCATGTTTAACAAGAATATATGTCAGCTCATTTTCCCATTTAAAATTATTTTTTAGTGTTTCTAAAATGTCGAAATACAGACTGCGTTCAACTAAGCCGGTTTAGCACAATTACTATCACGTATGGACACTAAACATTGTTCGTCAATTTGAATTCGTATACACGTGCACCACTTCGAAGTATACAGGGGCCTTTTATTGACTACGACATCTATTAATTAATTCGTAGTGAAGATCAAGTTCAAAGTCTTATCGACATCATTTTGACAGCGTTGGCGGATATTGTGCTGTACTCTAACATGAACACTTCGAAACGCATACGTGCGTTACAGGAGCTAGCGCTTTGATAGTCGATTGCCGGAATCGAACTCGCCAACATCGATATCTGCTGCGACAGTGTCTTGTTTGTGAAGTTCTGTCTCACCTATACGGGTCTTGGGGACGAAATCCAGCTTCTGCTGAATCGAGATCAGACCTGCACAAATTTTCTACATTCAGTATTGTCATTTTTACCGTCAGTACGGCCCCATGTATTTTTCGGCTGGAGTTGATAGCAAACCTGTGCCTAAGCACCATAGACCTAGTGTAGACAAGTTAGCTAAAGCCCTTTTGCTTTCTAATTTCATGTTTTATGGAATTACGAAGCCAAGGCAGTACTTTTATTCTCTAACCCGCCACCTTAAAAGTGTATATGGTTTGACACAGTCACTGAACAGGCATATTTTTGTCTCATGGAAAACGGTTCAGAAAACTTAACGGCATCGGTGCATAATGGCCTCGTGACTTGTTCTTTATCGCTTGCTTCTACTTTCGATGGAAATTACGTTTTTCACTTCATTCTTTTATCTTTTGTGCCGTGAATATCGGTAAAACAAAGTATGCCAAGGGTCAGTCACCTGCCACTTGAATATTCGATCTACTGGTTATTTCGCAACTGTTCCGCGATGCATGTGCAACTCGACTCAGTCCCGGTTTATTTGATGAATTACTCACTAATAGAGAAAAATTGCCACAAATGTCTTGACAATTGTTGTTAGCTAAATGCCGCATACCTTCTGCTCTATGTAACCAGTCTGTTCTAACTCGTTTAAACAGACACGGTGATCATTAGTGCAGAAGTAGGGAAGCGACGTATTGGCACGAACCTTCGGAACTCTCAGCTAATCTAGTATTGGCTGTTTTTCGAGTTGCTTTGTATAGCTTTCTATCAAGGACCAGTGGTTGCACTAATAGCGTGTTCCAGATCTGTCATGTCCGTTTTTTATTAGCTCTACTTGCAAATTTACCGCAGAGCAGCTACATGCTTGCGTCCTGAGTCTCATCTCTTTGCTTGATTGCTGAAGATATAGACGGCATGGCACACTATATACGACCGAATCTTGGCGGATAAAAGGATATTCAGGTCTATTTAGATCCAAAAATCTATTCAATTTCGTTTGATATAACAATCCCCTGTATCTGTATCATTTCTGACTTGTCTCCAGTAGCGCGACCAGCTCACTCACATGTCTTTAATCCTTTCCCAGCCAATGTTAAAATAGAACATCTTTAGTGCACTGGCAACCGAATGCATGCGTTGTTTGTAACGCGAACAGGAGGGTGCGCTATCAATGGAACTAAGCCCTTGCATGCATTGCATAGTTACATTTTGCAATTAGCCATGATCACGTATTTTTAGACATCTACTTTTTAGGTCTCTTCAAATTTCAAATTTGGCCGATTTTCCTTCATGCCTTACTATGAGTCATGTATACGTGTCACATTCACAAATGACTATATCTAGCCTTTTTTTCTTCTCAATTTGCACAAAGACGCTCCGTACAACCAGCTATAGCATGCCTATCTCTGCATTTCTCTGAGGACAGTCTCTGCCAGCATCCTGTTGGAAACTATTCCCACATCACACTTTAATATGTGGTTGCCTTTGTCCCCAAACTTTGCATATCATATTTGTTGTCTTTACTTGACTGAAAATAATCCGACTCGATGCAGGAATTTGGAATAGCGATCAAAGCCATCAACCCGAACAAGAATTAGACAAATAGACTTCCTTTCTAAGGGTAATAGCCTAATCTTCCAAGCTCGCGAAACCTTGTGAACCACCTACCGCCAATGAACACAGGTGATGTTTTCTCGCCACGTATATTTGCTTAGCGGTAACGTAATTCCCCACACGCAACTCTAAATTTAAGATTATCGGGCTGGAACGCTAAATTAAGGCTTTGCTCCATATCTCATTTATTCTAATCGCTCCCTAAGACCTAGTCTGACAAAGAGCGCATGTCAAAGTCCTGCTTGAGTAGCTCATGTAGATTGCAGTAACGTCAAAAGCAGTTTTCAACTGATTACTAGCGTGATTTTCATACGCTGATAATACAAAAGAATGCGCTATTATCAACCATGCATCTTCAAGCTCAATGTCCTCGTCGATCTAGACTGTGGTGTCCTGGCCATTCTAACTTTTGTAATTGCAGGCGCTCGTGGCACCAGCCAAAGTGGCAACCAGAACAATAAAAGTAAGCCATTAAATTTTTATTCAAATTTTGGTAGTATTGCGACACGCTGTTGTCGTGCTGCATAATTCTACCCTAACATCAAGTCCACGCCTGGCAAAATCCAGAAAGTACTGTGTTAGTACTTGGTCGATACGCGTTCACTTTTAGACTTGCGAATGCGATCTAAGAATAGAATTTTATGCAGACGTTGAAAATTTCAACGTACTCGAATGCTTTCCTTGGTTAGAACAACAGTGGTGTCAACTGAAGCTGAGACATGAATGTTGCAATACGACCACCGGTTGACTCAGCGCGATAAGCATGTTCCATACCAGCTTGAAAGTCTAAGATTCCGAATGGGCTTACACCTGAAATACCCATTACGAAATAGAAGCTAGCTTAAAATAATTGATTTTTCCTTAACTCGGTTCTTCTCACCGGCAAGGTCGAGGGGTCCAAGTATTTAAGTTCGCCAGCTTCAATTTTCTTCTGGAATAATAAGGACATGTACTTTGAACCAGACAACCTCCGCTTAACAAAAGCGGAAAATGGTTGAATGTTAAATTACCAATGGATCGTGTTCCATGCAGGCCTTCCGTATCATTTTCTTCGATGATGTCATTGAATTATTTTTATGTATGTCGGAGACATGATCATTCGAATGGTGCCACCCGGGTCAACCATTACTAGAGTTTTAGGAAATACTAGAATCTTGGAAAGCAGATTTTGCAAACCTAATGGTGAATAACACAGTAAGGGCAACACAATATCCGACGTGTAAACAGAGTCAATGGGCTCCGCTAAGAGCTTTCTTTGAATAATGATCATACTGAAAAGCACCGAAGGTAGCATTTTTCCAAGCCGACTGTGTCTCGTAATGTTTGGTGAATGACTGCACCTCTCGTTCTCATCAGGGAGGATGCTTTATTGTATTTGTCTGGAGCTTGGTCATTTATGTTGCCTTTTCGTGTCTACCAGTGCAATGAGCAAAAATGCAAACACAAACAACATGAATGCAATTCATCCTAAAACATACTCCCATGATGTCGCGGCCATGATGCATATGCCCATAAACGCTAGCGCAAGAATTCGCCATGTAATGCTTCCAACTCACCTATTAAACGTTTTTCTTACATGAAATTTATTCACAATCTATGTCCAACGAACATAAAGATTGTAGATGAGCCCCATTGCAGCTGAATAAACTGCGGCGTGGATAACCCGCGTTGCACGGTCACTAGCGTGTTACGTGTCTGAAATGTATTGCCTCGAGTGAGCAAAATATTGCCCATATAAGCATGATTGAGTTTGGGATGAAAACTGTCTAAAAATGAAGTCGAAGGAGAAACACCAAACAAAAGCAGCAAATGTCGGCAAATAACCTGCTGTCTCAAGTGCCAGTGCATTTTCAGGCAGTGTTTTGAAAAGGCTTCTGTTAGGACTGAATAAGCAAGGTATGTCATCCCTCCTTGCTTTTGATTATGTGCATAATAAATAAAACGTTCATATCAAGTAAAATCACCTCGCGGTTACTAACTTGGGTTACCATCTGCATGCCCCCGCATTGTGCTCGACAAAGACTTATACCCAGTACGATTAGAATTCACTGAACAACTATATGTCCTCTGGACGGCACAAAATCCTTTCGCGCGTCTATTCCATCGAGCGTGATTATTGTTCTCGTGTCACGCAAGAACGCTTTTAAATTTCATCCAACCTGACCTATAAAAAATAGGCGCGCGCCAAATCTCATAGTTGCGCTTAATGTTTCAGAGGTCAGGAGGTAGTTCACAGATGTCCCACAGGCCTCATGATTTTTTTACAAATGGTCTTTCAGACACGCAAGGGATTCTGCAGTGTCAACATGCGAGTGTGGGGTGCGAGCCTCTATTACAAATTTGAGACGCAGGAATCTGGAGTACGGGAATTGTCAGCTCTTCATTCCGTGATCATATAGTTCAGCTAAGATTGGCAAGTAGTTATTCCGAATCGTTTCTGCTAGTTTCATGGGCCTTGAATACTCAATATGTGACGATTAATAACTTCACTCAGGCATGAAGAAGTTAGAATGAACAAACCAATCACGCTTCCCGGCTCATGGGAATTGTGTGAACCCTGCCTTTCAAGAATTAGTCTATAGTATAATACCTCTCATCGTGGTCTGTTAATAGTTCGTTCTAAACGTTCGTGTCCTTTTTGATATGTTCGGTAATCGTTCTTCAAAACAGTGATTATTCTGCAAAACACTGGAACAAATTTAATATCCTCAATACCTTGGAAATCCACCAGCGCTGTAGTTCTGTCAGTTTCTATTTTTTCACACAATCTAAGATACTAATTCTTTCGACATTACGAGGCTGACCTACTCACGACTAGGGAATGGTGGCATACGAAGAGGCTTCATATGTTATGAGACTGGCCGCTTCGACGGCGTAGTAAAGTCTGCAATGCGATTTATGTACATGAACGACAATGACGAACACTTGCTAAAACCTTGGGCTTTATACTGATTAACCAACGACTAGTCGATCAGATCAAGGACTTCACACTACCCACACACAGAAATTTGGGAAAAAAAATCATGACTCGATTACATCTAAATAGACATCTACCTGTTCGCTAAGTTCAGCGCGACAGGGAATTCCGTTACATCATCATTCTTCATAGGCCCGGAATTACTTTACAGGCACTCGAGGATGTTCACACTGCAGCCACCGCAGTCCTTGGCGAAGCTGGCAATGTGCTTAACGCAGACAGCGGCTGTGTTGTTGGGGTTCGAGGAGGCGCACTCGGTAATGCTCTGGGCGCAGGTACCGCACTTGGCGAGAATGTCACCGCTGCCGAACTTGCAGTCAATGTCCAGCTTGGAGTCGGCGGTGTAGCCCTTGACCGAGACACGGTCACCAGAGGCAACGACAGCCGAGGCGGCAATGGCGGCGACAGCGAAGAAAGCCTTGAACATTGTTGAGATTGAGAGGGTTGGTGTCTACACCTACTGATGTCTTCGACCCTATTTATGCCTATTCTTCCAGGCAATACGCTGAAAAAAAATCAAAAGAATTAAAGTACAGAGCAATTTTCATCGATTGGCATGTGTCTGAAGGCACGATATTATTGGATCCAGAAAACGATCCGCTCCACGTTCTGTGAATATGCCTCATTGCTTATGGAAACTCATGTCCCTCTTCTGCACGTGTCATGGGACAAGCATGGTTAGACCAATTAAATTGAAAGGATCACAGCACGTTTTGCCTGAGTAACAAAGTTTGCATCGAACTGATCAAACTGTAATATGAAATGCATGCTCGGCGCGGTTAATTGTAGTTTGAAGCATTCTGATTGACTTTGATGCATTGAAGCCAGGAACTACTGGTGTCGTGGGTTGTCCACGTGATGAATAAAAACTTGACTGCGCGCAGATGCGCAGCAAAATCTGCAGGGATGACACTTGCCTTTGCGACTGCGAGCTATCTCGCGTGTTACGTATTGCGAGAAACGTGCCGAACACCCTCGGCAAGGCCATTTGGCAGCTTATGCTTATTTAAAAGCTTGTTTTACATAATGTTCCAGTCGTCTCCTCGTATCGGGTGAAAGTCTGAGCCGTGATTCAATGAAGCTAACAATGCTCTCTGGGTGGTGTGAAATTGTCTCGATTTCTCCATTTTGGTGATAGACTTTCAATCGACAATTTGCGATAGTTAGCATGTAATCTGGGCCATGTTGAGCCACCATAAAGCTTCTGCGAAAAATTGAGTCAGGGTGTGTTGACACGTAATAGTTCGATACATCCAAGTCGCAGTCGTAGCACACCGTCTTGTCAAAACAATACATGGGCTTCCATGTCTCTCCCAACTTTGTTTCTAGCACGTACGGGATGTTCTGCAAGTCTGGGAATGCCTTGGTATCGTTGAGGCGGAAGCGCCCAAGAGGAAGCTGCTGCTCTTCATAGAGCCGGAACAAAATGGGACCTGACAGTGTCATCCCCCCGAACCCAACATCCGCAATATACTCGGAGCCTTCTATCGTGACGAGCAGAAACATATGCGTACAGGGCCCAATATGAAAATGCTCGTTTTGCGCCCAGAGCACACGGGCCATCATGGTTTTCACGTCAAATCCAAGGGCCTCCAAAACGCACCGGAATAGTTTGTTGTGCTCGAAGCAGTATCCACCTCGTCCCTTTACGAGCATTTTTGCCTGAATCGAGTCGAGATCAATCGGAACATCTTCGCCGATAAAAGGCGAAATCGACTCGAATGGTATGGCTTGCGGATGGGCGCGATGTAATTCTTCAAGTGTGGCAAGGTTAGGGGCCCTCTTCTTGCTATTACAAAGGCCTATATGAGATAAGTACCTCGCAATGTCTACCATGTCAGCATCTGACAAGGATAAACTAGCTCACACTGTTGGCCTGTACTGTGGAACAACGTTGAACCTAAGCTGTGGAGGCTCTTTGTTGCCCGACAAAGGAAGGTCTTTTGAGATCCACCTGATCTATATCAAACCTTATCTACATCATAATGAAGGCTGAAATACAAGGCCGCGTGTTTTTTCCGATACCGTTACAGAAGCGTAAGGATTCCCCTCATAAGCGTCATATTGGGCTAATGGAGGATATCCTTCGGCCGTGGCTGCCCTATCCATGTATTCCCAAGCCTCTTGAATTGATTGTGGACGCCAATGCAGCTGAGCATATGTGGAATACAGCGATTGTGTAGATATATCGCCCCAGACATCAACGTCTTGCATCGTATAGGTGCGCTTAGTGTCATACAGGTTGAGTAAGTGCAACAAAGGATCAGCAATAAAGTCCACAAACACCACATCCACCAGTTCGCGTTCGTCAGTTGGTATATGCACAGGCTGAGATGCCACATATTCAGGTTGGATATCACTGTAGGGTATTGGGATATGCACAGTATCGTCTCCTTGGCCTGGACAAGAGTCAGCCGTGACATAGCCAAGACTGGGCATTTGCTCATAGCTCTGGTTCAATAGATGCGGCAAATCATTCGCAAGATCTGTGTCGGTTGTCAGCCGAATCAGCAATTCATCGAGACGCCGCGCTGATTCAGGGCGTCCACTAGTCGTGGGAGGTGGCGACACCGACTCCTTTCCTGGCTGTAGGCCCAGTATTTGCGCCCAGTATGTGACGAACGCATGTCCTAAATACCGATGAAAGATTGAGTCTGCAGCACCCTGCGACGGATGCATCGCACCAGGCTGTTCGTTGTGCGCGGCGCCACGCTCATTTAATCCATCGACCAATCTCTGTGCTGCATGCCACGGCACGTCTCGCACGAAGAAAAATTCGTCGCGGAAAGGGCTCACAATGTCTGTCATGTTAAGTTAGGAGCACGTACACTGGTCATTTTTCGTAAAGGGTCCGGCAAACACGTCAAAGCGTTGGCTCCCGCTGTTGATGATCACTATGCTCGACACATTCTCATGCCTTGGATTTACTGGCCGTACGATATCCGGCAATATGTGTTCGGTCATGAGGGTCAGGAGAGCATGTGAATCACCGTATGGTGCTCGATCCAAATAATAGTCACGAGGAACAATACCGTATAGCTCGGTCAAATTCCACGCTAGGGCGATCGCATCCATCGTTGCACGTGCGAAGCGGGCTCTAGCAGTAGAAAGATGTCCACATGCTCTATGCCAGCATGATGTGCCTGTATAGGGAGAAGAGCGTCGGGTTAGCCGCAACTACACAAATAAAACGCCGTGCCAACGTACATAGTTCCGCGGATTGGCATCAATGTAGCGCCGCGAGAATGTGGGTCGCTCGGAATGAAACATTTGACACACTCATCCAGCCGATCGTTTCCAAGTACCGACCACTTTCGAGTGCCATGGCATAATCATCCAACATGCGGCAGTCACGTACATGTGTGTGACCAGCGAGCATGAGAATCGGCGTCGTCGGCCAGACGTCGCGAATGGCAGCATGCAACGCATCCCAGCCATCATGCCCTGTCACTGGCATATGGCCTGCAATAACAAATGCATCTACGTGCGAAAATGCGCGCAGTGACTCTTGGAACCATGGCTCGCGCACCATGTCTTTCGGATCTTGTACTTGAATGCCCTCGGCACCCAGTTGGAAATTAAACAAGACACCATATGCCTGGATATCTAGTTGCTGGTTGCGCGTCTTGAATCGGGTGAATCGCTGACCAATGGGACGCGAACGCAGAGTGCCATCTGCTTCTGGTAGCGAAATGTTGACATTCGATGTCAGGTATCGGTCGCCCCAATGCGGCACAAAGTACTCATACACATCTCTCGCAACACTGAAGTTGTACAATTCATGGTTTCCGATCGTGAGCAAGTCATAATCTGCCATAGCAAACACCTCGTTGCTAATGTGGCCGTTCACAGCCCACTTGTGCTTTGGGTCATCGGGGGACAGCTCGGGGTATGCATCAGACAGACCATTTCCGTCGTCTACGAGTTGCGTGTAAGTATACATGATAGAGATCAGTATACGTACGTAGGTCACCTGTGTCAACAAGGAGTAAGTCGGTGCCTTGCTCATTCGCACGCCGGCGCATGTGTTGCGTAAATGCAATCCAATCGCCCCAGTCACCGCTGTAATTAGGCTCGGGTGGCGACAGCTTTGAATGCCCCTGATACCAGCCGTGAATATCAGTCGTATGAAGCACCTGAAGCTGGCCCCACTCGAGAGGCCTGATCACATCATCATAGCGTGGTAGACGCCCACGTCCATACTTTTGCGTATCCCATACAGCACCATGCACGGCGGCCATGAATGTCATGACCGCTAGCACATACATACCTGTCATCTGAGCTCCGGAAGCGGGCATGTAGGCTTGATACGAGCGGAGACTAGACTACAAATACGCACAACACTTCTCTGGCTGCTCGCACTGGCGTTTTGGTAACCTGCCAAGACACTTGGGTGTCGTCATGGCTCAGGATGCATGCCTGACCTCCACATCCATCCACTTGCATTAGACCTATCAAAACCCTTCTTCATACAAATTTCGACAGACAGCCGTCCAAAAGCGTTCAAATGTGTCGTTCGATGCACCCAAAGATCCATCGTGGCCTGCATTGACGAGGAATGGGAAAATCTCTAACAGAGCCGTAGAGACGCGTTCCGCTCGGGAAGATGTCGGCATGGTATCCAGTTTCGCACGCAGCGCTCGAGCTGTACGACTCTCGCCAAGCGAGTCGTCATGGGCATCGTCTGGACGATGGGGGCGGTCTTTGGTGAGGTAGGCGAGAAGCATGCCCGAGTCGTCAGATGGTTTTGAAGGATCAGCTTCTACAGATTTTCCAGAGGAGGGCAGGTGTGACGAGATCCAATCTGCCAAGCGCTGAGCGATTTTCGATGCTTCCTGAGCATCGACACCCTTCTCGTATGCGGACGAGAGCGCATACGCAGCAGCAGGAAACGGCATCTCTGATCGCTCCGTGTGTGTTGTTTCCTCGTACTCGCTCAGCGCGGCCTCGCGCCAATTCCACTCTTGGTCTTTGTGTGATGCTTGTGCCGCTGGTCTTGTCTCCGACTGTCCGCGCCGAGTCGGCAGCCAATCAGACACCCTGTTCCACCAAGCAGACCATTTGCCAGTCTGCGTGTCGTGGTCGACCTCGGAGCGTGCGGGACGCAAGCGCTTCGTGCCACCAGGACCGCGAATGTCCCAATGGTCCCAATTTTCCAACACACCCAGAAACTCGCCCCACTGAGCACTAGTCACGCTCACAAGCCCGTCGTTTCCAGCGTCCAGAGTGCGATGTGCTGCGGAACTTCCGTCCGCGTCAGCACCACACGAGCCCGTCGTGGCCGCCTTGTCAAGAATGAGCTTTGGAAGCCATAGCGGATGCAGGACCGACATCGCCGGCGTGCGCGTCGCAACACTAAAGTAGCGAAGTCCAGGCACATTGGGTACGGCCGGATTAAATAAGCGCGTCATGTAGCGTGTTGACAGCATCGCGTACGCAGGCTGATCGAACAACGCAAGAATGTAGGACGAAAGAGCCGTCGATACCGTCGCTAATGCGCGGCTCAAAGGATTCTTCTGGACATCGGCCTTGTCGCGCGTGAACAGCGGCGCTTTGAGGCTGAACGGAGCACGATTCGGCGCATCGTCCGGCACCGTATTCGGGCGTACCTCGCTCATCATCGCATCGATGAGCTCAAGCCCCACACCAATATTTGTGTTACACCAATCCATGAATGGGCTCCCGCGGTGCGGCGTTGCCAGTGTCGTAAGACTTACGGGCTTATATTCGCGCGGCCGAATACAGGAAATGAGGTATCGTGCATCCAGACCACCCATGGAATGCCCCACAAAGTTCAGCGGCTGGCCGGGCGGGAAACCTTGCTGCAGCAACAGATTGTGCAAAACTTCTGCGCGCTGCTGTATCGAGCCTGTGGGTGGCACGGCAAACGCGTACACCTCGGCACCCACACGTTCTCGGAGCACGTCCAGTGTGGCGGACCAGTAGTGGTACTCAAGCCCCATGAACGGCCCACGCACATCGAATCCATACAATCCATGACATAGAATGATGGGGTAGCGCGGCGGCGTCTGCTTGGAGGAAAAAAGGAGCGGATGCCGCATAAGCTCGTCTAAGCGGCTTCCTGGCATGGCATGAGGAACGCCGCGCGTCTGTTCACGTTCCTGTCGTGATTCATGTCGAGTCTGCGTGTCCACGCGCTGCGCATGTGTCCTCTTTGAGGCGGATGCACCAACACGAATCCCACGTCGACCAACTGGCCATACAGCCCGCCAGCGGTGCATGTATGAAACAGGGGCGCTCGTGGATGCACCTGGCATGGGGAGAGAGAGCCATTTTGGCCGCACGTGTCGCCGCTCCCTCCCCTCCACGCTCGCTTGGGCCCCCCTTTCCTCGCACTCGGCGTGTTCATGTGGGCGTTGCCGATCTGTCCCGATCGATCACTCGATCCGCGTCCGGCGCAAGGTTGACATTTGCCGTGCCCACACGTGCGTGTGGCTTACGGCTTATGCAACGGCAACAGCCAGGCTTGTTGCTGTTGCTATGGTGTGTGGCGCTGGTATGCGCGTGCATGGGCTTGGTCCATGCACGCACACCAGCCGCATATGCCATGGGAGAGATGCTGCGTGAAGATTCTTGTACGCCCATCGGAACATCCTTGTCGCCCCAGGAAGCCTGCAGCTTTGTACATGACCATTGTGCGCATACATCCATCTACCCATACCTGTCGTTGTACTACTGCGCATCCGCACGCGTGCAAACTCTTTCGGTTTCTCACGTGTTAGTTGGACTTGTGTCACTCATGTTCGTGCTTTGGCTACTCGTGCTGTTTAGCGTGTTGGGACTTGTAGCCAGTGATTTTTTCTGCCCGAACTTATCGTCGATTGCGGCCAAGTGGGGTATGAGCGATAGCATCGTGGGTGTAACACTCTTGGCACTTGGCAACGGATTCCCAGATGTCGTTTCGACCTTCCGAGCCATGGATAAAGACGCTGGCACCATGGCCATGGGCGAGATCATGGGGGCCGCTGTGTTTACGGTGGCAATTGTGTGTGGATCTATAATGGTGTTCTACTCGTTCGACATACCACCCGTTGCCTTCGTACGTGACGTAGGCACGTATATGCTGGCTGTCATACTCGTTCTCTCTTTTCTTCGCGATGGCACTCTCGATCTATCCGATGGAATCTCTATGCTTGGATTGTATGTCGCTTACATTGGTGTGGTGGTTATGGGGGATCTTTTGTCGGAGAGACGAACGGCGCCCAGTACCCCAACTCCAGCGAAGACTCAGGATCACTCCGTTTCAATCCAGATCCCTGTTGAGCATACACCGCTCTTGCGTGATCGCTCCGAGAGCCAAATCGGCAGTCCATCTGGCCCGCGAGTCGCACGCCACTCCATCTTGTCTGCTATGCGCATGCATGACATGGCGCTCCATTCTGATGCAGGTCTCCTGTTCACGCCAAGCCTCGCAGAACATGTCATTGATCCAGTGTCTAGGGCCGTATGGCGCCAATCAACTAGGACACAACGTGTGGCATCTCTGTCTCCGTCTGCGTCTTTTTCGAACAAACACTCGCCTGCATCACCGTCAGGCCCTGTCCAAGACCGCCGCAAGCTGACGCGATGCTTCACATACAACTCCATGGAGTGTGTGCCGCCCACGCACACCCACCCACGAACCAGCAAGACCTTTGATCAAGCCCCAGCTTCCCGCGCCACAGCCTCGATCATGTGCAAAATTATGGCTCTTCAGGACTGTCACAACAACCATTTGTCATTTTCCCGCATTGTATTTGTGGCGCTATGTCCGTCGCTCGTCAACTTCACACACAAGTCCTGGGGCAATCGGGTCGCCAGCGTAGCCTGTGCCCCGGCCCTATTCGTCCTTCGATTGAGTGTGCCGCTCATCAGCCCAGACGAGTATCGCTTGCATGACTCGCTTAGGATGCTTCGACAGACGTTGTCGGACGAACCGGCCGATGGAGCCGCGAGGGCCGTCGAGCTACGGGAGGCAGTGTGGGATGAGGCCGTTGCCGTGTTGGAAACACCTGGTCCTCTAGTGAAAACGAGCGAGCGCGTTGCAGCGGATCATTTCCTCTCCAGTATTCAGTGTGTGGCCGTGCCCGAGATGATGCTATGGTCGTATGGAGCCTCTCCTGCACTCCTGGCTAGCGTGGGTGTGTGTGGCGGCATTGTTGGTGTGTTCGTGTGGCGCAAATTGCGTGCTTCGCCCGACCGCGACTCCCCCGCGCAACTGCAGCGTTTCTTGGTCGTGCGTAGTTTGCTCGGCTTTTTTATGGGCCTTCTTTGGATCGTCGCGAGTGTGGATGGCGTGCTGGCTTTATTGCGTGCCTGGGGTTACATTTATCACTGGAGCGAGGCGATCCTCGGCCTTACTGTTTTCGCACTCGGCAATTCGCTCGGCGACGTCGTGACGAACCTATCTATCGCGCAACTGGGTCATCCACTCATGGCACTGACCGCCTGCTTTGCGAGTCCACTCACGAACCTACTCCTGGGCGTTGGCCTGTCGACTACCTGGCTGACATCAACACACCCTTCTCGTGCTCCTTATCGAATCGCGCTGAGTCCTGCTCTTTTTTTGAGCAGCGCAGTGATGGTGTGCATGTTGCTGGTCATGCTCATTACAGTGTCTATGAATGCCTTTTCATCTAGCCGTCCACTGGGCCTGTTTCTCCTAATTACGTATGTGGGCGTAATGACCTGCAACCTGGTGCTGGAAATCAAGAGTACTTGACGCGTGCTTGATACAATGTACATGATCCTGTGCATGCTGGAGATGTTCCTGCTCCTGCTCCTGCTGTTGCTACATCGTGAGGACCCCAAGCACCATGCAGGAGGACCTGTGCATGCGCAGGGGACCATCTTGCGCGCAGGTTGCGGCCGTGCTTCAGGAGCAGACTCTCGACGCTGCCTGCGCTCGTCGCGATCGGAGCGATGAATGGCACGAGCTCCTCTCGCACCCACTGTGGTCGCAACAGGAACAGCTCTTGCATCCGCTGGGCCGGTGCGTTCGGCAACACCGTGTGAGTAAAATACTGGATCGTTATCAATTCGGCCAGCGCACGTGGCAGTGGACTTGGCGTCGCTGCTGCGTGGGCATTCGTCTCAGCAAACGTGGCCGGTGCTGGGTATAGTAAATAATGTCCCTGTATAGTAGATGGGTCGCAAGTGTTAGTGCGCTTGCAATAGATACGGACGACCATTTCCCACGTACCTGGAGCAGTGCGAGGTGTGCATCCTGACTCATGATGCCCAGCTCATGATGCCACGCATCCATGAATGCAATGAGCGGCATGCGTTTCTGCGTACGTAGGAGATGCAAGCCTAGGAACTGAGCCACACTCTCGCGTGCAAGAGGAATATGCAATGGCACTGTTGGCGCACTTGCTCTCTGGGGCGTGGCACAGAACCAGTCGCCGACCATGGCCTCCGCCACTGCACGACATGCACGCGGTGCCAATGCCTCGCACATGCGCACGTATGGCACTCGGTCTGGTGCACATGCAAATATATCTACATGTGCGAGGAGCGAGTGCAGTAAGTCCACCACCAGGTCAGGCGCCACGCGACGGAGGTAGCCATCCAGCTCAAGTACATGGTAGGCCCGTAGTCCCTGTGTGAACTCAGCCTCACTCGCCTGGACAACTGACATGAGCTCGTTGCGCGTGTAATGACGCTTGGTGCGATCATGAACGTGCTCTTCACCACCTGTGTACATGTCTTCATCCAGCAGGCTCATGATGCGCTCAAGGTTCGCACATGTGCGCACGAGCTCAAGCGTGTCCTGAACATTTTGTCGTAAAACGAGCGCATGCGACCCATTGTCACGCACATCGACTGAGCATAATAGCAGGCTGTTGCTCTGTGAAACTTGTCGCACAGCATAAGTAGCATCATGCGTTACAAGCACAGCTTCGTCTGCAAGACGTCCGTTGAATTGGAGTGGCACGTCTTTTCTCTCGATCAATGCTTCGACCTCCGGCGGCACCTCTAAAATGCGATATTCTTGCGGAGATGCAGCATCCGCCGTCACGATTGGGATGCTGCTGCTCGCCCCCTCGTCCATCCACGTTCCTTGGCCTGCACGATACGCCAGCCTCAGACGCACCTGTGGGGGCCTTTTTTTTTTGGCTCTGGACCTCGTCGCTTGGGGCAACAAATGAGTGATGCTGAACGTGGAGGACCACGTGGAGTACGTGAGGGGCCATTTTGGATGGATTCCCCTGGCGGTGTTGCATAAAAATTTGTTGCGAGTTTCATGTGGGAAATGGGGCGAGTGTAGGATTGAGAAAGTCCGTGGCAGGGCTCTCGATCGCCTGTCTTCGCATCCAGACACTGAATCCACCGCCTACCTTGATCGAGTCCAGAGGCTGAAACGCACCCCAAAGTATCGCGTAAGCGATGAGGGAGGCGCGAAATAACGTCTCGATGCCTCAACGTGCCAGATTCAGTCGCCGTGATAATATCGCATCCGATTCCTCGTCTTCCGATGAGGATGCCGTCGTAGCGGATGGCCAGGGCGTATGGGATCATGCCTTCTGCGTGGTGTGCGACTGCCTCATTGAGACCGACAATACAGACTTCCGCGCAAATGAACCTGCTTTGGATGGCGAAGATGTCTGGGAGGCTGCAGCCATGTCGTCCCTACGTCGCCACACCCAGCGCTCCAAAGTCGGTCGTCAATCGAATAGGCCGAATGCAGCGCTTTCCAAGACAGCTCCGATCTTCTGTTCCGAACGTTGCCGACAGTTTGACCAGCAGCAGAGCAAGGGCCTAAACGAGTTCATGAACTATGTATCGAATGCTTCAGTACGTGCATGTGCCGCGTCGCTCGACAAGATACACGTGTCAAGGCCACTGGGAACGTCTCCTTTCACCCCAACGGCCGCCGATTCCACAGCCATGATGGCCAAGTCGTTATCAGATTCTATCTTGCGCGCAGAGTCCCGAGCAAAGTCCGAAGCTCATGGTAGCATCGATGACGACGATGTCAAGTCGAGCGATCGGCTCTTTCCGCGTCGCGAGCCGTGGCCATCATCATCTCCTAGTGATCAAACGGTCTCGGTGGCAACCGTGCCATCGAATCTGACTCGCTCTCGTATGGCCATCCATGCTGCATTACCGGCGCCATCAACATCGCTTCCCGCTCCCCAACGTGTGCCTTCCAATGATAGGTCGCTGTATGTCGACTCTCCACCCAAGAGTTTGGTGCTTGGCGAAAGCTCGTCTCAGGCCGAGAAGACGCTCGCCGACAGTCCATCATCGTCTCTTCGAGATGGAGTCGCCTTCTCGCCTCTGAACTTGCTTGCCACTGGCACAGGGCACCACGCTGAACCAAGTATATCCGCCACCAACAGCCGAGTTCAGCCCATGGGTCCTGCATCCTCCACACAACGTCTAGATTCAGCGACGGAGTCACTTCGTCGTGCCCAGCGCATGAATGATTCCGCTCTCGCGTCAGCACGCGTACCGTCATCGTCATCATCGATCACGACTGCCAGGGCAATGCGCCGTTCGATTACGCATGCATCGAACAAGTCTATGACTGACGTGTCCGTGGCATCTCGCCATAGCGATGGCGGCAGCAGCAGCGATGCATCTGCGCCGTCTTTGCCAGCCACAGCGCATCGACGCAAACCAAGTTCAGCGCGGGGCATACGTGTGCTACCTCCGCTCCTGGCGCCTCCGCGAGCGAGAGGCGATGGCCGCTCCAGAGGACCGAGTCCTGGGGCTCTTCAGCGCTCCTCGCCGCACTCATCGAAAAGCACAAGCATCATGACTCGATCACGCTCTTCATTTCTTTCTCTGAGCTCGAGCATGCATGGCTCAAGTCCTCGGCGCCCAGGCCTTGGCTGGAGTGCGTTGCCACCATCACATCCGTCCATGGAGCGCCTGAGTCAGTCCTTGCGCATGGAACGTCCTTCTCCTTTGGCCATGTCATCGTCGGCGTCGGGGAGCTCGATGCATCATCCTCTGCGGACGTGGAGTCATGATGTTATGCCTGGCATGCCCATGTACCCGATTCTGCAACTGCCTGATGGCGGCCCCATCCATGACATGTACAGCCAGTACTGGCAGCCTGTCGAAGAGGACAAACCACCCTCCACACCTACAACTGCCACTAATTCCGAGACAGGCGGACGTCGAAAGAGTCTGTTTTACTTTGATGGTTGATGACGCTTCCAGGGGCCCATCAAGTCTTCTCTTCCTAATTAGCTTATCTCCAGTCTTGATGCCCCGTGTCACTCTCATCCACGTTGTCTTTACCCTCTCTTCCAACAAATATCCATATCTGTGCCGTGATATAGTAGTATGTATATGTGGTATATGGGACGATGTTGTTATGGATCGATTTCTCGCAGCCAGCCACGCAGGAGCAATGCCTCGACCTCGTCGCGTCGAACATACAGTCGCTCACCTACACGAAGATGGATGGTCCCACGCTCTGTTTCCACATCGCTCACATTGCGGGTCACCAATACGTAGATCATCACGTCATCGGGAGGTCGTACGGAATTGGGCGCTGCCGTCGTCGCATAGGCTGCATCCGAACGTACATCAAAGCCGCCGCATAGCGCCTGGCGTGCGCGGCTCGTGCTGGCTGAGCCCGGGCCTGATGATGACGATGGTCTGTCGAACGACGTACTGGATGACGAGCTCTGCGAAAGCGGCCATGTCACGTCCAGCACATCGAGGAACGCGTCCTTGTACAGAGCAACAAGAGCAGCATATGAACGGAGCCATTCAAGCTCCGCTGGATCCAAAAGAGTACGAATCGAGGCTGCTCCGGATGGATCTATTGATCGGTCTTCGTTCAAGACGAGTGCAAGCGCTCCTGCCTTGTCCCAGACACGGGCGCGAAGCCAGTCAAGTCGCTCTCGGTGGTACACGAGAAGACATCGTTTGTTCCGATACGCCTGCAAGTGATGTGTGACTATTCTTGCAGCCAGTGCTGCATTTGGTTGCCCATGGCCAGATGCCTGCTCTGCACGCGCTGCGTCTGCCATGGGAGCCAGCTCGGCATGAAGCTGACGCGTCTCTAAGAGTGAGAGGCGCACAAGCTCCGCGCTATATGTAAGAAGACGAAGGTGCATGCACTGTACTTACTTGTATGCACGTAACGATCCGGTCATTTGACTCAGCTTCGCATCATGTACCAACTGGAGCGCTTGCTCAGATGGCATGCCAAAACTCAATGATTCTCAAGTGTGGCGCGTCCACAAACTCAATTTGACGCGTCACATATGTGGGCGCAGAAATGTCTCAGTCGAGTCGACTCTGTTGGATGATGTGGAGGACATGGCATGATACGTACATCCCTCCGCTCCTAGGTCAACGTGATTGTGAAGGTGGGTGAGTCCGTTTAGGAGCATTGGTTTCGTTCTAGAATGCAAGTGACGTTATTCATTCATGCACCAGGCGTGCACGTATTATCGGAGAGGCGATTCCCGAAGGACATCCGCAAAGACGAGCTTCAGCAGCGTGTGGAAATCGTCACGGGCATTCCACCGGCAACCCAGCGTCTTGAATTGGTGCATGGCGACGGACGAGTGGCAAATTGTGCATCATTCCCACCTGATGTCGCGATTTTGCAGGCTTGGGGTGCATCAGATGGCATGCAGATTCAGGTGCATGACAAACGTGGGCCATTGCTTGCTGACGAAGAGAGCGTAACGAAGTACGAGCTCTCTGACGAGCAGTATGCAGCACGACACGACACACTCCGTGCATACAAGCAAGCGCACGGCCTGGGCCGCTTTGCATCCAATACAGGAACAGCAGGAGCAGCGAAAGTGACAGACAAGCATCAACTTGATGATCAACACAAGGACGGCGTGGAATGCGGTGCACGATGCATGGTTGATACGGGTGATGGGTTTGAACGGCGCGGTACAGTGCGTTTTATCGGCCCCACGAAGTTTGCACCTGGCTTCTGGGTCGGTGTGGAATTCGACGAACCTGTAGGGAAAAATGATGGAAGTGTACAAGGCGAACGCTATTTTGAAACACGTATGCATTATGGCGGTTTCGTACGTCTAGCACATGTGCATGTGGGAGAGCAATACGCAAGTGAGCAGATAGATGACGAATTGGAACTATAGTAGCAAGGTAAGTATAGTATATAAACAGGTGAGAAAATATAAAGGAGAGGAAAACGGTTTGTATACAAAGGTTTGCTGTGGAATGTAGGTCCACAGACATTTTGGTCGCGCCCAGTGTATTACGTGCTGCATGCGCCCCAACCATAGATGATACGACATCACCATAATCCATCAACATAGTGTGTCAGAGATCGTGAGGCATCCGTGTCTGTATCATTGTAGCCATGTACCGAATCTTCGAGCACCTTGGCTCGCTCCGTGATCATCTCACTCGTATCGAGAGTGCCCAAAAGACGAGCGAACACATCCGATACCAGCGACGCTATGCCATGCGGCCCAGCGGCACTCGTCGCCGAAGACGACAGACTGTCGAGTGTTTGTTGCACGCGCGACACGAATGCCAGTGAACTTGTGCGTTTCTGTGCTGGGCCAGCAGCACGAAGACACTCTAATGTCGTCCTTAGCGCTGCCGAAGCTGCCGCTACTGGCAGAGCAGCCAGATCTGCACGTCCTTCCTCATCGAAGCGTGGCGGTGCAAACAACGCATGCAGAGCATCCAGGGGAAGCGACATGCTGTGGGCCAACGCTTCACCATCCGGCAAGAGCGCGCCAACCAGCACAAGAGCATAGAGACATAAGGCCTCCACATGGTCGTGTTCCTGTGTGACAGGCGTCGGTAGCGACGCTCTCTTCGCTGCGAGCTGTTCCTCGAGATCCTCAATCTTGTCCTCGAGCTGCGCAATCACATTGTCACCGAGGCCACTGGCTCCTGCGCGAGCAAGTCCTTCCGCCATATCGCCGATGTGCTCTTCCAACTGTGAAAGCAATCGCGACGCATTGTGCAAGGTATCGTCACGCGCGTTGTCTTCCGACGGGCGTGCGCCTGTGATTGAGGAGGCTTTGATCTGGTCGAGAAGTCCGTCCATTTCTTCGCGCCCATCAGCCTTGCCGAGAACACGCATGCAAAACAGATGCTGCTGCTGCAGACGCTCACACACATCGCGCCAGCCCTGGGATCCATCTTTGAACGAGCTCTCGCTCACGTGCCGTGCTCGCGATGTCCACGTCATATCGAAGTTTCAGCTGCTCGTACGCAAAGCGCGACTGCTCAGCTGCGCGTCGATGCTTGTCAAGCTCCATCTCAAGAATACGTGCACGAGGGTCGGTGCGCCGCTCCGTACGATGCGTTGGTGTAGATGCATTGTCGATGTATGTTTCCAAGCGAGTTAGGCGTCTTGGTGTGTCGGGCACTTCTGGCGTCGTTGGCGTATGTGGTTCGGGTGTGTGTGGAATGAGAGGCTCTTCCATGCTTGGTGACGGCGGACCTGCTGCTGCTGCTTCTCGTGTTTCGGCCGGTTGTACTGCTGCTGACGATTCTGATTCATTCGCCGGTTCTCGCCTGTCAGCAGCCGGTCCAGTACGGTTGTTCGCTTCATTCGTCACAGTGCCTTCAGACGCCACAGGTAGCGGCTTGTCGGATGTGCGGTCACGCAGCGCCGTGCGGTATAGAACCATGACCTCTTCGAGTCGACGTGCGACGAGGTCTTTTTGCTCGCGCTCAGCAGCCAGCTGCGCACGCAGCTCCCGTTCCGTTGAGCGGGTCGCATCTGGTGTGTTGGAGGCTGCCTCGTCTGTATCCGCGGATCCCGACCCCGAGGCAGGCACTGATGACGGCGCCGAAGCCGGTTCCTCTGTCGACTCACCACCACCAAACATCATGTGCAGACGACGCGATAGTGTTGGGACTGCAGAAGGCTGGTTGCGCATATCATTACGATCGCGAGAAGCACTAGTATTCGGAGACGGCTGCAATGTCGCATGCTCAGATTCCAGCTGTGCGACGCGCGCTTGCAGAGCAGCTGACGACTTGGCATGCTGGTCCTCCAGCTCCTGCTTCTCTATCGCATGCTGCCGCTTAAGCTCCATGAACCGCTGTTCGTACTCGGAACGAAGTGTGTCCATGTGCGCCGAAGACCTCGGCTCTGAGCGCAGCGTGTGAAGCAAGTCGTTATGCTGAGTATGGAGCTTGCCGATCTTTTCAGCATGACCTGCATTCAGTTGATCCACAGCATCCGCATGACTTGCGCGCATATGGCTTAAGGTATCGGCATGCTCAGCATCACGCCTGGCCAGTTCCGATTCGTGCTTCACAAGCAACTCTGACTCGCGCTCCTGGTGCGCCAAAAGCTCTGCTTGGATCCGTGTCAGCTCATCACTGAGTGATTTGGCCGTCTGCTTGTGAGCAGCGTCTGATTCCATTCGCTCGTGTACACGTTCTTCTTGCGTGTCGAACAGTGCCTTTTGTGTCTGCTCCTGTCGCTCGTGCACATCGCAAAGCTCTTGCGTCTGGTGTTGGTTTTTGGCCTGCAGAAGCTGCGTCTCTTGCAAGGCGTGGTTAGCCTGATTTAGCTCTTTAGCTCGCCGTTGCTGTGCATCCTCAAGGTAGGAGTGAGTGTTTTCGCGCTCCTTCGCATGCTGGTCACGCGCATCTTGCAGCGCTTGGCGTGTCTCATTCAACTCTGTTTCTTGTAGTCGATGCCCCCGTTCGAACGACATGCGCATGCCCTGCGTCTCTTCGCTGTGCCTGCGCTGTGACTCGTCCATCGCAGCTCGTGTAGACTCGAGCTCTTTTGCATGCTGCTGTCGCAGCTCGTCCATGGCCACTTGCATGTCATTGCGTTCCGTCGCTAGCTGCTGCTGCATGGCATCCAAAGCACCTTGAATGTCCTCGAGCTCCTTTGCATGGAAGTCTCTGGCCCGCTCGGATCCACTGCGTGCCTTCTCAAGCGCTTCTTGCGTGTCATCGTGCTGCTTCTTCAGTCCGTCCATCGATACACGCAAATGATTTCGTTCAGTGGCAAGTTGCTGCTGAGCATTGTCATGCGCAGTGCGAGATGCCTCGAGCTCATTCGCGTGTTCCTCTTGGGTTTGATGAAGCGCGAGACGCAGCCCTTCAAGTTCTTTGTCATGTTGCTTTTTGAGTTCATCGATCGAGACATTCGCGTGGTTCCGCTGTGTAGCCAGTTGCTGTTGGGCTGTAGCTAGGGCGACACGTGCCTCGTCGAGCTCAATCATTAGGTCGCTCCTGGCTTGCTCTACAGCTTGTCGGGCTTCTTCGAGCTCGTTTTCATGCTGCCTCTTGAGTTCATCGATCGAAGCATTCGCATCGTTCCGCTCCGTGGCGAGTTGCTGCTGCGCCGTAGCTAGAGCGGCGCGTGCCTCATCAAGTTCCATCAACAAGTCACTCCGGGCTTGTTCTACAGCTCGTCGAGCTTCTTCGAGCTCGTTTTCGTGCTGCTTCTTGAGTTCATGGATCGCGACACTCGCATCATTCCGCTCTGTAGCCAGTTGCTCCTGCGTATCAGCGAGCGTCAAGCGTGTCTCTTCGAGCTCCTTCGCATGCGCAGCTTGCATGCGCTCTAAAGCAAGACGAGCCTCCTCGAGCTCGCTGGTATACTGCTTCTTGAGCTCGTCCCTTGTGACGCTCATGTGATTGCGTTCCGTCGCAAGTTGCTGCTGTGCCGCCATAAGCGCTGTATTCACATCACCCAGCTCAGTTGCATGCAGCCTCTTGAGCTCGTCCACTGATTCGTTCATCCGGTTCTGCTCGGCAAGCAGCTGCTGCTGAGCCTTATCAGTCGTTTCTCGGGATCCGTCTAGTTCCCGGGCATGTTCCTCATTCGCATGCTTCAGCGCCTGCTTCACATCGTCCAATTCTTTCGTATACTGGCTCTTGAGCTCCTCCATCGCTGCATCCATACGAGCTTGTTGAGCGGCAAGGGTCTGTTCGGCTTGGCGAAGCGAGTGGCGCATTTGATCCAATTCTTTTGTGTGCTGCTGCTCTCGAGCTTCCTGCGATACATTAGCATGTGTCTGCTCGACCGCGTGGAAGCTTTGTGCTTCTTCCAGAGCTGCGTTCGCACTGTCTAGCTCTTTTGCATGCCGTTGCCGAATGTCCTCAAAAGACACACTTGCATCACGCCGGTCCTGGTCGTGACGTTGCTGTGCACGTTCGAGTAGCTCGTGCATATGATGAATCTCATTGGCATAATGTTGCTGAGTCTCCTCCATTGACAGGTTCAGCTTCTTGAGCTCTGTATCGTGCTTCTGTCGCTGCTCTTGTAGCGACGAAAGCAACTCCTCGGCCCGCTTGAGCCCCCGCTGTTCGGCCGCGGCGCTCGCCATACGCAGCTCATTCGCGTGCTGTTCTTCCAAATGGCGTCGCTCTTGCTCAAATTGTAGAATGATCTGGAGCTTCTGCTCGTCGTGCTCGCTTTGCATTTCATTGATCCGGTGTTCTTGTTCGGCCAAAGCGGGGCTTGTAGCAGACCGATCAGTCGGCTCGTTATCTGCTTCATCCTCCTGCAAAAAGTCACCGAGTTCCGTGTGTTGTGCACATAGCAGACTCAGTCGCTTTCGTAAGTCTTTTTGCCGCTTTCCCGTCGATGCAAGCTGCATCGACAATCCACGACGATGTGCCTGAAGCCGCTCAACCTCGTCCATCAGACCGCCATGCTCATCGGAACCAGGCGACTCTTCCGACAATGCATGCACATTCTCATTTCGAGAGGGCGTGCCACGCTGTGAGCTCGGACTGCCGGTGTGCGTGTTGAAAGAACGAGCAAGGCGTGATGTGCTTCCGCGCGGGGTGAGAAAGCCATGCGTCCATGTGTGGGGAGTTCGCATCCCACGGGACGACGAGGACGTAGACATGTCCATCGTGGGCGGCGGACGTTCCGCGTGTGGGGGAGCACGGAGTACAGCCACATGGGGAGAAAGCAGTCGATTTTGCGCATCATGAAGACCATCTGAAGCCTCAATAAACTGTTGCATGACTTGGTCCGTCCGCTCCATGGCTGACGACACCTCCAGCATCTTGGCATGAAGATCATCTCGCTGCGTCGCAGGATCCTCGTGCGTGGAGGCAGCGCCTACAGTTTTTGCCGTACTACTGGGCTTGTACGCGTGCAGCATATGTGTGGCGCCGCGCATCTTCTTCTCTAGGGATATGCGCTCCTGCATGCTCTTGAGTGAGGTGCTTAGCTTGTGCTGCTTCCGGCGTAGTTCAGCCACTTGCTCGAGTGAAAGCGCCTGATACGGCTCAGCCTCAAGGAGCGAGTACGTAACGAGCAAGTCATCAAGGAGCGCGACGGACGAGGCGGATACATTCGACGTATCTGCGTCGGCACTATGCAAGTACGAAGGCGTCTGCGGCGCCGTATAGGCTGACGAAGAGGCAGCATCCATACCAAGCCCATTCACACTGTTTAAGCTGCGTGCCGACCGCGATGTTCGTGATGACGACAGCGCACTGGTATCCATGAGATCGGAGATCGGCGGCAGTAACGAACTATGATGGACCTTGGATAACCCTAGATGCTCGTTGCCGCTGGCACCCGCATCGTTCATGACACACACGACACGCACGCCACTATATCACACGCAGATCCCCTTCAAAGAGCGATTCACACGCCACAGTACAATCAGGACACGCCAGTCAGCCAGTCAGTCAGTCAGTCAGTCAGTCAGTCAGCCAGCCAGCCAGCCAGCCAGCCACACCCACAGACAAACAAAGTGCCGCCCAGGAGAATCTATCCATCCTTTCATATTCAAATCATCTTGGCGCGAAAAGCACCGGCCTGTATCACGTGATTAGCGCTTTTCCTGGGTGGCGGAGATGGGAGAGACGTGTGCGCGCGTGTGTGTGTCGGTAAGGGGGCCGCTGTACTGCAGGCCCAAAAATTGGGGGTGTGTGCAGACGAGAGGGGAGTCAAGATTCGACGAGCGAGTGGCACTTCAGTTACCATTGAGTCGGACGCACGAAATCTCGCTGCGTCTTGACAAATAGACCGAGGCCAAGACGACGATAACCATCTCCAAGACTGCTTGAGTGAAACTTTTGAACAATATGGGGCCAGGTGCATTTTTTGGCCAGCTACGTGGGCTGGATGCCTTCGGACGTGTGCGTAGAAGGACCGAGACGAACAAACGAACATGTGCTAACTTTATCTTTTCCCTATCGTTTAGATGTCCGATGATGTTCGGATTCGCACCAATGTGGGGGCATTGCTCACGCTTACGAGTGCACTAATGATTCTTGTTCTCATTGTGAGCGAGTTCCTCGACTACCGCCGTGTGCAAACAAGTCCGCGCCTAGAGGTCGACTTGAGCCGCGGCGAGCGTTTGGCGGTGCAATTCAACGTGACGTTCCCTCGGATCCCCTGCTATTGTACGTGCTCCATGCGATGCGTGTGCCATCAGCTATACTAACGCGAATGCCAAAGTGCTATCACTGGACGTCGTGGACGTCGTGGGCGAGACTCAAATGGACGTGCATCATGACGTTGAACGGCGCCGATTGGACGAGACAGGCAAGCCTGTGTCCGAAGAAGTGATCCGTGAACTGGAGAGTGAGGCGAAACGGGTTATTGCGGAGCGTGGACCGGACTACTGTGGTGACTGTTACGGTGCCGATCCTCCAGAAGGTGGGTGCTGTAACTCGTGTGATGCTGTGCGAGAGGCCTATATGCTCCACAACTGGTCATTCACTTCGCCGGATGACATTGAGCAATGTGCGCAAGAACATTGGTCCGAGCATGTGCGAGAACAGAACCACGAAGGATGCAACATTGCAGGCGAGGTACGCGTGAACAAGGTCGTGGGCAACTTGCATTTTATCCCCGGCCGCACCTTCCATCGCAACGACATCCACACGCACGATCTTGTGCCATATTTGCACGGAACAGGCGACGACGTTCACCACTTTGGCCACAAGATTCACCGTTTCAGCTTCGGCATGGAAGACGAGTTCGCCATCGAGCGTACGTCGCGAGGAAGGCGACAGGGCCCCCTCAAGAACCGCATGGGCATTAAAAATGCCCTCGAGGGCCGCTCCGCCAAGACACTCAGCAGCAATTACATGTTCCAGTACTTCTTAAAGGTCGTGCCGGTGGAAGTGCACAAGCTGAATGGGCACGAGATGAGCACGTATCAATACAGTGCGACGTCATACGAGCGAAATCTGGAAGACTTTGACCGCGGCGGACAGATGAGTGGGCACATCGTGCGGATGATCGAGGGCATCCCCGGCGTCTACTTCAACTACGAAATTTCGCCACTGCGTGTCATTCAGACCGAATGGCACCACTCGATATGGCACCTTGTATCGAATTTGTTCGCCTTGATTGGTGGAATCGTCACTGTCGCTGGCCTGATTGACGGCGCTATATATCGGTCTCGTCGTACGTTCAATATAGTTCGTGGCTATGGGGATGACTCTGAGGGGCTCAGCATGGAGGCTAAGCTGCTGTAATGGTCGATCCATCCCTTGGCACATCACAGATCGGGCGGCCCAAGCCGTGAGAACGGATGGTCCGTTCCCTCTTAGCGTCGATGTGTTCCCCTTTCCCATTACCTTTTTTTCTTCTCAATGGCCTCTATTCTTGCTCCTCCCACCCCAACCCCCGACTCTTTCCCTTTCCCACCCTCTTTGCTTGCTTGTTCCACACGCATCTGCGATGACGACGCAACGTAATCACTACATGCAGCAGCTATACGCTCCATAAGATACTCTTTCGTGACTTGGTCTGTCTGTCTACCTGTCGACCTCACCAAACACGAGATCCATTGTACCGATGATAGCCACCATATCTGGCAAGTAGTGATGACGCGCAACAAAGTCGGCGCCAGCGAGATGACGGAAGCCTGGTGCAGAGATCGAGCAGCGGTAAGGACGGTTCGTACCGTTCGATACAAGATACACGCCCATCTCTCCCTTAGGGGCCTCAATGGCACTGTACGTCTCGCCTGGTGGCACGGTGAATCCTTCCGAGAACAGCTTAAAGTGATGAATCAGACTCTCCATGCTCTCCTTCATCATCGATCGCGATGGTGGCGCAATCTTGTGGTCATCGACCTTGATCTGGCCGGCAGGCATCTTGTTCAGGCACTGGTGGATAATCCGAAGCGACTGACGGAACTCTTCAATACGGCACAGGTAACGGTCAAAGCAGTCACCGTTCTTGCCGACGGGCACATCGAATTCTACCTGGTCGTAGGCATCGTACGGCGCGACCTTCCGGATATCCCAAGGAATGCCACTGCCACGCAACATGACACCACTGAAGCCATAGTTCAGCGCATCCTTCGCAGATACCTTTCCAATGCCGATCGTACGCTCACGCCACACCCGATTGCCAGTAACAAGTTCTTCAATCTCGTCCACACGGCCGGCAAACTGAGTGGCCCAGTGGTAGATGTCATCCAGGAGACCCGGCGGCAGGTCGTACGTGACACCACCGGGGCGCACGTACGCCGCATGCATACGTGCACCTGACACACGCTCATAAAACTCCATGATCTTTTCACGTTCCTCCAAACCCCAGACGAAGGGTGTCAGACCACCAACGTCCATGATGTGCGAAAGAACAGCCATACAGTGGTTTGAAATGCGGGTCAGCTCACCGTACAAGGTGCGAATCCACTTTGCACGCTCCGGCACCTCAATGTTCAGTAGCTTTTCAACGGCCCGCGCAAAGCATAGCTCGTTCGTCATCATAGAGCTGTAGTCAAGTCGGTCAAAGTATGGCAGGGCTTGTGTGTACGTCTTGTATTCGATAAGCTTTTCTGTTCCACGGTGCAGCAGACCGACATGTGGCTGTTCCATGCGTTAGTTATGCATGCTCTTGGGCAATCCCATTCCGCCTCCAATCACACTGTGGCCTCGGCATGTGTACGTACATCAACACGAAGAATCTCCTCTCCGTTCAGCTCCATGATCAGACGCAGCACACCGTGAGCGGCTGGGTGCTGCGGACCAAAGTTCACCGTAAAGTGACGCAAGTTCGCATCTTTCTGCGTGCCTTCCTCCTTCAGCAGCGTTGCAGCATCAATGCCTTGCAAGTCTTCGACAGTCGTGGCGGTGTGTGTTGGGTTCTCCACCTTCTTCTCGGCCTCCGTGGCAAACGAGCGAGGCATCGCACGAGCAAGCGCCACACTAGGACGCATCGCACCCCGCGCTGCTCGCACGCTCACTGTGCGCAATGTGCTCGGCAGCATCGAAACCATCGTCACACCTGTGCGATCAGAGACGTAGGGAAAACGAGCCAGCCATTCAATCACTCGCTCTTGCAAACTCGCCCTCCCCGGCGGCACATCCTCCGTCTCGGCCGATAACATGTCGCATACCTCGCTAGGTCATCTCCGCTCGAACCGCTCTTGTGCGACACATGACACTGGCGGTCAATTGTGCGCTAGCGATCAAGAGACAGGGCATGTCGATGAAGTGATTCTACAAGCTACGGAAAAACATGAGAGAAGGAAACAGAGAATGTGGCATTGATTTCGTCCGTTGAACCAGAAGCGCACGCGTCCAAACCGCCGCCTAGCCGCGCGGCGTCCGATCAAATTCATCGAGAATTTCCTCAGTGGCAAGACGCATTTCATTCGCCATTCGATGCACTTCCGTGCCAGGCTGATTGTACATAAGAGCATTCGCATACATAAGAGAAAATGCACACCGCAATTCCACGGACGAGGCAATCAAACCCTCCTTGATGCGCTGCTTTATCAGCTTCAGATCCATGGGCTGCTTCACAACGGTATAATAGTCTGGCGCATCTACCTCCTTGATAGGCTGGTGGAACAGGTTTGCATGTGTATGATTCGACACTTGATTGTGCAACATAAGAAGTAGTTGCATCATTCGCCGGCGATTCTTGTCCCGCTCGGCGTCAGAGAGCTTGTCATGCGTGTTGTCATTGGCATGGCGCGCCGCTTGTGTTCGTGGCTCAGACACCTCTGCTGGACCTGGCGATGATGGTGGCGTCGGTGTGTGAAATGCTGAATCGCTTTCCTCGCGTGCTGGATGTTCCGGCACCAGACCCGGCTCCTGGGCCTGTCCTTGCGACTGTGATCGAGAGCGCGACCGTGAACGAGGGCGCGAATGTGAGAGCGACTGTCGACGTGAACGCGTGCTGTACGTAGTCGTAGCAGCGCGTGGTGTCAGGGTAGAACGGGTCTCTTCAGCCGTGGTATCGTGTGGTGTGCGCGACGTCGGCGCCTCTTTCGTATCGCCCAGCAAATCCTGCTCTACTTGGAGATCATCGTCTTTGTCTGGGCCATCGTCCACTTTCATGGGATCAGACGTGCGCTTACGATCGGACTCAGGTGCAGCTTCAGACGCTTTCCATGACTCACGCCGAGTCGGCGACTCGGGTGGAGGCTGGATATCTTGCGACGATGCTGGCATAGTCTCCTGCGAAGGCTCTGGTCCTGCATCCGAGTCTGGCACGGTCTCAGACTCAGGCCCTGCCTTTGGCTCTACAGGTATGTCTTCTTGTGCCATTTCAACATCCTCTGTGTGCATAGACTCCCGGTTCGTATGTGGTGGCGCATCGTGTTTGGTCTTGTGTGTCTCGTCCTGCGCTTCCTCCGTCACCGCCCTCTGTGTTGACTCAGAGAAACGTGGATCATGCTTTAGCTCCGCATCTAATTTTCCTTCGCGTAGATCCTGTATTCTTTGGTGCAGAGAACGAAAATCGCTCTCCTTTTCTTGGATGTGACGCAAAAGCTCCTCTAGTCGTGCGGCATACAATCGCTGAGCAAGAGCGAGCTGCACACCCCGATCCATGCGTGAGGGCTCAGACGGCACATGCGTTTTTACGAGAGTTGTCCACACCTGTTCACACGCCTGAGCGCTAAACATCTGCGAAAGGCTATTCCCATGTGATGGATCCAGCTGCATCCGACTCGAACCTTTCATGCATGGATGTGCGAGAATACGTCTCGATATGCAATCCCAATCGGGAGGCACTTTCCCATCTTGGTGCACCGTCTGAGCCAGCAGCAACTGATCAGACAAAGGGATCAACGCTCCTTCGCGCTCCATTCCGCGACTCCCTGACTGGAGCAGTGAAGCGGCCCGCCTTCCCCCACGCCAGATGAAACGCTGGCTAGTAGCCTGGCTGAAATTTGAATGTTACCGGCGGCTGGGGGGATATCGAATCATTGCTGCTCAACGCTTAATTCGTCTCGCGCCTATGTGATGCAGCGGCCACGTGCGAATGTTGTGTCACCACGCGCGAATGAGTGGAGACACACTGACATGTCGTGCACACGCCGCAACAGAGCGCCGACACTGGTAGAAATCCAAGGAGCTTGTCTCTACGTTGCACTCCGTCTTCACCCAAGCTGAATCCCTTCCCCATTTGTACTGTGACGTGCAAACACACGAGCAGAGAACTATGCAGCCAGAAGGAGAAGCGGCCCAGAAAAAATATGATCGCGAAGATGAAGCATATTTCTCATATTACTCCATGCTCACGCATCAGGCACAAATGCTGCAGGACTCTGTTCGGACGTCAGCATACCAAATGAGCATCATGCAGCATGCGAATCCCTTTTTTATGAACAAGATTGTGATGGATGTGGGCGCGGGAAATGGAATTCTCTCACTCTTTGCGATCCAAGCTGGTGCGCGCCTTGTGTATGCTGTCGAAGCCTCGAATGTGGCTGAGAACCTGCGCCACTTGGTCAGGGCAGCGCGTGAGGAAGACGAGGAAGGCGTGACTGATAAACAAGACGACATCAACGAGAAAAATGAGTCCAGTGAGTATGGAGCGAATGCCTGGATTCGTCATAAGCTTGCTGTGGTGCACTCCCGTGTAGAAGATTTGACGCCCAGCAAGCTTGTCGAATGTACTCCAGCCAATGCAGATGTGGACGAATTTGTGCGTGTGGATACCATTGTGTCAGAATGTCTGGGCGTTCTTCTCGTCCATGAGCGTATGTGTGAAACGTTCCTCGAGGCACGCGATCGCTTCCTCCGTCCTGATGGTGCTATGTTTCCTCGCGTCGGTATCCTGTGTTTCTCACTGCTGAACGACCCACGTATGTGGCAAGAAGTTCGCGCGCGCGGCGAATGGTGGAACACAGACAACTTTTATGGTGTAGATCTCACACCGTTCGTCAAAGCTGCGCGTGCCGAGGCCTATTCAAGTCCTGTCGTGGGATGTTTCTCACCCACCCACATTATTGGTACAACTCCAGACGGCGCCAATGCTGACAGCGCGGTGTGTCGATACATGATTGATTTCAGCACAATCAGTCAAAATGAGTTGCGTGAGTTTCACGTGCCACTTGGCTTCGACTGCGTTGACGAGGCTGTCGTGGTGCATGGTCTGGGTGCCTGGTTTGACTTGAACTTCCTTCAGTCGGATGAACACGCCTTGGTGTCGGACTCCATTTCGACCTACATGACAACGAGTCCCTTTGCTCCCCCGACACATTGGGCGCAAGTGCGCCTGTACTTCCCCGAGCCACTCGCTCTGAATGCGGGCCAAAAGGTGTTTGGCACATTGCACTTTTGTGTGAATGCGAGCCGATCCTACGATATTACGGCAGATGTGTACGTGCCCTACGATGATGATGCTGGTCCGGAAAAGGCATTGTATCGTCGCCGTGCTTTCTGGAAACTCGATAAACAGACATACTCCTGGGAAACATTGTAATAAAACAAGTGCTTCTTGGTCCATGATTTGATCGTGTTCCGCCTGGCTATAGGCGCATGTAGGTTTTCATTTATCCATTGAATAGCAGAAATGTTCGCATTTTTTTTTTCCCCAGCGCTCAAACAACCGCTGTTCGACGAAATTTTTATTTTTTTATTTGGTCTTTGTTTCTGCAGAATTAAGTGCTGCACGTCCATCTGAACTAGGCTCTGTGTGAAGGGGACACGTCCTGATGCGGAAGCAATTGGATCCACGGATCCCAACCCTGATACGAAACAATGTATCAAGCGGGCACAGGTCCTTCTTTGTCGTCGTGGGCGACCATGGACGTGATCAAGTGGTAAATCTGCATTTCCTGCTGTCACAATCACGAGTTGAGGCCAGACCGAATGTGCTTTGGTGCTACAAGAAAGACCTAGGCTTCACCACACATCGTAAAAAGCGCGAGGCGAAAATCAAGCGAGATATTAGGCGTGGTGTCCGTGACCAGGATTCGCAGGACCCGTTCGAGTTGTTTGTCGGAGTGACAGACATTCGTTACTGCTACTTCAAAGACACACCAAAAATCCTCGGTCGCACTTTTGGAATGCTCGTACTACAGGATTTCGAAGCGATAACACCCAACATGCTTGCACGCACAATTGAAACAGTCGAAGGCGGCGGCATTGTAGTGCTTCTGCTCCAAAACATGTCGAATCTCCGGCAGCTACACTCCTTATCGATGGATGTACACAAACGATACCGCACGGCTTCGACGGATGAGGAGCCCGTCGCAAGATTCAATGAGCGGTTTCTCTTGTCGCTAAGTGCATGCGCTGATTGCTTGCTACTTGATGACGAGCTGAACGTGCTCCCCGTCAGTAACGGCAGGGATATCCGACCTCTGCCCGAGACACAGTCGTCACAAAGCACGGGCGGAGTCGGTGCAGCTGTACGACGTGATGCAGCGACGCGCGAGCGAGAAGAAAATATAGCTGCTCTGCGAGCAGACGTGTCGGAAACACGCGTCGTGGGTGACGTGATTCGCCATGCCAAGACCATGGATCAGGCAACGGCTGTCCTAACGATTCTGGATGTGCTAGCGAGCTCGTCCCTCTCAACGACCGTGACACTTACAGCAGGTCGTGGTCGCGGAAAGTCTGCAGCGCTTGGCCTTTGCTTGGCAGCTGCGATCGCGCATGGCTACAGCAATATCTTCGTCACATCGCCGAGCCCCGAGAACCTCAAGACTTTGTTCGAGTTCGTGCTAAAGGGACTAGATACGCTTGGCTACGACGAAGTGGCAGACTGGGACTTGCAGCGTGGCACGGGCGAGTGGAAAGACACCGTGGTGCGTGTCAATGTGTTCCGTGGCCACCGCCAAACCATTCAGTATATCCAACCACAGGACCATGCGGTGCTGAGTCAGGCCGAGCTACTTGTTATTGACGAGGCAGCCGCCATTCCACTGCCTCTTGTGCGCCAATTGCTCGGCCCCTACCTTGTGCTGATGTCGTCCACGATCAATGGCTATGAGGGCACTGGACGCAGTCTCTCGCTCAAGCTTTTCCAGCAACTACGAGCGAACTCGTCGAGCGTGGGCGCTCGCACACTAAAAGAAGTGGAATTGCGCGAGCCGATTCGGTATGCACCCGGTGATAAGGTCGAGGCATGGCTAAACGAGTTGCTGTGCTTGGATGCATCGCTGGCGAAAATGCCCACCCATTCGCGTGATGGATGCCCGCATCCTAGCACGTGTGATCTGTATATGGTGAATCGCGATACGCTCTTCAGCTATCATCCAGCGAGTGAGCTCTTTCTCCAGCGAATCATGGCTTTGTATGTCGCTGGTCACTACAAAAATTCGCCCAATGACCTGCAGCTACTGAGTGATGCACCAGCCCATGCCCTGTTTGTCCTGCTGCCGCCTCTCTCGAGTGGAACGCTGCCGGAGCCATTATGTGTGGTGCAAGTCGCGTTGGAGGGTAACATCAGTCGCCAGGCCATCTTGAACAGCCTTGCACGCGGGACTCGTGATGCCGGCGACTTGGTGCCTTGGCTCATGACGCAGCAGTTCCAGGATGCCGACTTTGCAAGCTTGTCAGGTGCGCGGGTCGTCCGCATTGCTGTGCATCCCGAGTACGCTCGCATGGGCTATGGCGCACGTGCACTAGAGCAGCTTGAAATGTTTTACGAAGGCGCACTTCTTGATCCCGATGCACACGCGGAGAAAGTGGCCCGTGATGCATCTCGTCCAGCGACAACACGCACCGAGTTGGGTGGTCGAGAGCCCAAGTCCTTGCCACCCCTGCTCGAGCGGCTGTCGGAGCGACAGCCTGAATCACTGGACTGGCTCGGTGTATCGTACGGACTAACGTCGGAGCTCTTCAAGTTCTGGAGGCGTGCAGGCTTCACACCCTTGTACATCCGGCAGGTGCCTAATGAGCTGACGGGCGAGTATTCCGCTGTGCAAATCAAGACCCTACATGGCCAGCAGTCGTGGCTGAGTGCCTTTGCTGGTGACTTCCGCAAGCGCTTCTGCAATCTGCTATCTTTCCGTTTCCGTGAATTGCGCACTGTGACAGCACTTGGCATCCTCGAGGCAGCTTCTGCTGCAGTAGCAGCGGTGCCGGCACCGGAGGCGACGGCCGCTCGTACGACCGAGTCTGTGCCCTTATCATATCCTGAGCTGCGCATGCTATTGACGCCCTTTGACATGAAGCGCCTTGAGTCCTACGGCAACAATCTACTGGAACTGCAGATCGTCGTTGATTTGCTACCGACGCTCGCGATGCTATACTTTGGGCGTCGACTGCGCTCGGCCGATGACGAGTCGGACATGGAACGAGAGCTCTCGGTGAGTGGTCTATCGGCGGCGCTGCTCTTAGCCATCGGTCTGCAGCGGCGCTCCCTGGATGACATTGCAAGTGAGTTGCAGATTGCTGTACACCAAGCGCACACACTGCTCTGCAAAGCCGTAAGGCACATGGTTCAGAGTCTTCGTGCGCTTGAGAAGCGCGACGCAGAGGCTGTCGTCGATGCACAAGCCCCTCGCATAGAACAGCAGAAACTGTGGGCACCGGTAGCAGAAAATCTTGAAGAAGAACTTGCAGATGCTGGTCGTGACGCTGTTGAGCCTGACGCTGGCCAGCGCGCATTCACACAAGAGCTGCTGAATGATACTGAAATGTCCAAGTATGCGATTGCGCAGGACGATGATAATGCATGGAAAGAGGCTGAAGCTCGCGTTCGAAAGATGCAAGATGACTCTACTGGACGCTCGTATTCTTCTACATTTAGTATTCGTGCGCCAGAGGCCGCGCAACGCGATTCGGAGAGTGGGCGTCAAGATGATGTTTCTTCCTCGAAGAAGAAGCGGTCGGCGCCATCTTCAAACAAGGCGGCTGCCTCTGGTAAGAAACGCCGAGCATCTCGCGCACACTCATAGCTTGCACTGTCTTTTTCTTCTCTCATGTATATGTGCACGTGCCTATAGCTACCTGATTTGGTACATGAAGGCCTTGGGCCTTGCAGCCATGGCTGACAGCTGTTTTGGATCAGTTCCTCTGACCATGGGCCGACAACACACAGTAGTTCTTGGTTGTTCGCACAATCCTAGGCCTGTTGCTCCCTGTTCCAATTTGTTTGGATCAGTATTCGGCCGAAATAGCATCTGCTCTTTCGTTCGTGCCTGGAGATGTGCTGAATGCTTGGGCACACATCCGACGGTGTGGACAGGCCGTGTCGAGAGGTACGATATTTTTCATGTCCGAGCAAGAAGCCCAAAGCCCAGCAGCTGCATCGGAGAACAGCGGGACCGCTGACGACCTTCTCGAGCGGCTCCTAGAGTGTGACGGGCAGCTTGCTGACTTGCTACGCACAGCCTCTCAAGCCATATTAACACTTGCTCCTGGTCAAGATGGACCGCTTGAATCTTTTGATACATACATGCAGCAATGGTTCACGACGTTAAATGTACGTACACGCGTCCTGCCGTCTAGACAATGCCGCCGGCTCGCCATACTCACACACACGCCCACAGGACATCCAACTTACGCTGCGACATGCAGCCCATGCGCTTCGACAAGCGCGGCTTCCTCCCATCATGTCGCCGGCCGCTGCTCAGGCGCGGCTTCGTGGCGAGGCTGGGGTTGCCGGCGTGTCGCACACACTTACATCAACAACGCCTTTTAGCCTGTCTACGCTTCGACTTCGTGAGGCGGCATGGCGCCACGTGGCTGAGGCGCTCGCACAGGCGCCCGCAGATACTGGCTCCGAGACCCTGTTGTCGGTGCTGCAACACGGGGCCTCGCTGGCAGCACGTGACGAAGTTTAACCCGACCCGACATGTCAAACTGGTCGGGCCGTGCGCAGTCACCGTTTGTTACGAACCACAATGTCGAACGCGCTGGAATCATTGAAGCAATACACAACTGTGGTGTCAGACTCGGGTGACTTTGAGTCGATCTCCGCTTACAAGCCGCAGGATGCTACGACCAACCCGTCGTTGATCCTTGCGGCGGTGAAGGAGGAGAAGTACGCCAAGATGGTGGCTCCCGCCGTTGAGTATGCGAAGAGCAAGGGCGGTAGCCGCGACGAGATGATCGAACATGCTACGGACCGCTTGCTCGTGTCGTTTGGCGAAGAGATTCTCAAGATCATCCCTGGCCGCGTGTCGACGGAGGTGGATGCGCGTCTGTCATTTGACAAGCAAGCCACCATCGACAAGGCCATCAAGCTTATTCAACTGTACGAGTCGGTGGGCGTGTCGAAGGAGCGTGTGCTGATCAAGATTGCTTCAACTTGGGAAGGCATTCAGGCCGCGCGTGAACTGGAGTCGAAGCACGGCATTCACTGCAACCTGACACTTCTTTTCAGCTTCTGCCAGGCTGTGGCATGCGCTGAGGCGAATGTGACGCTTATTTCGCCATTCGTAGGCCGCATTCTCGACTGGTTCAAGAAGAACAAGCCTGACGCAGACTACAGCGGAGCGAACGACCCTGGTGTCAAGTCTGTACAGCTCATCTATAACTACTACAAGCAGCATGGCTACAATACAATCGTCATGGGTGCGTCTTTCCGCAATACGAGCGAGATCGTTGAGCTGGCCGGTGTGGACTTCCTTACGATTGCGCCCAAGCTGCTGGATGAGCTGAAAAACAGCCAGACGAAGCTCGAGCGCAAGCTGTCGAAGGAAAACGCCCAGGCAGCTAAGCCTATCGAGAAGCACTCGTACATCGACAATGAGTCGGCGTTCCGCTGGGCACAGCTGGAAGATGCAATGGGCTTTGACAAGCTCCATGAGGGTATCCGCAAGTTTGCCGACGATGCCGTGACTCTGAAGGAGATTATTGGCAAGCAGCTTCTGTAGATGGTAGGTACAAGAAACAATCGTTAGGCACTACCCCTGGGCAGCCGAAGTGCCAGGCACTCATTCCATGTCCTTGTGACTGGAAGGCTTTTTCAGTTCTTTTTGTTGGCCATGCGGCGACGGCTCTGCCGTTAGTTCTGCAGGATCCAGCGGCGTTTCGGCTCCTTCGGCCACGGCAGTGGGTGGATCCGGAGGCATAGGATATTGCATCGACCACAGGTGCTCCTTCGCTCTTTGCTGACTATGCTGCCGCTGCATAGCACGGAACTGGTTTTCTCGCCACCACCAAGCTCTTGCATGTGATACGAGGTGCGCGTCTGGCTTCCGACTCGCATTGATTCCCAGGTCGCCAGGGTTAGAGCTGCCACCCACCGATAGACCAATGCGGCGAAGGCGCGAAAGTCGGCGGAGACCAGCGACCGTCACGACGACGGCCATGATGTAGGCGATAGCACTCATTCCGTAAAACGCATACGGGTGTTCCTCCAGATGCGAGGTCAAGTTCATTCCAAACAAGCCAACGAAGAGCGTTGCAGCTGACACGCCCAGCGTCACGATACTGGTGCCAAGATCGAGCGTCAAGAGCCTGTTCCGATTGCTATCCAGAATGAGCTCGACGATTTCCTGTGTATTGTTGACGTTTGCATAGATCTGATCGATTTCGTATATGACCTCCTCGACCTGTTTTTCAAAACTTTCGAGGAGTAGCTCCAATTCTTGCAGATTGCTATTTCTCGTTTTCGGCTCGCCTTTTTCCGCAGCAGTGAGGTACATCAGCGCCATATCTTCATCGCTCTCGAGCACCTCCGTCACTGCCACCTTGATACCCCGCGATCGACTGAGAAACCCGTTCAATTTGCGAGAAATTTGCAGCAGCATTCGAAGCTTTTCCCGATCAATATCATCTTCGAGCGATTCCAGCAGGTCGTCCACCACAATCCTCAGCCAGCTGAGCTCCGAGCGCAGTGCATCCAGTACAGAGGCCAAAATTGACTCAAGGGCACGAAACTCGTACGGCATTGATGATGCATTTTGGCGTAAATTGTGCTCCAAGCTGTACACGAACGACGTATGCAAGCGCGCATCCGTGTTATAGCCGTCAAAGAGCAGGACAGCGTCAGACTTGACCATTGCGCGGATATGCAGAACATTCACCAAGATGCCACTCTTTCGTGCGAGAATGGTCGGCACCAAATTGGGCACGCGAGAATCGATCTTTCGTAGATCTCGCGGCTCGAGGCCATGATGTGAACAGAGCTCCGATTTTTTAAACACACCCGAAATCGTCTTGATCGATCCTTTCGAGTCGAGAATCGTACAGCGGAGTAGAATGCTCGGTGAAAGCTGTGTGAGACCAGTGCCCGGTATATCAGCTGCGCGTGTGTTGAGACTCAGCGGCGTCTCAGACGTTGTCAAGGCGCGGAACAGACATGTGCGTGGGATCCAGCCATTTGTACATGGGCGCACTGGCGAGTACATGCGCATTATCGCCAAGGAAGATGCCACCCACCCACCCACTCGGCTCATTCGTTATCTAGCGAACAAGAGCGTCTCTGTTGCTTGGCTTGGTGGCAACGGCGATCAAAAAATTGTACGATTCCATTAGCTCCCTACAGCCATTTTCTCCGTTTCCTTCGAATCCGTGAGTGTGTGGAGGAGGTAATTCGACACGCGCTTCATGCAAATTGGACCTGGGTCTGGCGTACGTTGTCAAACAAACGCGTGAAGTGAAGTCGCAGGACATGAATGAAGGCTCGTCTTCGGCAGCACATGAGGGAGAGATCGCTTGGTTTCATGCAGGCACTGATTTGTCACGCTCACATGCTCTTGACATCTGCGCCGAGCTGGTTGGGCATGTGACACACACGGAGAAAAAGCTCGTCCTTGACGCTTTCCAAAGCTCTCTTGCTGTGCCTTGGTGCATCTCCAACCAATATTACCAGGCCCATGTTCATCACGTATATTTAGAAGAGTTCAATCAAATAGGAGGCCGACCAGCTGTTGTTCTTCTTGTTCGGCATGATATGAGCCAGGATGCTCATCAACAGGTCCTTGATCGCTTACGAAGCGAACAAGAAGTGGACGTGGCACTGGTTCTGGGAGTGCGAATGGACAACGAAACACCAGGAGGAAGCAAAGAGGTCTTATCGGGACCAGATGTTGATGAACTGGATGCAATGTATGGCTCAACAGGCTGGGAGTACATGGAGTTGATACCTGACGCGCCCAAGCGAATATCCGAGGCACTCATGGCTCATTCCTCATGGCCCGGTATGCAGCTGACTGAGAAGGGCACTTCCAAAGGCGGGGATGAAAACGAAGATGAAATGGGTGAGTTCCAGACGTTTCAGGACCCGTTTTTGGCTGCAGTGAGGGATGCTAGTGACAATACCGAAGACGATCCACTCATGGAGATGTTCGAACAAATACACACAAAATTGGACTACGTCAAATCACTACCCTACGGCCCAGCTAGAGAAAGAGAAGCTGCACGAGTAGCGCTGGCTTTCCAACGATCTGTACCATAGCCTAGTAGCGCCCCTTCAATGTACATAGAAAACAACAATTTTCACTTTATTCTTGTTTTTTTTTTTTTTTTTTTTCAAATTTTGGTTCTCAACATATCCTTTGTACTCTTTCTTCCGGCACTCACAACCTTGATGTATTTTCAAGTCCTTTCCATAGACATGTTTTTCACGCATCAAATACACAATCCCGAAACGTGAGCAGCAAGAATATGGTCAAGCGTATCCACAACCCTAGACGAGTCCGAGGTTGCATTTTTTTCCTGACTTTCTGATACGTACACTTCAGCACGTACAGCCTGAACATGCTGGCGCCAAGCCGAGTCTGACACGGAAAGTTGAAACTGGGTCCGGCACAAGAAGAACGACTCCATACGATTCAGCTCATCCAATGGGATTCCTGTGACTTCATGCCATGTTTTGTTCAGAAAGGTATGATCGTCCAAAAATTTATTGGCCATCATGAGACCCAGCGTCAAGAGCTTGAAAGGTGCCGTTGAAATCGGATGAGCCAGCAAGCTAAGAGCTGTATGGGTCTCGCCTGAGCCATCATCCGGCCACATAGTGCCTTGTAACATGTGCACGTAGTGCAGAGCTAACAGCAGCGTCATAGGAGATACCAGTGTCTGCGCGAGGACTTGATGTGTAAAATGGCGGAAGGCCGGGCTCACTTCGCCGAGAAGTACCGAGTGCTCGCGCTCACGCTTCATAGGCGTTCGAGCGCGTCTTTCTGACGACGGCATGCGGGAATGATGTGCGGAACAATGGCCTAAAGAAGGGAATGGTCGCTGCTGCATGTGTCCCATGGCACGTACAAGACGATGCAGATCGGCTGAACGCTCATCCCGAGCCGGCGACAGATTTGCTTCGTGTGTTGGTTCGCTCAGTGTCTTCCCAGCCGTTGCTGGCGTCGGACTTGGCGGTGTCGTAGGCTCAGCAAAACTGTGAGAACTGTGTGAAGACGAGGACAAATTTTCGTCATGGGCAAGAGCTTCTGGCGAGAGCGAGCGTACCTCGGGAAAAGACGACAAACGTGCGCCACTTCGTGTCGTTGATCGTCGAAGTCCCACAATCTCTGCGCTTGCCTTCCACACGGCTTCAGCGCCGAAATCCGAAAGAACTACGGCGGTTTTCTCGAGTGGCAAGGGCGGTGCTGACTCTGGAGCAGCAGCAACAGCAGCAGCAGCCGATGCAACCGGCGACGCCGCCACTCGTTGGGTCAGACCCGCACCAGACACTGTCGAATCCGATCGGTGATTGGGCACGGAGGCTTGTATGCTGAACGAGGGCAACATATACGAGGCAGGAGGAGGAAAAGGTGGCCAGGCATTCCATGTTTCATGGGAGGCAGCGCCCCAACTTTGATGGAAAGGCGCAAGGCCGTGAACAGGCATGTGAGCGTGTCCAAAACCGAAACTTTGACTACGCCCATGCCCATGTTGTGGCCCATGCTGCTCCTGACTGTGATCGCGTCCACCTCGGGGGGCCTGCCCATAATGCTGCTGGTCGTAACCATGCCTGTGTGGGTCCCAAGCACACATGGGTGGACCCAACGCGTACGTGGTTGGCATCGGCATCCAGCCATGTTGTTGCAGGTGTGGTGGGACCAACGAGGCCGCATTGTACCAAGCATCTGGCGGATACGCTGGCACCATGAACTGCGGCTGGATGTATGCTCTCGCAGCCTGGGGTCGAGGAGCCGGCGGTGGCACACACATGTACACCGGTGGTGCGTACGAACCAGGATCTAGAAAAGGCACTGTACGTTCATACTGTACACCAGTGTCTGAACCAGACCGACTCATGTATGGGAGTCCTGAGTGGGTGGACACCATCATGTTTGCCATGGGATGAGCCAAGGGCGGGCTGGTTCCGTTGTTCCACCGCGTCTTGGTGTGAATCCAGCCCGGAGTGACGTCCAATGTCAAACTCTCGACCCCGAATGCTCTTAGTGGCAACGGCGGAGCTCCCAAGACCCAGGGTAATCGACAGATCTGTGCGATCGGTTCAAAGGGTGGGGGGTGAGGCGCTTTAGCAGGGTGTTGAGTTTTTTTTTTGTTAAAAATGTAGTTTAAGCAACGGCTCCTGGTTTAGTCCACCGTAGTACTTTCCCATATTTTCACCCACCCCCCACGAGGGAGGCCAAGATTCTGGGGGCTGAAACGGCCGAATGAATTTTAGACTCGTCACTTGTCCCCGCTGAGAACAATTCTGCACCTAGTCTTGAAATAGCCCTTACCTTACCCCATGTGAGAACAAGCCTGTGTCGGCCGACGGATACGAAACTATCACGGTCAACAAGAGATACCTACGAGGCCAGGACGACGATCGATAAGTCGGTGTGTATGCGTGGAGGCAACGCCAAGCCACAAGGCTAGGAACGAGCGAACGAGATGATTTGGTAGTGCATCACTGGAAATCACCCCAACGACGTGCATGTATGGAAGAATCCGACTTCATTCGCGACACGTATGACTACTTTTTGCACAAGGGCATTTCGAACGACGGACTTGCCGATGGCGTCGAATACACGCGGCAAAAGCAAATAGTGCCACCTTGGGAGAATGAAGTGGCTGACACGACACAGCGTGAAGAGACACCTGTTGACAGATATGGGTTCTTCGACACGCCGGACAAGCGAAACTTGCCCACGATTGTTCTCTCACGCGCGGCCTACGTGCATCGGCGATTCTTCGTCCGCGCTCGCAAGACACGTGCTCCGAAGAAGCGCATGCATCAGCCATCGGCACAGGCTGTCTGGAGCGTTCGGAGACATCTTGAATCGTTAAACGAGGTGCTTGAACTCCGACGCACGCGTAAGTGGTACTCGATGGTCGATGAGGAGCAGCGTCGCATTAGAGTCGATGTGTCACGGGATCTTCTCTTGAAGCGTGTGTACAAAGGCATACCTGATGAGATGCGTGGTCTAGCATGGGATGCACTCTCTTCATCCCAGGCATATGGCCATAGCCAGCAGGGAACACGCCATCGACATACGCCGCAGCCTGTCGATGAGCTGCTCTCACATGCGTCGGAACACGATGTGCAAATTGACCTTGACGTCCCGCGCACGGTTCGCGGGCACGAGCGCTTCTACACACGCTACGGCCGGGGTCAATGTGAACTTTTCTGTGTATTACATGCGATGAGCCTATTTTGTAATGAGTGTGGATACTGCCAGGGCATGGGCCCTTCCGCTGCTATGCTTCTTATGCACATGCCAGCGCAACACGCACTCAAAGTCATGGAGCGCCTGCATGACGAGTATGGATTCCATGACGTATATCGGCCTGGGTTTCCTGGTCTTCGAAGCGAGTTCTACGTGCTACGTCAGCTGCTAGCGACCTTTGTGCCGCGATTCGCTCGCATCTTATATGACGCGGGTCTTGCGCCTAGTGCGTACGCCACGAGGTGGCTCATGACCGTGTACCACGGCGTGCTTCCCTATTCAACGCAGATGCGTGTGTGGGATGTCTTTATGGCGCAGGGCCGCGATGCTTTGTTGCTCGTGGCTGTGGCAATTTTGCGTGTTCTGGATGCTCAGCGCTACGACGAGCACACAAGTGACATTCTTGACTTTGTGAGCATGCAAATTCTACCTGAAGACGATAATGCGATGCTGACGTGGATTCGCCATGCTATGAAGGATCCAGCGGTCCAGTCGTGTATAGCCAAGTCGCGAGCCGACTGGAAACGGCTTGTGGAGCTTGGCAAGGACGTAGAGGAGTTTGTGTAAGATTAGAGTGAACACATCCACGACATGATGATTGGATTGGCGTCGTCACTTGGTTCGATGTGTCATGAAGGGACACCTCCACTACAGGTGGGGTGTGTGAGGCTAGATAGGTAGGAAGAAACATGTGCTCTGTCCGTCAAGTCGAGCGTGAGGAACGTGCTGTCTGGTCGTAGCCGCCGAGTTATGCCAGGGCTGCCGGAAGCTTCGGCTGGATCACCGAACCGGGCACCACAGTTGTCTGCTATGTGCAGAAGAGGTACGTGTGCGTTCATGGCAGGAATCCAGGGGCTAGGGGAGAGAGGCACTAATGTACGCAGTGATCCTTCGCCACATATCCAGTATGTTGATGATGTTGTTGGTCTGCTCATACTTTTTTTTTTTTTGCTTGTTTACTTACTTGGTTGTTTGTCTCAGCCTTGTATGATGTTGGGGATATGCCATACAGAGTAGCAGCTCCGCTCCTGCAGCAGTGTCGGCCAGATCAACTGCGCATGATCGAAGATGCTTCGCCTGTAAGTACGACACGAACCATATCCGCTGTGCCTTGCGCACTCTCTGGATCTCTGCTTACGCTGCTGCAGCATCTTCTTGAATACTCTGATGAGTTGTGGCATCGTGCATGTCTACGGGACTTTTCCGAGCTCCGGAAACTTCATGAGGATGGCACACTACCGACGCCGTCAAGTTGGCGCGATCTATACCGAGTACGTGCATAAGTCGCCCGACCTGTTCTCACACTGCACGAGACCAAGCAGCAACAGACAGAAGAGGCCAAGGCGCTTGCTACAGCGCGTGTTAGGGGCCGTTATGCCGAACATAGTGCACTGAAGGATGCGAAGAAACTCGTCGTGTCGAACCTGCCAATGCCACTCCATCGGCGCCGACGCCCCATGGAAGAGCGGCGTCCAATGAGCTCACTGGAATCGAAAGGCAAATCTATGCTGCTGAAAGCACGTACTGGACATGCGATGCGAACGCGGCAAATGATGCGACCTGTGCGAGTAGGGAACATGCACACAGTTGCGTCACGAACAGGCTTTGTTCGCTCGGCTCCTACACCTCAGCCGACGTCGATGCGAGGTACCAGCTCTAGCGTGAGCACTAGTGCTCCCCCCTCCTCATCCTCATCAGACTGTTCAGCGCGCATGAATGTGCGGCCCTCTTCTGACCAAGCTCGGCGGCTAAATGCGCGGTTTCCTTGAATCCCTCTCCATATACGTAGCACATATACAAACGACCGAACACCAGGACAAGAAAAAAATGATGCATACTATGATGATGAGACTATGTCTTGGAGCGTTGTCAGCTATGAGGCACGTTATCCATAGCTGGGACATCCTTAGGATTGGAGTATCCATAATAGAGATGCACTTCGTGCGACTGGTGTACAAAAATAATTCCACGAATGTGGATAAATAAATGCATGGGCCAACCAAGTCGAGAAAGAAACAATCATTTGCCTGCACAGAATTGTGACGCTCCACCGACATTCGCGGCCAAGTGGTCCAAGAGCAGAGACGGTAGAAGGACCAAGCGAGTGGCAGCGAGCGGATGCCATGTCCTTCAACTTTACATGGCCTGAGTTTTCTGCTGAATTCTATGAATACGCCGTGCAGACACTGACGACGGCGCTGAATCGCGGGCAGAAACCCAAATCGATTGTGGGCGATATCCATGTCAAAGGACTACATATGGGCCGAGTGCCGCCGGAGCTCGAGATCCTGGAGATTGGTGATTTGAGTCGCGAGCGCTTTCGAGGGATCTTCCGCTTTGTCTACGCTGGCGATGCACACCTGGAGTTCTCGACGGGTGTTCAGGCGAACCCACTAGCTCGTGGATCGGAGGACCACGGCATCTTCAGCGGGCCTATGACGTCGCGGGGCATGCTTTTTGCCGCGAGTCCGCTTACTGTGCCTATGCGTGTATGTCTGTCGGATTTCAAGCTGCGCGCCATTGTCGTACTCGTGGTGTCGCGAACGAAAGGCATCACACTCGTGTTCAAAAACGATCCCCTCGAAAGTGTCAAGGTCAGCTCAACGTTCGATAGCGTCGGCGTGATCCAGCGCTACTTGCAGGAAGAGATTGAGGGACAACTGCGCGAAATGTTCCGTGCAGATCTACCGAGCATCATTCATCGCCTGAGCCAAGACTGGCTCCGCACGGAATCGAAGGAAAAAGTCGTGCCAACGCCGTCGGCGCAACCAGCCAAGCCGGCGATGCCACCAGTCCCGTCGGACGTATGGCCTTCGCACCACACGGCCGACGTGCCACTGTCTGTGCTCGCGCTGGAAGAGGCTGCTCCCAGCGCATATGCATCGCACCTCACCAAGCTAGATACGGCTTCTCAGAGCTCGCAAGGACTCAAAGACCTCGTCCAACCTGCGGGGTCACATCCCGCAGGTGCACGAACCTTCCACACCACCAGCCGCGTCCGTGTGCCGTCATCGCTCGAGTCCAATGCGCCACCCACTCCCATTGCCCTATCGTCGCCCGGGGGCCTGGACGTCGCGGGCCATCTTGCAGAGCTGCTTCGTGCCAATCACACACTCAGTCCCTACACGCCGCATCCGCGCCTCGTGGCACTACGCACGATGCCTGCGCATCGCCCTCGATCCAGTCGTGTGCATGCTCGACAGAAACGCGCGTTCCACTTGTCCTAGAGACAATATGCCTCGTCCAAGATGGGTGGATGCACGCGCAAGTTACTTGCCGCTTGCTCGATCGCCTCTTTAGAGAGGACGAATGCGTTGTCCGCGTGTTTCGAGTCCTGTGCGTGCAAAAGCAGACCTGCATGTGCCAGAGCCAATGTCGCATCCTCCACGCGCAGGCCAGCGGCCAGCGACAGGCAAGCCAGCGTCGTTCTGCTGGGCAGCGGCACATCCTCCTCGACAGTGGACGACAGCATCGTGGATGTCTGAGGTGCTGGCTCTGTGCGTTCTTCGCCAGCCCAGCCACGCAAGGAGGTCTTGCGTCGCTTGGACGCCGCGGCTGGCTGCTGCAATCGCATTGGTCTCGGCGCGGATGTGTGCCCGGCCAAGATGGCCCGGATCTGGGCGCCGTGCGGAGCGTATGCTGCGAGCAAGGTGCGGATGAGCTGTGCAGACCAGAACGCCATATACCCTTTGAGTCCTAGCTCAGATAATGGGCGCTCCGGTGTGCCAGGGACAAGCGCCGAGCGTGATAGATAGTAGCTGTATTCCATGAGCAGGGTGCCGTAGCCACGGCGCTGATACGGTGGGAATACCACGATGCATGCGAGATTGTAGTCGTCGTACGACACTTTTTCTTTGGAGAAAAAGCCAACGACATGATCAAACTGGCTCGTCGCGTCTGTGAGGATGTAGAGCCAGAAAGGAGCGACGTCGAAAAACACCGTCTTGTGATCAATAAACAGCTTGCCAAACAAACACATGTTCTGCACGAACAGCTTCGCCTGCGCACCATCGACCTCCCAGAGGATGTGCGCCCCTCGCTGATATACCTTGCGGCCTGGGGGATGGGTATATGTACATGTTCGGCGGTGCGCATGAAACGTCGATGCAGTGCACATGTACTTGAAGCAGCCCTGGCATATCCACAGCGTTGGCGCCTTCCTAGGGTACGGACTGGCGTACCAGGTGCGGATTACGTACTCATCAAACACCACACTGTCTCAGCACGCTTCCGCACTGCTACGTACCGTTCGATGACGCGTTCATGCTCCTGTTCCGTCGGCGTCGTGGCATCGGCGAGTGACATGCCCAGAGTGGAGGCCCAAGCCAACTTGCGTACCGCCACCACATATCATCATGTCGGAGGAGGAGGACCTGTTCCCGAATCCCTACGACAGGCCGGTAGTTTCGGCAGCATCGGCTGCGCAGACAAATACTACAGATACGAGTGCTGTGACAGATTCGACTAGGTCAGTGGCCCGTCCGACCGTTTCTGCGCCGGCTCCGTCTGATCATGCTACTGAAGCGACGGAAGATGAAGAACTCTCGCGTGCACTGCGTGACTCGCTCGCTTTTGAGCAGGAGGATATTCGCCGGCGTCAAGAGGAAGACGAGGCTCTACTAGAGGCTGTGCTACGTGCGAGCAAGGCTGACCACGCCCGGCAACTTCGTGAGCTTGAAGAACACCAGAAACGTGAGCGCGAGATCATTGAGGAGTCCCGGCATGAGGCGTATCGGGATCAGCGGCGCCGCGAGGCTGAGCTACAGCGTCATGCGCTCTTGGAAATGGAAATTATGGAACAGAGTCGGCGTGAACATGAGCAGCGCCTGCACGCACACTCAACAACATCGCCTGTGCACACAGTCACAGCGGAGCATGATCCAGAAATGGAAAACCTCTTGTGGCTCAGGAACCATCCGCCCTCGACGTCGACGTCGACGTCGTTGAGCGCCCGATCGAGCCTCGCTGGCCCGCCCGACATGGCCTCAAATCCTTCTTCTCTCGCTGAATATCATGCCATGGCCGGCGGCATCCCTCATGAATCGCCGCCCAAGTACGAAGACGAGTTTCCCAATCCATTTGGCTCTCAGATATCAACCACGGCCATGGGCTCGGCGGACCCTCTTTCATCAGCGACAAATCCTACTTCGCCAACTGGCCATGTCCTAGATTCAGCAGTGCCATCACCCCGTCCCTTGTCATCTCCTGTTCCTCCGTCATCTGCAGCACTCACCGACGAAGACGCTCCGCGACCAGCGTCTCGAGGGCCAACACATACGCTCAGCCGTTATGAGCAGTTGTTTGGACGACATGAAGACGACTGGGACGATGCATCGTTCCGATCCGACTCACCAGAAAGTCCTGCGCCATCCAGTGGTTGGGGCTCAGAAGTAGAGTCCTCGGAAGCTGAGGCGCGAGAGGTGCTGGGCGAACGGCCGACAACAGGCTTCATGTCAAGCACCAGAGCTGAGTCAATGCCAGAGTCTGAGTGGGCACAACACGCAAGTGGAATCGACCTCACATCCAGCACAGCGCCTCTCCGTCTTGGGAATGCCCCGCAACCCACGACCATGCGTAGTGACATACCACTCACCAGTCAGCCATCTGCTCCGATGCCACACGCCGACGCAGCTCATGCCGAGACACCCCGCGCCCAATCACCACATGTCGTAACACCGCATGCCGAGACGCCCCCCTTGGAAGCCGTGCGTAGCGGAGAGCAGCATCCTGGACCCTCGCCACTCAGAACCCCTCCAGCTACCCAGTCTCAAATTCAACCGCCGCTCGGAGGCCCTTCTCCACTCCCTCGTCCCCCCAGCTATACGCCGCTAGCTGGGACCTCAGCCAACACCCCACCCATCACGACGTCGCCGCTCAACACGCCACCTCCCAATCCACTGCCTCTTCGCACCCCACCAGGCGAAGCGACACTATCGCCCAAGCTGCCACGTGCATCTCCTCGTCATTCTCCACACACCACCAAAGACACCAACCTGCCCAAGACGCCATACCCACCTGAATATGCCGAGGGCCAGCCGGCATTGCGAGGCGTACAGTTCGGCACAGCGATGCATCCATTTTCCCTTGAGCTCAGTACTCCGCGTGGCGTCGCGTTATACCCATCGCCCGATCTGTCTACCGAATGCGTGCTGCCCCAAGCCGCCGAGCACATGCTCTACTTCCCTGACACCATTGAACTTGGCCCACCAAATCGACCGTACTTCGTGATTCGTGCGTACTCATGGAAACTGCTGCTGCAAGCCATGGCCTGGTATGGGAAAACCGTTGTGCGTGCGCAGAATGGCCGTCTCTTCTTACACGTGGCCATCTGTGTGCCGTGGCGCACTGATAAACCTTCGTTCACATCCCCGGCTTTTGTGTGCTTAGCACTAAGCACCGACAACACGTGTGCCACGAAAAATCCCACGATGGAGTCATTCTGCAAGAGCCGGCAGTCGTCACTGACATGCGTGTCACTCGTGTCGCATCCGCTTCTCCTTCCGACGGATCTCGTCACGTTGGCACAGTCACTCTTTTCTGCCCCACAGCTTAGCAGTGCTCCGGCCCTCCGTGAGCTTAAACAGGCCATTGCTTCGCAGGACGAGTGGCTCGAGTCGCGAGCTCAGTACTTTTCATCTCGTTCAGCCTCCAACGCCGCCAGCTCGCCACCACCTGTCGACCACCTTACCATGTTCGAGCAGCAATGCTTGCAGCACCGGCTTTCTCTCCTGCACCATCCCATTTTGTCCACGGGCGAGCTGGATGCTCAGGTACAGATGCCACAGCATCGAGAGCATTTCCGCGAGCGCGTGCGCCGCACGTTTTCTCGATGGAACATATCGAATGTCGCGCCAGAAGAAGATCTCGCCGCTTGGATCACCCCATACGACGTGTCTGCGCCGCCATGAAAGACCTCGTTTCGCCATCCTTGCCCACCAAGCAACCCTAGCGTATATATACACTACACATGCACATACGGAACCTCATCATAGACGGGCCATAGATCCACTGTTCCTCGAGTACCTGCTCACTGTGCACCTTTTCGCATGCCAAAATTGTGCATGTTATTAGTGCACTTGGAGCAACGACTCTTTACATAAGCCATTGTGATCGCCGGTCGTTTGCTCCTAGTCGTCCGCTGGCCGTCATGGTGCAGATCACTGTGCCTGACTGGGTCGTGCATCGAGCGGACGAGCGGTCAAAACGCACGACCATTTACAGCCTGAGTGTACACCCAGATGGCACGCGCCTAGCGACAGGCGGGCTCGACACGAAGATCCAAATATGGGCCACGGCGCCGATCCAGGACGAAGACGTGCAGGCCCCACGCTTACTATGTACTCTGGCCCGGCACACAGGCGCAGTCCTCGCTGTGCGCTGGTCTCATAACGGGAGGTATCTGGCCTCAGGCTCAGACGATACCGTTGCTCTTATCTGGGAACTTGTTGAGACGAACACAGCCGATGCGGGCACCGGAACATCAACTGCCATGAGCACTGGTTTCGGTTCTGAGGCCAACGTCGAATATTGGCGCCCGTGCCGCCGACTCCCGGGACACACCTCCGACGTCACCGATGTTGCATGGAGCGAGACAGATGCATATCTTGCAACCGTCGGACTTGACTCCCTCGTCATGATCTGGTCCGCCAATGACTCCTTCGACAGGATCCGCACCATTCGAGGACACCATGGGTTTGTGAAGGGTGTTGCCTTTGATCCAATTGATCAGTTTCTTGCCACAAGCAGTGACGATCGCACTGTCAAGATTTGGCGCACTAGCGACTGGGGCTTGGAAGCCTCTGTAACAGAGCCGTTCAAAGGCAGCCCCAGCAGTACTTTCTTTCACCGTCTCTCATGGTCGCCTGACGGTTCGCATCTACTCACTGCCAATGCTATGAATGGACCCGTCTTTGTCTCTAGCGTCATCGATCGGTATACATGGGCCAGTGACATTGCCCTGGTGGGCCATGAAAATGCCGTCTCCGTCGCGGCATGCAGTCCTCAATGGTTTCAAGGCACTCCGTCTCCGGACGCGCCCCCCGTCACAGTTGTCGCTCTCGGCGCTCAGGACCAAAGCTTATCTGTATGGATGACGGGCATGCCGCGACCTTTGCTCGTCGCTCGCGATCTTTTCGAACGGCATGTCATGGACCTCCAGTGGTCTGCTGACGGATACACATTGTACGCATGTTCGTCCGATGGCTCCGTCGCTGCTCTCGCTTTTACAGCAGAAGACCTGGCACCACTTGTCCCTGACCATGTACTCACCAAAGCACGCACCAAGTATGGCTTCATGCCGTCCGCCCGCACAACTACCAAGCGTTCACCTCTTCCACTCGCCCCTGCACCTGTTCTTTCTACACTCCGTCCACCACCTCCGCCGCCCCTCGTCACCAAGATCAGTCGAGATCCATCGGAACGTCTCGTGCAAAAAATCACACGCGCCAAAAATGGTAAGCGGCGCATTTGCCCCACACCTGTCGGCTCTAATCCAGACTATGCGCTCGCTCAACAGACTGCTCCGACCGTGCACGGGACAACGAATAATTCACTCGTGTCTTGGCCAAAACCGCCGTCGAACACTCATGCATTAGGACCCAAAGGTACTTCCCGGCCAAACAGTCTGCTGTCTCCTCACACGCTGGACGTGTCGATAAGCCATACAGATTGGGCTCCGAGGGACGTGCACGTGTTGTCACATCTTCGAGTAGCTGCATGCCACGGCGTCGTGGAAGTCCGCAATGAAGCAGACGGCGCAGAGGTGACCTGGCTCGCTGAAGAGCGGGTACAATGGCGCGACTGCCTCTACAGCCCTGTCCTGAGCACAGCTGTGAGTGAGCGTCTGATTGTCTTTTCTCTTGTGGATGGCTCTTTTCTCTGGTATACGTGCGCCGGACGCAGAATTGCTACACTAATGACACCGGAGCCATGCACTCAGCTTGCTACTCAAGGCGCGTATGTCGCTGCCATAACTCGTGATGGGTATATATGCCGATGGAATGCTGTAACTGGTGCGGCTCATGGCCAGCTGGTCCGCCTTCCGCGCGACGACGTATCGTCATTCTTTGTGCACACGAATGGTGTACCGGTGGCTGTGGTCCGTGGTCGCCAAGTTGCTTTGGCTTGGGATGAGCGAAAAAAGACATTTGTTTGCGTTGCACAAGGCTCTCTCGCACGCCTCAGTGCAGCGTGGCACGTGAGTGTCCACGATAGCCATACGATGGTGCAAGGGCCCGTTGTGCGCGTCGAGCGTATGCTCAACGACGTGCTCACGACGCCGGGTGAATCCCTCGCATCTCCTGATACCGCGTCATCAGCCACGCTTCGACACCTTGAAATGCGCTTACAAGCCGCAGAGCTGCTCGATAGCCCAACCGAATACCGCAATGCCCTGCTGGCTCTAGGCCGTCACCTCGCTGAAGAAGGCCTTTGGAATCAAGCAGACGATTTACTGCGCATGTTCTTGGGCCCCATATACTATCGACCTAACGAACCTGCCTGGGACTCGACGGTGCTCGGAATGTCGAAACGACAGCTTCTTTCTAGCTTGCTTGTGACCATGGAGCATGGCAAGCTTGACAGTCTTGTTCAGGGTGTGTCGGAGGTACTTCATGCACTGGAGTAACGCCAGGAGCGCCTGTGCTCCTATCTCCACAGACTCTCTTGTAGAACACACATGTATTACTGCTGCAAATTCCGCTGATATACCACCCGTTTCTCACCACCAACAACAAGGGAAAACCTGTAGAAGTGACGATTTACGTATATGGGACTAACTATTTTCGAGAAACAGGTGCAGCTCTCAGCATAAGTGTGTGTATTATTCTTATGCATGACATACTCGCTGCCTGATTACGACCCTAGAAAGGGACAGCATAGATAGCTGGCGGCAAGGATTACCAGATAGTATGACCACCGCTAACAATGATATCAGCGCCATTACAGAACGACGAAGCATTGCTAGCAAGCCAGACAACGACACCACGGAGCTCGTGCGGGTAACCAATGCGACCCATTGGGTTGGCTTCGCTCCAGCGCTGGAGCAGCTCCGGGTTCGAGTCAAGCTGATCGGCCACAAGGTTCGTGCGGAAGTAACCAGGCGAGAGGGTGTTGACACGAATGCCGTATGGACCCCATTCAGCAGCCAGGTTACGGCCCAGCTGAAGCACAGCCGACTTACTCGTGTTGTAAGCAGTCCACTCTTGGTCACGGTTCACAACCGTGCCCGACATAGATGCCGTCAGAATGATAGAGCCCGTCAACTCTGGACGTTGACGCATCACACGAGCAGCGGCCTGGGCAGTAATGAAAACACCAGTCGTGTTGACTTCCATCACCTTACGGAACTCATCAGCCGGGTAGTCGATCGCTGGGTGCGTCTGCATGATACCAGCGTTCGCCACGCAAATGTCGAGTGAGCGAGTGCGCGAGTCTTTCTCGATATAACGCATTGCTTCGTTCATTTGATCCGCATTTGTGACATCGGCAGTAATAAACTCGATCTGTCGGTTCAGCATGTGGCAGTGCTCAGCGACGCGCTTGAAGTCTTCGCACGGCTCAGGGGCTTGATCAATCACATACACATGAGCCCCCGCCTCTACAAACGCAAGAGCCATCTCTAGACCGAGGCCACGGTTACCGCCAGTCACTACAGCGGTCTTGCCTTCCAGGGAAAACTCTGCGAAGATCGATGTTGTGTGGCGGTTCAACGACTCAGGACGCAAGTTCAACACTGCATTCACACCAATGTTCTTCGGGTCCGGATTCGGGCCGGGATTGATGGGCATCTCATCGGGGCTGACTTTGTGACGGTTAGGAGCATCCCAATGCTTGATCTTGAATGCAGACACGCTCTGCGAGAACGAACGCGCTGTGTAGCGTGTCAGTAAAACACAGTTCCTCTTCACACGATCGTGACAAGAGAAGCACACGTACCAGAAGCAGCGATTGGCATGCGTGTTGCCGGAGCAGCAGCCGAACGCAGCAGCTTCGAAGGAAGAAGACGCAAGGCAGTCATACAGATTGAGAGATGGTTCCTGATGGGGGGAAGTCAAGGAAGATAGGGGTTCTAATATTGCCCTAGGGCCAGCTCCTCTCCCGCATAAGAATTTGGATTCCTTGGCTTTGCCCGCTGCAAGATTCCGCGTGCATCTATGCCCGAGAATCTGATTTTGACTGCGGATAGACAGCTGCGATATCACGCGCCCCACGTGCATTCATTACTAAGGATATCAATCACTGCTGTTCACTGGATGCGGGGAATTTTCGCTTGTCTTTCTCCACTCTATATAGTGATGCGCAGTCGACCTTGGTTTTTAGCCTCGCGCAGCTCCTGCATAGCCTGAATGGCGTCCCGACGGCCAATCGCGTGCTGCACATCAGTTTCTTCGACCATCATGAAGGGATTATGCAGTCGCTCCTCATGCAGGGTATAAATGCCTGTGGTAACTCCGCCATTTCGGCCAGCACGCAAATCTGAGACGAGCCGCTCCACACCCGGATTATTTGGAAGCACAGCTGCACTGAATGCTGCATTCGAAGCCGTGTATTCGTGTCCACAATACACAAGCGTGTCAGGGGGCAATTCTCTCAGCACAACGTTCAGAGCATGATGCATGTCTTTCGCATCGCCCTCAAAGAAACGTCCACAGCCTGAAATAAATAGCGTATCCCCAGTAAATACACCGCGCTTCTTTTCTCCCTTTTCTCCCTCTTGGAGTCCATTCGGGGTCTTAGCCAGCTCCTCGATCGACCGCTCATCTTCCACGTAGAAACAAATACTATCGCGCGTATGGCATGGTGTGGCATATCCTTTAACTTTGACGCGTGCATCATCAAATAGGACAAATTCGTCGCCATGGCGAACAACTTGAGTTACACTGGGGATGTCTGCCGAACCGCCCCACACCGGCCGATTAGGATATGCCTTGGCAAATGCATCGTTTCCGCCAGCATGATCGTAGTGGCCATGTGTCGTGATAGACCCTACAATATCAGCATCATCAAGTCCGAGCTTTTGTGCCGCCTGGCGCACGGCCGGCACGTCATATGGATCAACAAATACCGCCTTGGGACGCGAAGTCAGTGGTGTCGACATGAGGATGTAGGCATAATTATCTTGGCGGACAGGGACGGGCACAACGCGCATGTTTCGTCGGTAACTTGGCTTGGTGATGGATCGTAAAAGTGTTGGTCGCCAATAAGTCCGTAGCAACATTGAGTCAAAGTCAGAGTTGCATGCAGTCTATGTGGCTTGGAACCAATGCACGTGAAGCTCTTCCACATCCGAATTCACGAGAAGCGAGATTTTCACCGGTGACGGCCTGATTGCCCACATGGCATTCACCAAAAATGCAATTATTTGAAAAAATAGGTATCGTACATTATCATATACGCCTGGCCTACCAGCCTAATTATTTTGGCTAAACTTATATCCGCACTTGGGACAATCGTAGAATACAGTGGTGCCTTCATCAGCACTTCGCAGTTGAAGTGTGTGGTAGTTCATTTCTTCATTGCCGCAACCGGGGCACTTTTCTTTGATGGTTGCTTGCTCCATCGTCTCAAGCTCGCGCTCGCCATCCGCATGGCTCACGAGCTGACGCTTTTGACGGAGAACAGAGGGGAACGCTGACGGGTGCGAGCGTGTTACAATAGAAAGATTATCGTAGACTGGGCGTAAGTAACATGAACAGTCACGTACTCCTTGCATCGTGCGTAGTGCCGCATGGTGCACATTTGATCACATCCTCATTACCCGGCAAGTCCAAAAGATTCCCGCACGCATGACAGAAGAGCAGCGATCCAATTTTGTCTGCACCAGGTTGGTTATACGATCTCACAACGTACCTGGTATGCCAGACGTTACACCAGCGTCCGTCATATCATGCACGCGCCGTACGAGGTTCGTTTCTGTCTTGGGCTTCAAAAAATGTACCGCTCCAGTAGTGGCGAGACTGCGAAAAATTCCATCACCAGCGAAGTAACTGGTCACGTGTACAATCCTTTCGATGTGCAAGCGCAACAAAGACGACTGATCTGTGCGTGTAAAATCCACAACTCTATGCGGTGGTATGAAGCTAGCGGAATCGTATACCATACAGACGTTCAAGCTGTTCACAGCTTTCATATACTTCAGACCGGATTTTCTGCACCTTTTCTTTATCAGCCTGGTGGTCAGATCTGCATGCCATGCCTTGTAAATATACGTACGCCGAATCCAAAGAACCCTTGAGCGTCGATGATGCGACGGTTTTTGTACTCCTGGGCACTCTCACACTGTCGATAGAGCTCCTTCATCCATGACTCTTCTACACGACGCTCAAAAGCGCGCAGCTCAGGCGAGTTCTTTTCGCGAGAGAATCGCTGCACATTGCCCCCTTGGCGCGTAGATGTTGTCGTTGCTGTGACATACGGATGCTTCGCAAAAGCAACAGGATCGACATAGTATGAAACTCCACGATCAAAAGTCGTGCGTTGCGCACGATGCAACGACGTGGGACGCCAACGGAAGTCTGGATCTGATACCATGAAAAGGTTGGGGAGGTATGAGAGAATGGTGAAGAGCAGAAGGATAAGCAGTGGCAGTAACTGGAACCACATTGCTGTTTGATTACTTTGAGCGGACTGTTGTCCAGCCTGCCTTGCTCTTGCGCCTGCGCCAGGCCGATAGTAATGCGTGCGCATCCCTGGTCCACCAAATGTAAAGACAGGCGTAGATCCAAACGGACCGCCGCCCATGCCACCGCCAAAGAACATGTTAAAGAGGTCCTCTGGGTCAATATCCGGACCCATTCCAGGTCTCATGCGTGCGCCGCCGCCTTGAAATTGTGCAAATGGATGAGCTGAGCCAGTAGCCGAGGCGTTGCCAAAGCGGCTTTCTGGATCGCCCCCAAATCGGTCGTACATACTCCGTTTGTCCTTGTCAGAGAGGACAGTGAAAGCCTTTGATACGACTGTGTAAGTAGATTACACGTACGCTTAAATGCTTCGTCGGCACCGGGCGCCCTATTCTTATCAGGATGAAGTTGAAGAGCAAGCTGAGCGGTATATGTTAGCGTCACTTTTCGATAGAAAACATACTTTTTTGTATGACTTTTTCACTTCTGCTTCATCCGCTGTTTTTTGGACGTTAAGGACAGCATAAAAGTCGCCACCCGCGCGCTTGACGCGCCGAACAATTTCGACCTGCTGCTCAGTATACTCGCGCTTTGTGTGACCATCATTTGAATCCCGTGTTTTGGTAGTATTGGATGCATAAATAGTCTCTGTAAAAGACTCTTTCGGTGAGTTGGTGGTATTTTTTTCTTGTGTTGGCTCGCCCTGTGCACCCTTTTCTTTCAATCGCGTAAAGAGAGCCATGGCCTCTGGCGTGGAATAAATCGCAATACTTTTTCGTGCCCACTTTAGCGCCGCATCTGTATTGCCATTCTGGTCATGCTTGTACGCAAGATCCAACGCCTTGCGCGCTTCCTCTGCCTCCATGACAAGGACGCCTTTCACAACTGGCGGAAAACGGACGTGACGAAAAGGCAGAAGGACGTGGAGCACAATGAAAGGAAGTAAGCGCTCCACACTAAAGGCTTGATTATCTGCTTCTGCCTTCGACTTTAAAGACTGAACAATCTAAAGAACAGTCTATGAGTGTATGTAGAAGAGAATTAGAACATCATGTCCAGCGCAGACTGCGACATTTCAACACCAACAAATACAGCAGCATTTGCTGGGAATGCACGGGCCATAGCTGGACCGAAACCTTTGAACAGAGCACCGACACCATCAGCCATGACTGTTTTGCGGGCACAGTCCATAAAGCTCTTATATGTGCCTTCAGGTGCACCCTGGTAACGAGACTTCACAACATCAGGAGGAATAGCCAAAGCCCAGTTAGCCATCCCAGCAAGACCTCCTGCGGTGATGGTCGTTACAATGTTGAGGTCATTCGGGTCAGAACCTGCAGGAGTAAGAGAACGCTTGGCAATCTCATAAGCAGCAAAATAAGCAGCACTTCCTGGTCCATCACGGGCAAGCGTACCACCAGTTCCCTTGAATATAGAGCGAAGGCCACCTTCCTTGTACAGCTGTCGAACCACGTCAACCGGGCCGTTATACTTGGGACCAGAGGAAGACTGGCCCTGAAGCTGGAGCAGAACCTTAATGCGCTCAGCAGGACCAGCTACAAGCACAGTTGGAATGGCACTGAAAAATCCTGCAGCGGAAAGTTCAGCCAGGCTCAAGGTAGAGTTGGTCCTGTTCGGTGTTGCAGCATAAACCAATTTTTTTCCCAGGTCGTACGAAAAGAATGACAACGCAAAAATAGGTGTTACTCCAATCAGGGGAGGTCCCATTCCACGGTATAGACCCTTGACTCCATCGGCACGAATCGTTTTCATTGTCACATCGATGGAGCCTGAGTATGTGCCTGGAGGTGCGGTCTGCAGACGTGTTTTAATCAGGTCAAATGGATGGCCTACCAGCACGGCACAGATTCCACCGAAGCCACCAGAAATAAATGACTTGATAGATGAAGCAACGCTTGTCGCTTTGGGTTGCAGCTCGATGTACTCCGATGCTAGGTCGTCGGCCATGATGGTTACTGTAGGGCAAATAATGCGGGGCTCAGGCTCGTTTAGTCGGGGTCTTAGCCGGACCGGTGCTGCAAGAAGAAAAAAAAAATTATAAATACACACACCACCCACGTGGTGTCCATGTGGATAGAAAGTTTATACTATACCGTGCGAACGACGAAACGACTTCAGGACGTTGGACAGCATGGGTGATACGTTTGCTACGCTGCCGGAGTTCTTTGAAACGGAACTTACGGAAAGCCTCAGATCACGGACAGAGTCGCTTGTCTCTTTCCGCGAGCTTGGACCACCAGATCTGTGTCATGTGCTCAAGTCAAACGGACGCAAAGACCTAGGCTCGTATCACCTCGTGTCTGGTGTGGATGCATCATCATCTGCGACACTTGCCACGTACATTACGAGCCTGTCCTACGAGTTGGAGCATAGCACAGCTTGGATTGGTAGCAAGTCTACTTTTAAGCTCAAGGGAGGCGTATATTGCTGCTTCAATGCTTTCTCGCGTGTAGACCTACGTGTCGAGGTTTGTATTCCTGGAAGTGTACAAGCATACACGGTCAATGTTCGCGGTGAACGCGGCGAAGCAACGCCAGAGATTTGGCAGGAGACATATCTATCTGGTGTCTTGCGCGCTATCTTATATGCGGACGATCCAAACTATTCGTTGTTGGGCTACAGGAAAATTGATCCAATACCGACACCTGATCACGAAGTGCGTTTCCTTATGGCTGCGGAGAATCTATTTTTTAAGGGATGGCAACTTGGGAGTGAGCCTGAAATTCAGGTGGCGACTATTGTAAACAACCATCTCTCGGTAGGCATTTTCAAGTACTTCGGCGAGTTGTCGCGGTATGAACAAGCAGTAAATCTTTTTGAAAAGCTCTGGGCTCGGGAACACGAAGTTGCTGCTCTTGTGGCAAAAGCATATCTTGGAATGAATGAAGAAATCAAGGCTGTACAGATTATGCATAAGTCGCTCCAGCAAAATCCTCACAGTTATGTTGTGTTGCATGTTGAAACCGACTTTTTACGATCCAAAGGCCAGTTGATCTGGGCGGTTGAATTGGCGAAACAGGCTGTCTGCTGTGCACCGAGTGAGTTTGTAACGTGGGCAAAGCTTGCTGAATGCCACATTGAAGCCGAAAATTGGGCAGAAGCATTGCTCACACTGAATTCCTGCCCTATGTTTACTTACAACGAATATGATCTTCATCGCATCCCTCCGGCCGCACGCACACACTTCCCTATCCCTCCTTTGGCCCTTCAAAGCAAGATATTGGATGAAAGTCAACTTGGAAATATCGAGACCGATCCCGCCCTAATGCGTTTGCCTGCACCTGCATTGCGTGGTACTTTTGCTTGCGCCTATGCGATTTTAACCAAACTTGTCAGTAAGCTCGGCTGGGACGAACTGCTGAGGTATCGATCAGAAGTGTTTGTAATGGAGGAGGAGTATCGAAACCAGAGCACAAAGCCTTCGTCGAAGTCCAATAATACAACTCAACACGATACGTCCAGTGGAACGTTAGACAAGTCCAAAGAGGGGCATTGGCTTTCCTTTACTGACAAGCGACTGTGTGAACGTTGGCTTGATAACTTGTTTATGGTTCTTTATGAAGACCTACGCATATTTACGATTTGGCGCGCCGAGCAGGCGCATTACGATGCTCAGTCTCTTCCGTACGAGCGTCCAGGCTCCGATTGGGAGATCCTGGGTGAGCTGGCATTGCGACTTCATCATCCGGAAGAGGCACATGATGCATTTGTGCAATGTATCCTGACCAAAAATAGCCCCAAAGCCTATACGCATCTGTTGGAGTACTTCACTAAGATATGCAACGTTGAGAAGGCACTCTCTATGGCCATGCATCTGACTGCGTATAACCACCGCTGGTACGGTGATAATGTGTTTCCAGGCACAGTCGGAAAACATCTTTTCCAACTTATAAAGGTGGAGGGTCTTGGAAAAGTTTCCAACACACTTGTTTCCATGAAGCCTCGACCAGCTATGCTTCGTCTCATGCAATGGTACTTTTCATATGCTCAAGATTTCCGATTGCCAGGTTCTCAGTCATGATCGACCAGTTACATAGATCTTCGATCTTAGGCAATAAGATACAAGTCTCATTTCGGATTTTGCCCCGACGACCAACGCACAAACGTGTGGAGGATCGCTATCGCTGCATCTTCCTAAAATTTTGTGGGTTCATTTGACAAAGCAAGATTGGTTGTAGCAATTTTGGTGCATGGAATATATATATGTGCGAAGATCCATAAACAGGTATTTTGCGCCATCTTGTTAGTATAACACCTCTCACTGACTTACCAAGTTCTTAAACCTTAAGTTGCGTGAAAGAAGGTTCTTGATATGGCAGAACCGCTTTCACCAACTCAAAATTCTCACACAGTGTCAAACGTACGTGTTAACTATTGTCCACGGACTTACTTGAAGCAGGATGAGCCTGAAGTGATCCCTATTTCCATTCCACCGAGCGAAGCCGCTAAGCTAGCTGAAGATACATCGCCGAGACATGTAGAATATGCCCCTGTCTCTTCAATCTTTGAGCAAGCAACTCATAACTACCAAAACACGTCTGTGGCTTTTGAAAAGGATCATGAATCAAGCCGCGCTCCGAGCATGCCAGCTCGGTCAGCCGCTTCGGCTGGGCAGGCCTGGAACACTCTGACCAGTGCACCTAGTCGAAGCAGTCTGAAGCCCCTGACTTCTAGAACAGCTCGAGGGAGGAGAGCTTCTGTGAATTTTCAAGATTCCAATGCGACCGGTCCCCGCCGCCTCTCTTACAGTAGCTTTAATGACGATCCGACTACTGATAACAGTGATGTTGTTATGGGACAAGGTGCCACAACCCTCGAAACAGGAGCTCGTATTCCACATTCAATTAATTATGGCGGAGAGGAAGAGATTAAATCCGACATCATCATTGTCGAGTGGGACGGCGACGACCAAGAATTAGGAACAACATGGTCTTATTTAACTCGTTGTTATATCACTTTGCTCGTCGGTGCACTTGCAATTGCGTCTTCTATGACATCTTCACTTCCATCAATGCTCATCGAGGGCATCTCTGAACACTTTCAGGTATCAGAAGAGGTTGTTAAATTGTCCTCTTTTATTTTCGTGGCTGGCTATTGTCTCGGGCCGCTCATATGGGCACCTTACTCTGAACTGTTCGGTGTCCGATGGCCTTTTATCCTTTCCACTGCCGGATCAACAATTTTTAACATGGCATGTGCACTTTCACCTAACATTGGTGGTCTAATAATTTTCCGATTCCTGGCTGGTGCTTTTGGATCATGTCCTCTGGTAGTCGGAGGCGGTGCCATGGCTAATATCTGGCCCAAAGAACTGTTAGGTCTTGGCATGTGCCTGTTCTCTATGTCACCAATGGCAGGCCCATCTTGCGGTCCACTCATCGGTGGGTATATCGCTGTTGAAAAAGCCTCATGGCGCTGGGGCTACTGGGCTTGTACGATATTGACTGGTTTTCTAACCTTGCTATCATTTCTCACTCTTCGGGAAACGAATCCTGGAATCAATTTGAAGAAAAAAGCTAGACGACTCAGGAAAAAAACCGGTGATGACCGATACAAAGCACCTGTTGAGTTGCGTACTATTGAGATTCGAGAAATTCTTACGCGTTGGATTCTATTACCTATTCTTATGTTTATATATGAACCAATGCTTCAGGCAATGACTATGTACATGTCATTTGTTTATGGTGTTCTTTATCTTTTCTTCGAGGCTTTCCCAATTGTTTTCGGTGTATACCATGGATTAAACGAACTACAGATTGGTCTCACATTTATGGGTTTCTTCACAGGCTGCATTATGGGCGGCTCTTTTTACTCACTTGTTGAGAACAGACGCTACGTTACCTCAATGAAGAATCACCCGCAAGGGATCCTCCCGCCTGAACAACGTTTAATGGTTGCTCTGTACGGTGCACCTTTGCTCGTTATTTCTTTGTTCTGGTTCGCTTGGACCTCTTATAGTTCTGTCTCCATCTGGTCAACAATTGCAGCCAGCACAGTTTATGGCATTGCTATGTTTTTTATATTTGTAAGTACTGCTCCGGGATACTAACACAAGCAGTTTGCGTTGATGACATATATAGCTGATGCGTATCGAGCGCAAACAGCATGCGCTCTCTCTGCTAACACTATTGTTCGGTCCGCGTTCGGGTTCGGTTTCCCGCTAGTACGTGTGCCCCTAACCTGTCCGTTCAACCATGACTAACCGTCTTAGTTTGCCACGCAAATGTATAACAGACTAAATCCGCAATGGGCCACGTGTTTGCTTGCTTTTATTGCGGTACTCCTTTTTCCGATTCCGTTCATTCTGTTTCGCTACGGCCCATGGCTTCGCTCCAAAGCCAAGTATGCGTTCGGAGAATGAGGTCAGCATACCCCAATTCATAGAACCACGAGGAAGTGAATCATACACACAGTTGAACGATTTATAAACTTGTGCCAGATGTGATTGGCGAGCGTCAAGAGGGTATTTGGAACGGGTCTGAGCTAAGATCAAATAGAGTGCCTGCACCCGAAAGTCCAACAACCAATTTCATTCCACGGACGCCCGAACAAAATTCCGACAAGCCACGGGATTTGTGGAAAATTATGTCAGTTTAACCAGGTCTTGCTACGCACGTGTGTGAAGGTAATTTTAAGTAATCGATTTTAATTGGTCCGATCTTGCAGTAGCGGAAGAAATCTCCATCTTCCTCGATATAGCGCAATAACTTCCGAATCGAGATAAGGTTCCAACTCTCTAGTTGTAATCAGCAGGCTTAGGGGCAAGCTGATTCTCACCTTCATCATGTCTCAACCGTACGAAAATCCGGTTGACCGTCGCAAATGGACACCAGAAGAAGATGGCATGTTGAAAATGGCTATGAACAATCTTAAAGATTGCCGAGAAACCCGTTGGACAGAAATTGCCGCTAGCGTACCCGGCCGATCGGCGAAGGCCTGTCGTAAACGCTGGGTCAATGGATTAAATGACCGCCTCAAGAAAGGATCTTGGATGAAGGAGGAGGATGATCGTCTCCGAGAAGCTGTAGCAATTATGTCCAATGATTGGGCAAGGATTGCCGAATATGTCGGGCAGCGCTCGGGTGATCAGTGTAGCAAGCGGTGGCGCGAAGTTATTGACCCAGCTATTAACAAAACTTCTTGGACTAACGAAGAAGACGAGCTACTAGTAAGCCTGTTTCATAAGCATGGTTCTTGCTGGCAAGTCATATCAACTCATTTTAACAACCGGCGCGCTCTGCAATGCCGCAATCGATGTTGCAAGTTGCTTGGCTTGCACGCTCACCCTCGTAAGAAAGCGTGCAACTATGAAAAGCTAAGCCCCTTGTCCTCTGAGTTTGTATGCTCGCCCATCGTGAGTCCGACACTGCAGGCAGATTCAACGGGTGTGGCACCTCTCCAAAACGGATCTCACGATGCTACTGTTCCTGGAGATATGCTAAACTTAAATAACCTTTTCTCTACTCCAGCAGAAAGTACAACACCGAATAAACATTCACTTGGTGTTTCTGAAGAAGCCAATTTAATGAATTATGCAAGTCAGCTTGAACCAAGCAGCAACAACACTACCACGTCTTATCCAAGTAATCCGTGCAATGATTATAACGATGTGCAAACAATGCAATTCATTGAAGCATGGAGTAGAGTGCAAGGTTATGCCTCGGCTGAACGCAAAGGACCACCAGCAGCTTTAAACCTTGACCTAGAGACAACGCTATTCTCTATGTCGACACCAACTGAGCCAAACTATTCGCCTTTCTTGGACTCGGCAGTCTCGCTTCCATCTAGCACTCTAACTACACCATGTACTCAGGGTTTGACTGATGCCTTTGTCCTCAATAACTACGATACAATTAACGGCATGCAGCAGCCTTTGCTTGCAACTTCAAACTCTTGCGACGAAAGCGCCAAAGAATTCTTTCTTCCGAATCATTCATATCATTTTAACAATGAATGCATGGCGGATACTGTCAAGTTACCTTCATCAGAGAGCACGGCGTCATATGAGGGATACCTACAAACGGCCATTCAAAATCCGGTATTGGTTAGCGAACCAATACAATTAGATCCCTTCAACATTCAACCATATAGGGCATACTAGATTTGGAAATTATATTAGGGAACTCGTAAAAGTAGAGTCGTCAGGCAATAATCTACAATTTCGAAAAAAATTCAAGAATTTAATTATATTAGTCCTGTATTAAAAACACAAAATTATTCTAATATGCATATATTTGAATAAAATAAATATTACATTAGATTCAAATAATAAAATGTTTTTCAAAAATATGATTTATATTTTAACATTTATTGAAAATATGGTAGAATTGAATTTGTGTTTATCATATATAATATAAAAAGTAGATTAAATATTTAAAGTTTCTGAAATCTTATTACAATGAATTTTACAGTTGTTACTGGGATCATCTTTAATTAAATATTGATAAACCAATTATTTATATTTCAACAATTTCTGGGTTGAGTGAAAATCGAATGTTACATTGTTTGTATCACGTGCTAGTAAAGTATGTGCTTGTTCTCTTCAGTTCGACAAGATTCACGCTACTGATCGTGAGTTTTTTCTCTTGCTTAACGTGTTGAGTTTCATCGGGAGACAGGTTCACTTGTTTTGATTCGAGCTGTTTAGATTCTCATCCTTCACCCGGAATGATGTGTTAAGTTATTGCAGCCTTATTGAGCTTTAGTCCGCCCTGCAATTTTGAGAGTTCGTCGTGTCTTAGAGCACCAAATAATATCCATTTGTATGTGCTCTCCCTATTACATTTGAGTATCTCGAGTGTTGATGAGACGGGATTTACACTTTGTTTATGTCTATTGTACTATACAGTTTCGGTCGCCTACATAGTACTGGTGAAACCGTCATGGACAGCATTTACGCTCACGAAAGCTTGGATGGTGAGCAAATTCATTCGAAGTATGGGAAGATCGATGATAAACTCCACCACTGTGCCAGGTCCTCCGCCAAATACCAAAGCTTGGGTTCGTTTCAGACCTCTACCACGGGCTGAAATTGTTGGTAGATCGATAATTAATGAACACTACTCAGCACTACAACCAGGGCATCCAGGTCGGATCCTTCAGGTGGTAAGTAAGGCGCATTTTTTAGTACATACCTGAAGGGCAAGCTTGCTCGGATGGCTTGCATAGTTGATTAGGTCTAAAACGGCTTGGTTCATTGGGGTGATTGTTGTCTGCGCAAATCGTTAGACATACGCAATAATGCAAGTCACGTACCTTATCTTGACCGAATCGACAAGACATAAGACGCGCACGTTTAACAATTTCTAACACATTTTGTTTCACGAGATCAATAGTGGGTTCCAAATTTTTTGCATGCTGCTGCATTCCACTGAACCAGAACCGGACTTCGTCATGTACGAAAATACCCAAATAGTCTTCTAATCCGTGTTCAGATGAGGTTAAAGCAGTACCTAAAGCCATGAAAGAGCTGGTAACAAGGCCTTCAATGCCAATTGGTCCGATAAAATGCTGAATATTGGGACTCAATCGGAAAGGTGTAGGATCGGGAGACTTGAAATGCGGAGCTTGCGGACTGAATGTAGGGACCATATCAGACATAATAACTGCACCGCTTGAACGGCAAAGGTGAATTCGTCCTGGATAACGGGCACTGATAAAGAGAATGTAGGTAAGGAACATAGCAGCAGCCATTTGCAGCGTGAATTGCTTGCGCATGATCCAGAGATCAGATGGCGACGCCATAGTCTTGGTGATAAAGTTGGTGAGGATTTTATCCGAAATCATCTTCACGCTAATTTCTTCCAAAAGCTCCATGCGTAGGTTAGCAAAGTCCACATTGGTCCGTCGATGAGAGCCTCCATCCCAAGTGCTTCGCATTTTCTCGACCCAAGCCACGATCGGATCGTCCTTTCCGATACCCGCTTGCTTGCAATGACGCTCGTAGACATCCTGAAGACTAATAAAGGACTCTTCATAGGTAAGCAAGCGTAGCTGTGGGGAAATAGGGACTGCAGTAGGCACATTGAAGATTAAACCGCGTTTCCGGGTTTGAATCTTCCGTTCCAAGACGGTATTCAAAAGACGCAAAAGTTGGAAAATACGCTCCTCCCGGCGGCAGTACCTGGCAGAGGGTAATTGAACTGCAAATGAATGAAGGGAGCCTTTGTTGCTGAGAATGGTAATTCGTCTATTACACATTCCGTTCGAGCGCAAGAGTCCATATTCCGGTAGGAACCGGTTGATACGCACAAAGTTCGAATTATTGTCTTGTAGCTTGAGATACTGACCGGGGATTTCCACTTCATCGAACTTCTGGTGCTGAAACTCGACCAAGTAATGAGAGCAGTGTTCTAGGTGCTGAAGTCGAGGGCGTTTGTCTAGAGATTCTTCGTAGCGATCGCGCCAACGTCGGAGCCTTGCGACATATTCGTGTAAGTTTGGCTTGCTTGTAACAAAGTCGCCTTCAAACGCTGCTTTCAATGGACCGGGCGGCAAGTTTTCGGCAAACAGCTTGACATTCATTTGCGACGTTTGAGGAAGTTGGCCATTGTCGGACGTAAGCGGCGCGCGGTGGATATATTGCTGAAGCGCATCGTTCAATAAAGCATTCGTAAGGCGATAGATATCCTCGTCGTTGCTGGGCTTGAAGCGCTGCTGGAGCTGTTCTGCCATATTCTCCATGGTCAGCGCAAGCAAAGGGAAAGCCGTCTTGAGGATATTCAGGATCTCTTCGACGTAGTCAGCAGGATATCGGGACGGGTCTTTGGTAGAGTCTTTCTCGTCTGCCTCCTTTGGCTTCACCTCGTCCTTCGCGAGACCAGGCTGAGATGCCTGTGGCTGGGGCTCTTTGCCCTGGGCGCGTAAGGCACGTTGTGCGAGCAACAGCGAGTTGCGTTTCATCAAGGCAAAGTCTTCCTTACTTGTGCGCAGGTAGTAATACAGTGACTGCGGGAAGGACTTGGCAATTTGCATAAGGAGTTTCCGCGCAAACTTTGACTGCCTGTGGGAGAGGAGCTGGATGAGTTGAGGAATAAATGTAATCCAATACCAAATGGGTGTCTCTCCATTGTAGTTATCACAGGCTTGCCACAAAGTGCCTTGAGCATCATCACAGTCTAGGAGCCAAAGCACGCGCACGAGAATTTTTCGTGCTTTGGCATTTTTGTAAAGACCTGCTGCTTGCAGGTAGCAGCTGATGGCATTGGCAGCAAAGTGCATGGCTGCAGGCTTCTCGCGGAACAAACTGTCATTGTATCGACCCCACTCGGTCCAAGACTTGGGCAGGTTCAAGTCCATTTGGATGGCAGTCGCAAACGCTTGATTCGCCTCATCGCCCATTCCAAGTTTGTTCAGGAACATGCCCTTGAGGGAGAAGAACTCGGCCTTTTGCGCGGCTGCAAAGAACATAAGATTCGTATTGTTGATGACATTGAGTCCTTGCGTGAGTTCATGTGGATTGTGGTAGTGACAGCGTGCCTGCTCACGAAGCTTCAAGAAAGCCTCTTGGATCTCAATGTTTGGCAGCAAGTAAATTTTGGTGAGAGAGCTGATGCACACGTCCTCGAGCCCATGCTTCCGAGCGACATGCGCAAACCTATTAATGATCCACGCCGTCTCGTGATAGCCGCGGTACGCATACGAGTTGGTCGATGAACCAGGGCCCTCGTTTCGCTGAATGAGTGAGACCAAAGGCAGGTAGGCTTTGTTGACGCTGGAAAACACATGCTGACGCCAAGCGACGAGGTCACTCCATGCATTGATGTCGTCCCAAAGATTTGGCAGCCGTTCACGCCACGTCTGCATGAGCGTTTTGAGCTCAGCCGACCGGTGATTCAAATTTGTGGCATTCGTATGAGCCAGCGAGGCAAACACTGTGCTAACTTCCTGCAACTCGACAAACTGCTGGAAGATCTGCAACAGCGGCACATGCGCCTGTGACACATGCACTGGCAGCGTGAACCACTTGTACAGCGTGAGCTGAATGGCTTCATCACATATGCGGCCGAAATCGGAGGGCTTATCCGGAGCCGCTTGCGACTTGAGTAGCGCTAGGTACGCCTCAAACACCTTGCGCCGAGGGGTACTCATGACCTGCAGGCTCTCGAGTGAGCGCTCAAGCGACTCTCGTTCAGCTGTCCAGTCCGATAGGCGCCATGCACATTCCAGTGCAAGGTCCTGGTTGTTTTCCAGCTTCGCTAGGTCAGACAAGACATCCCATTGCTGCAGTTCAAGAGCTGAAAGCACCCAATGATCATCCCATAGGTTGTATTCAGATTCGGTGAGCGGCACACCAGACGTACGACCCTTTACCTGCGCCGCTTCATACAACACTTGTGCCTCGGCAAACTTGCCGCTCTGTTCGTACGCAAGGGCAGCATTGGTCTCAGGGAACATACACCGACGACGCCACAAGCCATAGAAGTAGTCTGCCTCACTCAGCTCTGCGTATGCCTCGGCAAGAGCATCCTGCGTTGACTCTCGGACCGCATCGTCTGAGCGAAGGGAAAACAGCTGGTGTTGCAGCTGCTCCATCGAGACGTACCAAGCCTGGAACGTCTTGCCCAGATATCTGAGGACATAGGGTGGTATCTCGAGCGTCGGCGAGCATGCCAACGCGCCGCCAAGTAGCGACTGCACAACGTTGGGTCTCGCAGGCGCCTGGCGAAGCATGTACTCATGTGTGACGCACCCAATGAGAGCATGATTCAGGTCTGTTTGGTGTCGCTTTTGAGTCGTTCGCCAAATGGCGGGAAACAGAGTCTGCCAGAGAGCGTCGGCGGCATTCGCATCGAGATACTGCAGCGTGCGCAGCGCGTTGACAAAAGGCTGTGTCGTTCCGCTCTTCATCATCTGGGCAAACAGATTATCGCCATCACACGGCTCGCCGACCAAAGGACCCGACGTGTCGATGGCCGCGAGAAGCAAGTCGAGAACCTGATGCAGCCAGTAGCGTTGTGCAATGCACTCCCAGCCCTGTGTACCGAGCAGATAGAGAAGCCGGGCGGACATGGAGCGAGTGAGAGACGCGTCAAACAAGTCGATGAACTCGCGTCGCAACGAAGCATCCGCATGGCAGCAGCCCAGGAGGAACGCGGGCTCAAGCCGTGCCGTCAGCTCCGTGCGCGCAAGCGCGGGATCCTTGTAAATCCCGAGAATCAGGTCCATGAATGCCTTCGACAGAGGTAAATCGCGATGTTCAAAGCACAACATCTTGACGAGAATCCCAGCCTTCTCCTTAAGCGTTGGGAATGGCTCAGGCTCTTTGAGGATCCACACCCGCATCATCGAGAGCAAGAAATGGCACAGTTTTGTACTAGACGACTTTTCCACAAGCTGCACGACAGCACTGAGGAACCAGCGCCGCTGGTCGCCCAGATGGGAGATGCGTGCTTTCAAAAGCTGGAGCACTTCCATGAGCATCTTGAGCGTGCTCTCGCCACCTGCAGCAGGCGCTGCGAGATGCTCTTTCGTGAGCCGGGTGAGTGTCTTGATAAGTAGGGGCTGATGCCGGTCAATGCATGTCGGATGCGTATGTGACCAAGCGGACAAGAGCGTTAGTGCACTTGCTAGGTTCGTGCCGGAACGAAGTCCCTCGGTAACGGCCGTTTCGACACTCGTACAAAGCTGAGCCAGATCCTCGGGGAGTGGTGCATCATCCTCACCTGGTGGCGCCGCCGGCAGCACAGAGCAGAGACGTTCCAAGGCAGGGCGCGCCGCATCCAAAAGCACAGGATGATCGCTTGCAAGCGTCTTTTCCAGTAGTTTTTGCATCTGGGCCATGTGGCTGAAAAGCCACTCCTTGTCGCGGTCGCGAGAAATCACATCGAGCGTCGCGAGAGCATTGGCAATGGGCCCAACGTGCTGCTCCGACACGTCCGTGTGAATCAGTGCACGCTGCAGCAGAGCGAGACGAACTTGCACGCCGTGCCACGCAGGCAGCCGGTGAACCTGCTCCAGAAGAGAAAACGCATGCTTCGTGACATCATTCGCTGTGATAGATTCCATCGACAAAGAGATGAATCGAACAAGGAAGCGGAAGACCAGGTCACGCAGGTGCAAGGGCATCGAGTAGCTCACGGACAGAGATGCAGAGGCTAGAGTCGCCGTTGACGAGTCTGCGTACGTGTCGGTGCCGGTCTTGATGCGCTTTCGAGACACGGACTCGGCGTCACCACCCTGCGCGTCCGTGTCGGCGGAGCTTGGCAAATCCCATTTAATCAACAGGTCGATAAGTTGAATGGCAAGCTTCTTCGACTCAGCAGTAGAGCTGCTCGCAAAGCCCAGCTTCGCGAGCGACGTGACCATGTGCGGCACAAACAAGTCGCGGCTGTCGTAGAACAGGTCTGAGTACCGCACAAGGAGCTGAAGAATAGAGCAGAGCTGCAGTACATTATGCCCTTCGTCAAGAAGAGTGCGCTTCGTCCACTTGACCCAGAGGGGCGTCTGCCCGTCTTTGCTAGGCACACGCTCAGGAAGCGCTGGCACCAGGGTATCAAGCGCACGACGTACAAGGGCCCGGCCATCACTGGGCGTTAGACGCAGCAGGCCCACATACACCTGACCAGTGATCTTGATGGGGCTCTCGAACTTTTGCAGGAAGCGTGAGATAAAGAGGTACGCCGCATGCTTCACAGTGACATCTTCGAGCGGGAGGAACGACCACCCAAACTTGATGGCATCGAGCTTGGACGTGCCCTCCGCCGCGAGCACATCCGCTCCATGCTCAAGGATCAATGTGCTCATCTGGAGCAGCTCCACACGCAGCTCATCGTCAGTGAACATGGCCATACCATGGCCCTGCACGATGCGCCATACTTGATTCACCACGAGCAGGACCATCTCCTTGTTCAGTAGGGGCTCGTGGTTCGCAGCAGACACGATGGTGTGTGCACACTCTGGCTTCTGGCTCGACGCTGCTGATGCTTGCGTCTCGACGGACAGTGGCGCCTCCTCTGCTGCATACGACGATACGAGCATGGGATTCAGCAGCACCCGCAACGCATACGTCTTGCGCACAGATGCTGCATGTGGGTCTGCGATTAGATGCACGACACGCTGCATGAGTGCCCGCTTTGTCTCTACGCTGCCTCTTCCACACACGTACTCGTATACGAAGCGTGTGTGGGAGGACAGGTCACGTGCTTGGTGGTACGTGTACATGTCTAGCAGGGACATGTGCACGTCGACGAGCGGCTCGTGGCGCAATGCCGAGTGCAGAAGCGACAGATAGAGAGGCGTCAAGGGCGGCTGCGTCGCGAGCACGTCGGCCTCGGCGCGCCGTTGTGCATGCATGTCAGGCGTGTTCCATAGGGCAATGAGCCGATCCAGTACAGGGCGATGCACTAGGAGCCACGACGATGAAGAGGGGGTGCCGTACGCGACGAGCGGCTCGATGAGCTGGAGAGCCACGCGGATGTGCGTGGTCTTCGACGCATCTGACAAGAGCGGCAGAATGTACACGTCGGCACGCTCGTCGAGCTGGCGTCGAAGCGAGGCGCCGTGGTCCGAAGCCAGGGCGAGACGCAAAAGACGTAAGAGCCGTGGGTTCTGCAGCTGGTCGCTCTCGAAAAAGTAGCGGATCGTGTGCTCCGCAAAGTGGTCGAGAAAGAGCGTCAGCATGTCAGTGAAGGGCGTCGGACCACTGCGGCGCAGGTGCGACTCGATCTCGGCCACGTACATGAGCAGGCGCGGCAGGAACTGGTACGCCGTGTCGGGCAGCAGATGGAACACACGCACGATCGCGGCTAGGGTCTTGAGCTGTTCATTCGTGTCAAGGGAGCCAGCAGCCGCTCGGCGCAGCATCGCGGGCTCAGCAAGCGCCGACAAGTGGTCTAGAAGCTTGACGCCAATCTCGACCTTGAAGTAGTTCGTCAGGAGCTGGAGCAGATGCGCGAGGCCATCGAGTCCCGCTGTCGTGAGCCGGTTGCGGTCTGCAAGTGTCATCAGGATCGGCTGCAGCCCGCTGCGCAGCAGGTCCTTCGGTAGCTTGTTCTGCTGTGCAAGTGTCGCCTTGAGTGAGTGGTACGCGACCTGGACCACCTCGTCCGACAGCGAGTACAGGCACTTGAAGTACACGGAGATGATGCGCATCCGCATCGTCACATGCTCCTGGGTCTGGAACTCGGTGCACTGCATCGCTGCGGCCAGCAGCTGGATTGCCACGACGCGTAGCTTGGTGATGGCGAGCAGATTCTTGTACAGCGTCGTGCGGCCCACGAGTGCCTGGTCGTCGGCATCAGCAAGAGCAAGGGCCTCTGTCAGCACGCGGAACAGCTCTTCGTTGAACGCCGGCAGCGGCCGCGGCAGCTGCAGCGTGTACCTGATGGCATCAATGTGCCCGATCTGCATGCCGAACGGCAGCGCACGCAGCGGCTTCGTAAAGATCGGCAGCAGCAGCCGGTCTCGCTGCGGCTCCAGCAGCTCAGTCACACTGCATTCCGTCAGCCGTGCAAGCAGCTCAAGCGTCCGCTGCGTCGTCTCACGAGCGATCTCATTCGCGGACGACAACTCCGGGATCAGAATGCCCACAAGCCACCGCAGATGCGGCGACGACTCGTTGTACACTTTCGCTGCGCGACTCGTCGTCTCGTTCGCATCGTGCTTCGGCGCCTTGCCTGTGTATGCCTGCTCCAGCACATGGTACAGCGTCGCACTGATCCGCTCAATGTCGCGCGGCGGATCACTCGGCATGTCCTTCAGCATATATAGCAGCGCACGCACAATCTCCAGCTGGTGGTCGGCGACCCAGTTCGCGCCGAGAGACGCGCGCCGCACGAGTGTGTCGATGCCGATCCATCCACCGAGCCGCCGGTGCCAGTGGTGCTCGTAGCAGCGCGAGCAGAATGACGACGCAAGGGCATGCATCACGGTGTGGCCCAGACGCGTGCGCGTTGCCGGCACATGCTCACAGTCGTCGAGGAATTGGCGCACGATCGCCAGGAGGATCTCGAGATGCGGTGTGTCGCCTTTCATGTCGACGCCGTCGATCGAGTGTGCCATCGCCTCGAGCATCACGAGCGTGAGCGGCAAAAGATGCCGCTGCGACACGCCGCTCTGCCCCGGCACCTCGCGCGTGATCTCGGTTCGCAGCGTGTGTGCATATAGCCCCAGGAGGAACGACTTGACATCGGCGCGCAATCCCTCATGCGACGCCGCACGGAACAGGCCGATCGTGATGCGCCGCAGCTCCGCGCGCAGCTCGTGGTCCAGGGCGTCGTTCACAAGCACGACGGCCGCCGTCGTGAGCACATCGAACGCCGGCCGGTGGTACGCCTCGTCGGCATCCGCGAGCTTTGCAAGCGCCAGGTCCATCGCCGGCAGCAGAGCACACTTTGTCAACAGAGCCATTCATGCCAAGGGCGATCGACGGCGTCGTGCCTGCGTGGTACGCGAGCGTCGGCTGCTGCTGCAGGAAGCGCCGGTTCCGTCCACCGAGCTTGCCGAGGATCCGCATCGTCGTGTGTGAATGCTGATGGTTGTGTGGGAGCGGCTTCAGGTGCGTCCAGAGCGCCGCCATGATGTCCTGGATGTACGGCTGCATAATGGGATCGAGGAACTCCTGCGTCAGGTTGTCGATGCACAGCTCCAGAGTCCGGAGCCCCTGGCTCACAAGCTCGGACGACGAGCGGAGCGCCAAGACGAGCGGGTGCATCAGTTGATCCAAGTACGGCAGCAGGACACTCAGGCGTACAGGCACCGTCAGGCACAAGTCGACGAACAGATCGCGGTGGCTGGGATCAGCCGCATCCAGCAAGAGATTTAGCTTCTCCAGCAGCACAGGCAACAGCGGCAACACATCCTTGTACAGGAGCTCGAAGCGCCCGCCACCTATGCTGCGGAACAGTGCCCGGAGCAGGAGGAAGTAGTTCGTCGGCTCCTCGGCCTTGGACGCACACTTCAGTGAATGCATGATCAGATGCGTCAGGTGCGGCTCCAGCACCGACTCGTTTTCCTCCGGGAAGATCGTCACCGCCATGAACGCCATCTTGAACAGCCGCAGACTCACAGACGCAGGCGTCTTGTCGGGCGTGCCGAGCGCATCGAGGCGCTGCACGAGGAACTTGAGCAGGATGTCCACAAAGCGCCGTGTTACCGCATCGTTCGACAGCAGGTTCTGAGGAATGCCCAGCAGCGCCGGCGCTTGCAGAATTTGCTCGAACAGGAACGGCATGTGCGTCGAAAATACCTCATGGAACGTCTCGGGTGGCAGATCAATGAAGATGTTCGTGAACAGGTCGATCATGTCTTTCTCCTCACGCCCGTCGCGCTGCGTTTGTAGCAGGCAGCAGCGCACGCCGCCCACAAACACGCGGCCCATCACCTCGCCATCTGGCTCAGGAATCCCACGGTGTTTGAACACCGTCACAAGCGTCTTGAACCCAAACAGCAAGTTGCGGAACAAAAAGCGTGCATTCTTCATGGGATCGGCCACATGCTCCAGCACAGCTACCGAAGACTGGATCAGCTTGGCCTGCTCGATCGTGATGGCCAGTTGCGCCATCTGCGTCTGCTCTGCACTATCCTTCGCCTGCACGTCGACATCGTTCTCGTCGTTGCTCTCCGTCCGGCCCCGCAGCTGCCGCAGGTCCTCGCCCAGCCTTGCGAGCTCCGGTAGCTTGTCGAGAAACGTAGAGAAGATGCCCTGCAGCATCACAACCGACCGGTCCGCATGCTTCACGACGATCGTCTCCACCAAGTTCAACAACAGCTTCACACACATCGTCTGAATACTCGGTGCGAGCGTCGGATCATGCAAGAGCTGGGCATGCAGGTTGATTACCCGCGTGATCTGCTCCGTCGTCAGCTCCTGCCGTACATGATGCATAAGATCCGCCAGCATGCTGACAACAAGTGGGCGCTGAAGCTCGCGGATCGTGATGCCCGTGCCCAGTAGCACACGCTCGTCCAGCAGCGTGTCAATCTGGCCAACAAAGTGCACGCGAAAGTCGGTTGACAGAATATGCCGTGTCGCCACCAACAGCTCCTTTCTCGTCACTGCATTCTCGGGGGGACAGTCCTTCAGCAAGCGCACATTCACTTCCGGCAGCAAATGTGCATACTGCCGCACAATGGGCGCTGAGCCTCGCAACACGTACGCAAGGAACGACATCGTCTTGACCTGCGTCGTTACCATTTCGCCAAAGAGAGCGCGGTTCTTGATGCCCGGTGCTATGCCCACGAAGATTTGTCCCCGCTGCCGCGCTGCCTCGTGCGCTTGCCGTTGCGGAAGCGCCTGCAATGTGAGGCAATGTTCAAAGATCAGCGGCACGAATATATTGATCGCCGAGCTTACGACGTGCCTGTATGTCTGGAAAATCAGCACAATCGCAATGGGGCACTCTGTCAGCACCTTGAAGCTTTGTGAGCTTTTCAACAGTGTCCGCGGCGCTGAAGGAGCAGCAGCCGTCGTCGAAGACGCCGATGTCGTTGTCGAGGCCGATGCTGTCGCTGTTGCAGATAATGAAGCGGTGCCGCCTGGCGTATGGTCCTGTCCTTCCGATAGTGTGAGCAGCGCATCCTCCTCACCCGGCACAGCCACAGCCTTCCCCGGTGACTGCTCTGTGCCGAACGCCTCAGCGACCGCCGACCGCATATTTAGGTATAGCTTTTGTACAAGCTCAAGGAACGGCTGGACTTGCGACTGCAGCACCGCTTTAAACGCGCGATGCAGGTCGATGATCACCTTGAATGCAAGCGTGGCATTGTCTTCGGTATCTTCCTGGACAATCTTGAGCATCACCTGCATCAAGCGATCTGTATGAGGCCGAACTGCCTCATGCTGCGGGTACCGGTATATCGTCTCGATGAGTCCATGCCGCAAGCGCTGCTCCGGCGCATCGGACACAAATGCACACGCAGTGGTTTCCAGTAAAATCCATCTGCACCGGCAGCACCGCATTCAAAAAACTCATATAGTCCACATTCACATACACCTCTATCATCTCCTTGATTTCCGTGACGACATTCACCTTCGTCCGCAGATCCGCACCCGGATCCGCGAGCCACTTGGCGATCTCGGCCGCATCCGGCGGGCTCGCTAGCCGCGCGCCGTCTGCGGCAGCCATCGTATCGTATTTCTTTTTGTCGCCGCCACCGAGATGTTGCCTCGGCGGTCGTTCAGTGTATGTGTGTCGCGACCTCGTCACGTTGGGGCCGCAATGCGCAATGACGCCGCGCCTATTTTCTTTTCTTCGTCGCAGCCGCGTGGCGGGGGGGGGCGTCCGCTGTCGCCTCGGTTGCCACCTCCATTCCACTCACCCACGACATCCGCGTTGGCACACGCCCGCCCCCGTCCACGCACCTCCGCTGCACCCTCCACCCCCAAAGTGTCACGTGATATGGGTGCACAGGCGCTTGCTCGCCGACATCATGAGCCGCGACGTGCGTGGCTCTCCAACAGCAGCCAGCGAGCGGAATGGCAAGTCTCTTGCTGCGGCTGTTCAATAGCGACTACTTCTCGCCGCATCTTGCCCTCAGCTAGTGCGTATGCGCGCACGTATCTGACAGCCCAGTCTACGTACCTACGCCGATCATGTGGGCATCACATACTATCTGATCGCCAAGCTTAGCACGTCCTTTGCTCGCGAGGATATCGAGTTCTACTGGCCCCAGTTCTGTCACTTGCTCGTCACGAAAACAACAGAATCACGCGCTTTGGAAAACTTTATCTTGCGCAAGTGTGAAGACGATGTGCACGTCGCTCTCCTCGTACGTATTTTCCACGTTCGCACGCACACCCAGTGTCACAGCCGCTAGCCGCTCGCGCGATGTATGGATTTGCATGCTAACAACCCTGTCCCTTTTATCACTCCATGCACTTTGTCTCTACCTTGCAGACGCTATGGTTCATGCAGGCACACCTCTCAGACCTGGCTTCTGAGCCAGAGTCGCCACATTTCCGAACGTGCCAACGCGTCTACAATCGGTGTCAGCGCATCCTCTTTGAAGACCCCGATCCCGAAATGATGATCCCAGATCGTCATCTGCTTCCATTGTTCCATCCATTCTTCGAGGTGCGTCGGAAAATGTGGCCTGGCAACACAAAAACCGCCTTGGCCGGCATGGCATCTGCTGTTCTAGCCATTGGTCGCCCAGACGTGGCTCAATACGGCCAAAATCTAGCTTTGCAGCAAGGCAGATTGCCCCCTAGTGACTTGATCATCCATCAACCTTCCCGCGATGCGTCTGCCGCGTCTGCTTCGTCGTCTGTCGATCACCCTCCTGGTGAAGACACTGAGCATGCAGTGTCCAGTGTACATGCTTCTTCCACCCCAACGTCAGCCTCGCTATCAACCACCGCACCTTCCGCACCAGAAAAGCCTCCTGCCTCCCTTGTATCGCCTTCTGGTGCCGCTGGCTTCCCTGACGACAGGCATGCGCCTTTGCCACATGAACCGCCAGCCACCTTTGCCTCTGCTCAGCAGCATGATACCAAGCCAGACCCTGTACAGCAAGTGTTTGGACAGGACGACAGCGGAACCCCTCGCAACGCCGCGCCTCTGCCTCTACCACAGCCCCTGCCATCCACGCCAACAACCCCAAGCGCGCCAACGACGATGCCCAGTCATACCACTACCACATCCGCACTTCCGCCTTTGAACCCCAACAGCCATGAGTATGCATTGCATCAAAAGTACCTTTGCTCGCATTATGGTCGTACTGAGATGCAGTTCTTGCAAGCTCTCCAGGACATCCCTTCGCGCTTGCAGCAGCTTCCCAAACCAGCGCGACTCTCGGCTCTGCGTGCCGAGCTTACCAGCTTGAATCGCACGTTGCCCGCCGAAGTCTGTTTCCCGACTTGGTGTGCTGGATCCCCCGCTGGATCTGCACACCCAGAGAGGCATCATCGCGTTATGCGCATTAGTGCGTCCGAAGCTGTCGTCCTCAATTCGGCAGATCGCGTGCCGTACCTGCTGCACGTGGAAGTGCTTCGTAATGACCTAGACTTTGATCCAAACCGGCGCTACAATCGCGAGCTACTACACTCTATCCTTCAAAATCGCGACCGCTCACTCAGGCCCCTGCTGATGGCCCATACAAAGCGCCCTTCGATACCCCGTCACCCAGGGGCGCTACCTGACGATCCCGCGCCTGGGGATCAACAATCTGGCGAAGTCGATCTCACCGAGCAAATGTACGGCTCCGATCTCTCAGCCTTTGGCATGGTGCACGAAGATGTCGGCATCCAAGAGGAGTTCGGCACAAAGAACGACACCCTCGATACCGCCGCTTGGGCACATGCGTCCAACGCCAACGAGCAGCGTGCAGACTTCTCTCTCGACGAGTATTCTCAGCGCATGCGCACGGCTGCCGTCATGCTAGCTCAACTCAACAAGGGCAGCACCTTGCCGCGTACTGCCGCCGCCTCTGACGCCGCCGAGCCTGGAAATGAACCTGCACCGACGCGCGTGTCGTATGCTGATGCACAGGTCATTCGTCAGCGCATCATGGACGAGATGACCGCTCTCGAAGAGCAGCGCATGAAGCGCATGAAACGGGGGGGTCAGTTCTTTACGCGACGCAAACGCAACATGATGGGTGCCGAGGATGAGAGTGCCGTGCTAAAAGCCGTTAATAAAGACGATCCCTCTGCCGCATACTTCCGCGAGTCTTGGACCATCAAAAAGGACCGCATCCGTGCCTCGTCTCCCTACGGCAGCCTACCTGGCTGGGATCTCTTTTCAGTTATCGTCAAGACCGGTGCTGATTTACGGCAGGAACTCTTCGCCGTGCAGCTGATTCACGAATTTAAGCGTGTATGGAGTGAGTGCCGATCATCTTGCTGGGTGCACTACTTTCGCATTGTGACCCTCAACGAGTCGGCAGGTCTTATTGAAACGATCACAGATGCCATTTCTGTGCATTCGATCAAGAAGGCTGCGTATGCAAGTCAAATGGCCGGCCAGCCCATCTCCACCTACACACTGTATGACTACTTTGTACAGACGTATGGGGATCCACACTTACCCCGTTTCCGCCGTGCACGGCGCAACTTTATGGAGTCACTCGCCGGCTATGCAATTGTGTCTTACCTCTTACAAATCAAAGACCGCCACAACGGCAATATTCTCGTCGACGCAGACGGCCACCTGATTCATATCGACTTTGGATTTATCCTTGGCTTGTCGCCTGGCGGCGTCGGCTTCGAAGCCGCGCCGTTCAAATTTCCTCGCGACTATATCGATATTCTTGGCGGTATGGACAGTGATGGCTACAATGAATTCAAAGCCCTTATGCGCCAAGGTTTTCGTGACGTCCGAAAACACGCCGAGCGATTCATCCTCTTAGTCGAGCTTATGCAGCGCAATTCTCACTTGCCCTGCTTTGCGGCAAGCGATAACGCTGCTGCTCAGCTTCGAGACCGGTTCCAGCTTAATTTCACCTCTGCGCAGTGTGATGAATTTGTCGATAAACTCGTCCTCAGTGCAGCTGGTAGCGCTTTCACTCGCTTGTACGATCAGTACCAGAACTTCACGCAGAGTATCCTTTAATGTTGTAATTGGCCCGATTTTCGTATTCGACATAGCTCATTCCTAATTTACGCGCGCAATTTTGCCCATATCGACAGTCGTTTATGATCGGGTATGTCACGTGGGTCTACGCGTATGGCACTTACCTACTACAGCCACGCATCTCGAGTCGAGCGTAGGAGTTGACCGCACCTGTTCTTCACTTCCCATGAATAGCACGTGTCCAGGGTCCCATTGAGAAGTGTCCGGAGCATAGCGTGCGAGCCGTTTTTTGTCGCTTGCGAACATGCTGGATTAGGAAATTCCAATCGCGTCCAGGCTCAGACGGGGCAATTCAACTGAATGTAGGTAATGAACGATCAAATTATCAACCAAACAACACAGTCGCCTATCCTATTTATAAACATGTCTGTGATCAAGTTTTTTACGCCTGTTCCACACAGCATTTTTTTTTTCCCTTTGTACAAAGATCTTGTCAAACAACAACCAGGCTTCAAACGAGCCATAGAATGACGCTTTGATCGACTAGAGCCACTAGCCGCGCGCATTCTTCGACATCGCACGAAGCTTAGATCCAAACTTGTAGAACACGAATGGAATTGGCATCATGACAAGAGCAATAAAAGCAAGAACTGTTGTAGCCCACCTGGGGTTCAATTTTTCATACATCTGTTGACCAAACATAGGGAACCCTGCACCGAAGGCTGAACGGACAACCGTATTGGCCGCAATAGCACTTGCAGAATTCATCAGGTAAACCTCTGTGACGTACGTCATAAGACTGAGGAAAATAAAGAATAGACCAATACCAAACACTCCACCAGCCACAATCGTACTCCATGCAGAAATAGAGGGGAAAGCGGTCCATGCGAACCAGAACAAAGCGATAACTAGACACGGTGATCCAATCATGCATGTCTCAAGTCGTCGCTCAGGAGAAAGAAGAGGGACTTTCAATTTTTCCATACTCTTGACATACCTTGGCTGATCCACAAAAAGACAGTACGCTGCAGACAAAGCGCAACCACAAAAGAAGCCCAAAAATGCCAAGCCTTCTTCACCATTGTTCATGTTATGGTCCCGAATAAACACAATAGGGTAAGCCACAAATAGAAGATACAATACACCATAGATGAACGAAATGTAAATGGTGACAAGCATAAGCATGGGCTCGGTGAACAACATTTTGACCGGTTTGCCAACAGTCTTTCCGGCAAGTTGGAGCCAATTGATCTTTCGCAGCTCAATCGGCGCGACATAGCGATCGTCACCTGTCTCTTGTCGAAGTCGCCTTGCCTTCATCTGTAGACGCTTACCATCCAATGTTTCTGGCATCGTGAATATGACCAAAAGCAGTAGGACACCTGATAAGATTGCACACACTCGGAACACCCATCGCCAATTAGCATGATCATTAGCATAATCTTGAGCAGCTGCCTGGCTTAATCCCATTCCAAGAGCTTTCTTCATAAAGTGCCCATTTGACACTGAAATATATCCGCTTACAATAGGACCAACGCATGGTCCTGCAATCGGGGCAAGAGCAAAAAAGACGATACCTATCATAAGGTACTTGAGCGGAAACAATGTCGCAATCATAGAGGGGGCATTTGACATGGAACTTGAACCAAATGCACCCGCTAATATGCGCATGACAATCATCGCTGCAATGTTGGGAGCGAAGGCGCAACCTATATTGAACGCCGTGAAGCCAGCAAATGAGATGATAAAGATGATCTTTCGACCAAACATTTCCGAAAGCGGTGCCCAAAGCAATGGTGCAACACAAAAGCTCCCCACAAACAAGAACACGGATGCCTTAACGACGTTAAGCGAGGTGTTGAATTCAACAATCATTTCAGTCACGATACCAGACGGCACCGACGAAGCAAAGGCCGTGCATAAAGTCAGTGAACCAGCTAACAGAGTGAGATAACACCGATAATAAAAATTCAAATTAAGTACATGTTCGCGGTCGTCTTTGCCATCCCATTTGACAATAATATGTTTCGTTTCCTCTTCATATTTTGCTTCTCCATCACCTGGAGATGATGATTCACCGGCCTCCTTACTTGGGTTTGTTTCATCAATCTCAATGCCTGCCGTCTCAGGAAATTCCATACCGCCCCGCTGTCCCTCATAACCCCATGGCCCAGACTCAAAATCTTGCCTACTCATGCGGAGGTTTGTATGTGGCCCTTGTGGTCGAGGTGTTCCTGGTTGGTATAATGACACTCTAGAAAGAGACCTTCTCAAATCGTGCGGGATAAAGTGCGACGATCGCCGCCGCTCCGTATGTTCTGGTCGCGGCAAATCCCCCAACCATGAAGGGTGAAGCTGTGAATCCGAGGCATGTACCGCCGGCGGTGGCTGAAGCGCAACTACATCTGGAGGCACTTCTGTCGGAGCTACTTCCGGTGCCGCCGCCGGCAGACTCTCACCGGCATACGGCTGATCCGGTGTCGCCGTCTGATTATTCATATATGGCATCATCGAAATCGGCGGTGCACCACTGTGATGAGGCGGCGCTGCAGTGGGAGAAGGCCGGGCCGGATCTGGGAGGTCGATGACTCTCACATTCGGCACTTGGCTTTTGTCGTTCGCGGTCCCATCTTCCGCTTCGTAGAAAGAATCCGAGTCGTGTGACTGGATTGAGGCTGCGAGTTGCCTGTCCATGAGGGCAGCTCTCAAGAGATGGATGGATGTATCAACCTATGCTCGGTGTGGCGATTTTGTCAAGGTGTTCTGCTTGCGAAACAGTTCAGCATAATGAATGTGCTCCGTTATCATCAATTCGCATAACTTCTTAATCTATCCAATAGGGCGCGCTGCTCATTTTGTTTACATGCGTTTGAAAAGAACTACAGGTCATGTACGGACATTTTTCACGCCTCAAGCCCTAGTGGCATCGGATATTTCCGATTTGATTGATGAACCTTGAGAAATGCCTTGTTGACTGCACAACGCCGTGGCGGGCACGTAGTGATCGTCATTATGATTTGTCAACCTGCAATTAGCATGCCCTGCGTGACTTTACATGATTGGTTCTTGGCGTAGGATCTTGAACTCGTGTGGTTGGCTGGGCTGCGCCCAGTAACGACCCATGCCCGCCACTCTGCATAGTGAAAAGACAAACAAGGCCGACCTCAGTCCCTAAAGATGTGTAGAGCACCAGGCCAATGACACGGCTGCCAGATGTCCACGGAGGTGTGCCAATCCCATGGACTACGCCATGGTTAGGGATTCGTAGCATATGGTTGGTTCTTATCAGGTTGCGTTTGTCTCTTGGTCAGCACAAGCGAGAATTTGTGCCTTCCATTAGCAGTACGTAGTTGTCATCACAAACGAAGTAGTGAGCGTGTGCTATGACCCCATCGTTCGAGGACTTGTTCCACAGGTGGAGCCCATTTAGATCCAAATGCACACCTTGAGAGAGTCATTTTGCTGGAACTTCGGCACCCTAGAGTATTTCAGCGAGTGCCAAAGTCTCCATTGGTATCCAACATCATATAGCTGTCTAACATGTACGTCTTATCCAGGGGAATCGCTATACAAAACCAGTTCGCTGTAGATCCATTTATTACATGGCCAATTCAGCTTGTAATGCGCGAAGTTCAGCATCTTCATCCACTGAATCGGCGTGTGCATTTTTCGTCGCATCAGATTGAGTTGGCGTAGAAATGTGATGCGCTGGCGCAGCCTCCGCACCGACCAACCGATTGTGCAACTCGTCCTGCTCAAGCTCCTGAAGCTCGTTTCGTAATTCATCTTCATCTAGCTCGTGTCCCAAGCCCACAGGGTTTGATATGGCCTCGGAAATCTCATTTGTAAGAGCCATCTCTTCTCTGATGGAATCCATGGTATTGTCGACTTTATCAATGTCCCTGCACAGTGTTAGTCTGCGAAGAGCCGAATGTGACTTACATATTCGCATGAATGTGTTTGAGAGCAGCTGAACCACGTTGCATGGCCCGCATCGTCTCCAGATTCATATTAGCATTTTCGATCGCATTCACCTGTGTTTCCAGAGTCATGCGGCTTCCGGCCAGACGATCCAGCTCTGTCTCGTACATCTTTTTCTGCCGGAGCGCAGCTTGCGCAGCTTACACGGTCAATTTCCCAATCGCGAATCCCAAGCTTCGAACGTACCACGCTTGTTGCTCGTCACATTGTCTTTCGCTTTGCGAAGCTCTTCATCAATTTTGGTTTGGAGATGCTCCTCCTTCTTTGCTATCAAATGCAGCTGTTCACGCAGCCCAATAATCGCATCTCGTGCAGTATTTTTATTGTCTCGCTTCCCACTAACCCAGCTAAACCAGCCTGCCATACCTTCGAGCGTGGGTATTGTGCTCGATGGCCGATGGTGATCTAGCACGGTTGGGTGTGGCGTCTTGGCGTAGGGATTGGGAACTGTGCGCGCGCATTGTCCGCAGGACCACGTGGCTATAGGCACACCACGCGAGACCTCCATGTTGTATTGAGATAGTGTGTGACGCGTCGGACAAGAAAGGGCAATTATCATGATGGAACGTGCGTTCTGTTTGGCACGAGGGACTTCTTGAAGGGGCTTTCCCATCCGAATAATGCGGCAATTTCGGCCAGCATAGGTACATGGAGGTGTATGCAAAGATGAATGACAAAATTCCCAGCATTGTCTTCGCGCCACTTCTGACCGGGTGTGTGACAACTCGCTGACTTTTGACACATAATTATGCTGCACCGCACCCCGTGTGACTCGACTAGGAGGCGGGATGCATTGAAATGTGTGAATGCTGGAACGATTGTTCCTGGATATAGTCGCACATAAGAAGCGTGTTCCATCGCACGCCACCTCCATTCCCTTGCGAACGAGTCAAGTCCGTTGTATTTCCACATTGCATACGTAGCAGCAAGCTCATAGAAATGCACCTTGCAGTCTATATAGTTGGCTATGCTGGTAGCGCTTAGCATGTCTCGCCCCAATCAACACTGTAGCACTGGCGGGCATGCACGCGGTAGTGCAAGACCCACGTTTGACACATGCGGACAAATGGCGGTGGTTTTTGGCATGTACATTTCCTCATTTCTAAAGTATACTTTTCTTGCATCATGATGATCAAAGTAGGATGTATTGAAGCTCCATCTTTCGAAGCGTCAAGACCGGCTCTGATGACTTGGCGTAAGTGCCCTGGGCTGGCGCGTTCTTTTCAGGTCCATGGCCCTCTCGGTTCCACGCCGAGAGTGGACTGACTGATCTCCACATATCAACGTGCAACGTGCTTGTCTAGTGACATCATCGATGGCGTCGAAAGTCCGACCGCTGCTGGCGGCGCTGAATCAGAGCGGAAAATATGCGTACCGCGAGCCAGACATGCGAGTGGATCACTTGGTCATTGGCGGCGGCGTTGTCGGACTGGCTATAGCGAATGCTTTGGCTCACCGCTGGCCAGACAAGTCAACATATGTCGTCGAGCGGCACGCCGTGTTGGGCGAAGAAACAAGCTCCCGCAATAGTGAGGTCATTCATGCAGGTCTTTACTATCCACACGACTCTCTTAAGACACGTCTTTGCACGCGGGGCCGCGAACTTCTGTACGAGCGCATCGCACGCAGCGGCCGCATCGGTGCCGAGCAGGTGGGCAAGCTCATTGTCGGCTCAGCGAACGACACAGCGTACTTGGAAGGGCTGTATAAGCATGCCCAAAGTATCAAGCAACATGCGCCGCGAGTACGGCTGCTCAATGGGGAAGAAGCACGAGAACTCGAGCCGGATTTATCACCTCACATCACACGTGCGCTCTATTCGCCGTCCACAGGCATTATTAGCTCGCATGACTACCTATCGGACCTAGCGTGTGAGCTTGAAGAGCTTCCTACTGGCGAAGTGCCCGATGCGAATGTCGTGCTTGGCACCTCGGTTGTGCGCATGGATCCACACACGCCGAATCGAGCGGCTCTGAGCAAGGCGGGCGATGACGGCTCACAAGAAGGGTGGGTCGTTCAGCTCCGTACGCACGATGCTTCCCATAACGAGACGGATTCACTTCTGGCGCGTGTTGTGATCAATGCTTCAGGCCTCAATGCGCCGCGGGTCCTCAACAGCCTATGGCCCCAAGCATCACCGAGTCAGTGGGTGCCGATGTATTTCGCCAAAGGTAGCTATGCAAGCTACCGAGGTCCTGGTGTCAAGCATGTACAGCATCTGCTTTATCCAACGCCTGAATTTAGTAAGCAGGCGTCGCAACGAGCGCATGCCGTTCAGTCTCTCGGCACGCATCTGACACTGGATCTGGACCACCATGTGCGCTTTGGACCAGACTTGTCGTGGCTCTCGCCGCCCGCAGATGTTTCCGATTGGCACCTGGACGACGAGCTCGGCTTCCAGCACGACTTTTGGGAAAAGTGCCTAGCGCCCGATCCATCTGACGCTTGGTTCGACAGTATGTACGAAGCGATTCAAGCATACTTGCCAGGCGTGTCTCGTGAGGGACTCCAGGTCGACTATGCCGGTATAAGGCCCAAACTATGTGGTCCTGACGCCCAACGGTTTCAGGACTTTGGCGTGCTATGGCATGCAAGTCGCCACGTTGAAAGGCAGCATGTGTGGCAGTCAAGTGCCGCAGAGGCAGGGCGTGCAGCGAGTGGTCTGCTTGTGAGCCTGGTGGGCATTGAAAGTCCTGGCCTCACGGCGTCTCTTGCCCTTGGTGAGCACATCGTCAAGGAGCTGGAGGCACATCTTTGGGGCCGGCATAATCCACGCGGACGTGCGCGGAAGTATGTCGATGACATTGGTCACGACGCCCCTGGACGCATGGGCATAGAAGACGTCGATGCAAAGAAACAAGCCAAGCAGGCAGGCAGGCAGACAGGCAGGCCAGCAAGCACATAATCAAGAAAGTGTTGGGCTTGGCGCTCGGTCAGGAAGTGCTTTGCGTCTGGGGGTTGACGGCTTATTCCCGCCCTCCTCCTTATGCCCACCGTCCGTACCTGAGCCACGTCCGCACCCACGTTAGGGCGTCCACAGACGCGCATCGCCATCCGCCCCTGCACTCACGAGCCACGGCAGCGTCGGGTGCCATGCGATACTCAGCACGCCCAGCGCATCCTGCACCGCATGTCCACGCAGGATCTTTAGTGGCACCAACAAGGCGTTTTGCAGCAGGTCCGAGTACACGGTGCCGTGGTATACATGCACGGTGCCATCGTCCGCCGCACTTGCAAAGAGCGGGAAGCGCGGGTGGTACGCCACTGCACGCACAGCCCGCGAGTGGTACCGCAACGCCTTGTACGGCCGCTCCGACAGATCCAGGTCGAACCACAGCACGCGCCGGTCGTACGAGCCAATAATCACGTGATCCCCACTCGGATGCACGTCCAGCGAGCTGATCCAGCGCACGCCGGGCTGCAGGGTCTTGACGAGACTCTGTTGGACAAGGTCGTACACACGCACGTAGCGCTGTGTCGCCACGAACAGCCAGGGCCGAGAGGGGTGGAAGCACACACACTGGACAGCCATGGCCGAGTTGCCTGCACGTCGTGTACGCCGGAACGGCGCTTGCGATCGGTGCTTGCTGACTTGATGGATCAACACGGCCTCGCCTGCTGCCTCGGGGCTCACTGTCGCAAAGTAATCACCGCGTGCATGCCAGCGCACGTACTTTGGCACAAGCGACGCATGCTTGTTGTTCCGCACGTCGATGCGCACACAGACGCCTGCGGCTCGATCCGCCTCACTGGCTCGAGTCCACTGAGCTGTTGCTGCGTCTTCGGCGGCATGCGGCGTCGTGAGATGGGCGAGACTGGCCTCGTACATGGTCTTGCCGCACTGCGGCGGTGCTAGCAGCGTGACCCGCCCCACACTCACAGCAGCTGCGATGCCGAACGTCCGGTTCGGGCACCACTGCACACAGTACACGGGACTGCGATCAGCACGTGCTACACCTGCATTCATGTCCCATGTCGCGACGCAGCGGCCCAGCGCCGCATCCCACAATCGGACGTGGCCGTCGTCGGGCCCCTGTCAGCAGCCACGCACCCGATGGATCGATGGAGACCGTTCGAATCCGCCATGGTGCATGTGCGTACACGACGTCGGTGTGCGTCGGGAACGGCCGCAGGTCGCGAGGAGCAGGGAGCTTCGGTAGCAGCTGGTCCGGATCATCAATGTCCAGGCGCTTCCGCCGCATGCGTGGTGCCATGTACAAGTCCAAGCAGCGCTGGAATCGCTCGTGCAAGGCCTGATCGTAGCCAGGCACAAGACGCAAGGCCGCATACTTCGCCGGTAGGAACGGCAGCTTGCGATCCTCGGGCTCGGCCGCTTCCCACTCAGCCTTTTCATCGTCGCCAAATAGGTACTCTGCAGGGGGATTGTACGACTCAACGTGCGATGGCAACGGCAGCTTCGGCGCCGGCATATGCATCGGATGATCTGCGCGTGCCTCGTCTGCATCGCTCCATAGATTGTAAAAGGCGGGGCGCTCACGCCCTGGCGCATGGGCGACAATCCGCCCCTGTCGAATGGCACGCACAATCTTCATGATCTTCTTGTGTTCCCACTTGCTTGGGACGAAGCGCCGCTTCGGCTCTGGACGCGCCGTGAGCGGCGTCGTCTGCTGATGCTGCGTGAACCAGTCTGTCGCTGGCTCGTATGGATCATATGCCTCAACAGGAATCTGCGCACGCTCCAGCCGTTGGATGATATCGAGTTCCTCGTCTGTCAGCTTCACGTCTTGCCCACTGGTCTTGTCGTGCGCCGAGAACCATCCGTCGCCTTCTCCTTCCACACTGTCGAGGAACTTGTCAAGTTCGTCGCCCTGGGCAGGGCGCAGCACACGTCGTCCATTGATGTCGTAGCCAATGTGCGGGAGGTCGTCGTACCAGGACAGCGGCACTTGGCCAATCCGATTCGGCACATCCTCCGTGCTGGAATCGCTATCGTATTCAGGCTCAATCGGCGGGTACTCGACTTTCGGCATGCCCGTGACGTGCGATTGCACAACACGCCCACGTTTCGAGCCGTCGTCGTTCCGACTCTCATCATAGAATCGCGCTGCCACGCCCGTATCGATGCCTAACTTGTTCGTCGTTCGTTCGCTTTCGTCTGGCTTGACTCGTGCTCTTGCGATCATGCGTTCCAGGGCCGCGTCGCCCTCTTTTACGTCGTCGTCATCGGATAGATCTGCGTCTCCGTACTTGGCATCGGCCTCTTCGTCCCAGTTCTCTAGGTCGTCCGAATCAAAGGCCTCGTCGTCCGATGCGTCTTCGTCTTCGTCCTCATCGTCCTCCTCCTCGTCTTCATCACCATCGTCATCTTTGTCCTTCCCCGACACCAACTCAGGAAATGCCTCCATGTCGTCTTCGTTCTTAGGCGCACCATCGTGATGGTTGCTCTTGTCATCGTCGTCGTCATCATCATCATCGTCATTGTCATCGTCGTCTTCCAACTCCAATATGCCATCCTTCGCCAGCAGCTCTGGCTCTGGCTCCGGCGTATGCACCGGTCGCGTGCGAGTTTCACGTATTGTCACATCACCCGGCTCCGCACGCTTGCGTCCTTGAGCACGTCGTTCCGGCGGCACTGGCCGTCGGCCTTTATCCACGGCCATGACGTGAGGAAAAGGAAATTTTTGACACTCTGCCACGACGATCCATCCAGTGGGCTTTCCACATTGCCCACAGCCTCCTGCACGAGTTTTTTTTTCTTGGCCTTCTTCCTCGTCGTCGCTCAACCCCTCCCTTAGCTCCAGCTGCACGTGGCTTTTATTTTTTTTCTTTTTGTTTTTGTGGTGCACGGCGCACATCCTTTTTCCCTGGGTTCAACGTATTGTTCCCTACGAGTTTACAAAGTTTCGATCCATGTATATAGGTCATCTAGACTATCGCGTTGTGTTTGACTCGGGTCCCACCCTGTGCGATCAATAAACGCAAGACCCATTTTTGCACGTCCGCCTTCAATGATGCGTGGGTCCAGACGCTGCAGTGGCTCATCAAGAGCCATTCCACTCCCTGCCATGATGTAGTCGTTCGCGAGCTCATTCGTTTGCTTATGTCCTTGTCCTCCGCGCACCCTGTGCCCGAATCGCGTGGGGTGCAGTTCTGCAGGCACACCATCCTCGCTTCCGCGGGTAGGGCCTACCCACTGCAGAAATGGCACACGTGCGAGGGCCACTCGCGCCCGTTCCATCCAGCTCCGCCGGCTTGCATCGCGCACTTCGTCAATGTCCTCCATCATGACACGTCCCTGTGCTGGACCTGCCGAATCCGTTCGATGCAAACCGCGCGATGCTCGCCGCGATACCAAGGTAGATTCAACACCTCGCCGGCATCGTGTTAGCAGTTGCCATCGGCGCTTCTCATCCTGTAGTAGCGCATGATCCATAAACAAGGGCGAACGGTCCATGCGGGTAAATAGAACAAATAGTGCTGGCGGTGCTCTTTTTGACTCCATGGCCGCCAAGCGCCGATTCGCCAAAGTTCGCAGCACATCATGGAGATAGTCCACACTGTCGACCAGAGCGTCTTGCAGATCGGTCCGCTTCAATGTAGACAGTGCCGCTGACGCCGTGGCAGACTCACTTCCCCCTCGACTTGCTACGCTTGCATCCAATGCAAAACACCAGCGCATCCACCTCATCCATGTATTCACTCGCTTGCGTACGTAGACGCGCATGCCCTGGCACGTCTACCATGTCCAGTCCATGTGCACATGCATCAGACGGAGGCACACTCCCTGTATTGATCCGCTGTGAAGTTACAGTATCAGGAGCGACACCCATCGTCAAGCGCAGGAACACGTTCGTTTTCCCCGCCTGTTCACCACCAAGGAGCATGACTTTGCGAGCACGTTTTCCGCGGCTGTGCGCCTCCAAAGGTACCTCTGCTATACGTTTGCTCCCGGAAAATACGCCTGTCACAAGTCCCACACATACCGCGACACACGCGGCCAGGAACGTCGTGGCGATGGGAAAAAAGCGTATATCTTGTACATGGGCACACACCCATGCCTGATGCTGGGGACCTAGCACGTGTGTCGCATCACACACCCACTCTTGCACCCATGACATGTCAAGCTTGCTAACACGTCGTCGCAGCTATGCAGATAAAGGCTGGCGCGAGCGACCGAGCGAGCAAAGTGATCACTAGAAGTGCTGGATTCCCTCCGTGAGCCGTCGATTCCGACGGCAAATCTCCACACACACACACACACAAACGGCCGTCTCCACTACTACGTCTTCTAGATCAAGTGAGGCGCGTAAGGGACAGAGGCAATGCGTTCGGTGATATAGAGGGCGAGGGCATATTTGCAATTATGTCCCATCAGTGACAGAGCACAACGCGTCGTCATCGAAGGAGCAGCCGTTTCGCTGGTTCGATACGTCGTCAACGCTGCGACGGTGGGTGCGATGGTACGTACGAAATCGGACTTCAACAAACCAAATACGATCATAGGAGCAGCATAAGGGCTAACGAATCAGTTCCGAAAGTGCGTAAATGCGCGTCGTTCGCAAAGACTGACTCTCAACAAGTACATACGACAGCGACAATACTGTGTGTAAGTAAGAGTGAGTGCGTGCCACTGATGTGCTAGTCTCGCCGCAGGGCGGCTTCACCAGGTCGAATATGCATTGGAAGCCGTGAAACAGGGGTCAGCCGTCGTGGGCCTGCGCTCCAAGTCACATGCGGTGATTGTAGCTTTGAAGCGAGCCCCGTCGGAGCTTGCGTCGTACCAAAACAAAGTGCTCAAGATTGACCACCACATTGGCTTCGGATTCGCCGGTCTCACAAGCGATGCACGTGTACTGAGCAACTATATGCGGCAGCTTGCACTTTCCTCACGCCTCATGTACACGCGCCCCCTGCCGATTTCTCGTCTCATGGGCGCACTTGCCGATCGCGCCCAGCTGAACACGATGCAGTACGGCAAACGCCCCTATGGCGTTGGGTTTCTCGTCATTGGCACCGACGATACTGGTCCACATTTGTATGAGTTCAACCCGACAGGCAATTGCTTCGAGTACTATGCAATGAGCATTGGCGCGCGCAACCAGAGTGCAAAGACGTATCTGGAAAGCCACTTTACCGAGTTCACCGAGGCTGATCTGGACCACCTCATTCTACATGGAATCCGTGCTCTACGGGAGACACTACCGCAAAACAAGCAGCTTGATCAAGCGTCTGTGACCGTGGCATACGTTGGCCCTGGTGCCGATGCTGATCCTCACTCTTCGTCCTTGCGTGAAGGCCAGAAGTTCACCGTCCTTGAGGGCGACAAACTTGCCACATGGTTCGAGCGACTTGGACCCAGTGAGCGTCAGCGCGCTGCGGCTGCAGCTGCTGAAGCTTCAGCGGCAGCGGCAACGGAGAACGCCAGCTCTTCTGCGGACAATGCTGCCGCGTCCACGGATAACGCTTCTTCGGCCTCTGCCCCTGACCAGAATACGCAGGCATCTTCCGACAATACAGACAACCAGCCTCGGCCAATGGACGAAAACTAGTGTGTTTCCACCGCCTCCAGGCTCGAGATCCTTTGTCATCTCCGTGGAGGCGTGACTCACACTACCTGATTTGGGTCACTTAGAGCACGATACATAGCACGTGACATATCCTGGATTAGCTCAAGCAGCGTCGCTCGCAATTGGTGAGAGCCAAAGCCCGAGGAGCACTGGCCGCCACACGATCTCCTCACTCCACACCACTACCATGAGCGTGTGTCAGGAGCAGAGAGCTTCTGAGCGCGAGCCGCTCATCCATTCGTCTCATATGGATGAGCCGTACGAATTCGATGTAGATGGGAAGGCAGCATTTTCCTCTGCCGAATGCGACAAGGACACGCAACAGCGTGCCGTCGTGACGCAAAGGAGGCTCTATACCCGTGATGCAAGTTGGTGCGCTCACTTGCAATCGGCAGCTGCCTTGTTGTATTTGTTACTTTCCGTGATATACGCCCTGTGTCAATTTTTCTCATTTAATCACTCCATGCATGGACATGGTCAGCATGAGATGAAAGTGCAGCACATGTATGAAGCCTATCAAGAATCCGTGCTGAGCGACGCTCGGTGTCATATGCGGACAAGCCGCTTTCTCGAAGGATGCCGACAGACACTTGATGACCGGATTGCAGCTGCTGAGGCCCAGTTCCTTCGTGTGCCCAGCGCCGAAAGCGCGCGCGCATCTCTACAGCGGTACACGAGCGTGCCTCACATGGCTGGTGAGCCGAACGATCTTGACTCAGCTCGCAACTTGGTCACGGAGTGGTCAAACCTCCTGGGCAGTCCCACAGCGAATGCAACCGAGTTTATGTTTGATGCTGGCACTGAGGAGAGTCGCGAGTTTATGCAGCACAGCCCGCCCATGTCGGCTCGTGAAGCCCCTCGCGTTTGGGCCGACACATATTCAGTATGGCTCAATCAGCCAGTGAAAGCAAGTCTGTCCCTGATGGACGAGCGTGGAAACGACTTTTGGACTGCGAATCTCGATGAAGATGTGCTGTCTGACGATGCAACTAGTGTGCAAGGTCGACCAGCGTTCCATGGCTTCTCTGCGTCTGGAAATGCGAAAGGCCACGTCGTCTTTGCTGGTGGCGGTTCTCTTCAGGACTTTGAGCTGTTGAAACAAAATGGCGTCGACGTGAAGGGAAAGATTGTCCTCGTTCGCTACGGCGATGTGTTCCGCGGCGTGATTGTGCGGGCCGCCGAGGAAGCAGGTGCTGCGGCTGTCCTAATGTACACAGATCCTGCCGAAGATGGCACCATCACGGAAGCGAATGGATACAAGGCATATCCCGAAGGTCCGGCGCGGCATCCCAGCAGCGTGCAGCGCGGAAGCGTCCAGGCATCGTCGATCATGCCTGGCGATCCATCCACACCTGACGAGCCATCGTATCGGAATGCGACGCGCTTCCCTTCCAGTGCTACATCGTCTTTGCCACGTATTCCATCGATTCCTATCTCGTTTGCGAATGCTAAGCATCTGCTGGCCGACATGGAAGGCCAGGGCCTGCGTGCTGAACAGCTCCGTGCGGGCTTCGGTGGGGCTATTCCGAACGTCACATACTGGACTGGGCCCAGCCGGCATTTGGCTCACGTGGAAAATGTCATGTCCGACCAAGTGCAGGACATCTGGAACGTGTATGCGGTGATTCCTGGACATCTGGACGATGAGCGGATCATGATCGGCAATCATCGTGATGCTTGGGTATTTGGCGCTGGCGATCCATCTTCTGGTTCTGCTGTCATGCATGAAGTCGTCAAGGGTCTTGGTCAACTTGTTCAATCAGGCTGGCGTCCCATGAGGACCATCGTTCTGGCAAGCTGGGATGCGGAAGAGTATGGGCTGATTGGCTCCACGGAGTTCGGTGAGGACTTTGCCGAGTTTATCCAGTCGCACGTGGCCATGTATCACAACCTGGACATGGCTGTGTGTGGCTCTGTCTTTGAAGCCAATGCGTCGCCCTCGCTCCAGGCACTGCTTCATGACGTCGCGCACAGCGTGCCTGATCCTAAGCAACCTGCCACTCACAATCTGACCCTGCGCGATGTTGGCCCGCTGGGCTCTGGCAGTGACTTTACCGTGTTCCTCCAGCGTCTAGGTATTGCTTCCTCCGACATTCGCTTTAGCCGCGGACCCAGTGATCCTGTCTATCACTACCACTCCAACTACGACTCGTTCACGTGGATGGACCGCTATGGTGATCCAGGCTTTGTTCGACACGAGGCGATCGCCAAAGCCTATGGTCTATTGGCGCTGCGAAGCGCTGATGCGATCTTCTTGCCCATTTCACTTCGTGATTATGCCCGCGAGCTGCACAAGTACTACGAAATGCTCCTTGACACAGCACGTGCTACTGGTGTCGAGTTGCGTCCCACCATCCTCGAGCGCCTGCGCACTGCTATTGAGAATCTTGGCGTGCAAGCTCAAGAAATGAGCGTGCATCAATCGAAGCTCGAGGCGCGTGTGCGTGCCGTGTTTTCTCGACCCAATGTCCACATGACCCAAGAAGTACGTCAACTGCTGCGCAAGGCACACAACATGAATACACACTTGCGTGAATTTGAACAGGGTTTCCTTGATATGGAAGGCCTTGCTTCTAGGCCTTGGTACCGACACTTGGGTGTTGCACCTGGTCGTTGGCTTGGCTACGGCGCAACGATATTCCCTGGTGTGACAGAGAGCATGACTTTGGATCATGGGCTGCGCACGAGTGCCGAACTATCGAGGCTTGCAAAGAGTATGGAGCAAATGGCCAAGAAACTTGAAGAAGCTAACGCTCGTTGGTCACGGCATGAGTCGCCACCACATACACCACCACACCATGGTCCTAGCAGGCCCGAGGAGCCTCATGACGGTTCGCGTCAGCCTCAGCCGCCGCATCATGGACCAGGAGTGCCTCGGCCGCCTCATCCAGGCCCAGAGCCACCACATCATGAACCAGGAGTGCCTGAGCCGCCTCATCCAGGTCCAGAGCCACCACATCATGGACCAGGAGTGCCTCGGCCGCCCCATCCAGGCCCAGAGCCATCGCTCCATAGTTCCAACGGTGCTTAGACCAAATTTGACGGACCCTACTATCCAGTTCATTTAGTACCATACAATTGCCACTACGATCTACATTTCACGATAGATTTTGATCGCTGCTGTTAGATGGCACATACGTACTCTTGTCGGCGCACCCAGTGATCAATCGTGTGCCTGTTTGATCAAATGAAGAACAAAAGATCCCAGCCTCTGCGTCCAGGGATCCTGGCTGCACAATATCGTTGGCTGATTGGAACGGAATCCCCGTGGCATAATCGTAGAACTGCAGGTGTTAGTACAGCTTCCTCTGACGTACCTTCATCGATCCATCGTCTGCGCCCGAGAACAGCACACCATCTGCATTGACCGATAACGTGTTCACAATGGCATCGTGTGTCATGTTCGTCATTAACGTGCCCTCAGGACATCGCCATTTTTTGATATTTCGTCCACCTGCAGAACCTGACGCAAACGTGAATTCATGCGGTGGGATTGCTAAAGCTCGCACCGACTTTTTATGGTGTGTGAGTGTCGTCATGCATCGTCCTGCCGCCAAGTCCCACAGCTTCACCGAGGCATCCATACTTCCTGTGATCACTTGCGGGTCACTTTCCTGACACTCGACACTTGCGACTGTACCACGATGCCCACCGAGCACGTGAATCTGGGTCTTTGTTCGCATATCCCATACACGGGCAGACGCATCTCGTCCTGCCGTCACAATCACATCCAGTGTCGGGTGCAAACTCAATGCATAGATACCTGACAAGTGTCCATAATACTGACGAACCACCTTGTTGGTTTCCAAGTCCCAACACTTGACCAGCTTGTCTTCCCCTGCCGAAAACATGTACGGGTGTCGCGCACTGACCGCCAGGCCACGTACAGTCGATATATGTCCTGTGAGCGACAGTTTCAACTCGCCCGACGCCATGTCCCATATCTTGATGATGCGATCTCCTGCTCCTGTGGCAAACCATTGATTGTTCGGCTCCACTGCCACACAGCGGACCCATCCTAGATGCCCTGATATCACACGCATCAGCTTCCATGGTGGGTGGTAAGCGGGCTTCATCTGCTGTTGCGCCAATTCTTTCTTGCGAACTAGTGCACTGTTTAGCATCGATCTTCCGGTATCATGCACAGCCTCTTCAGGTCGCATCAAAGCTTTCTGCAAATTTGATTCTGATCTAGGCTGGGCTTTTGCTGCAGCTACTGGCCGTAGCGCTACAGCGGACGATGTTTCGCCCTGCCTTGGATTCTGCTTTGTCTTTACCCCAAGCTGTTCTTCCAGATCCTGGAGTATGTCTGACCGTGGATTCGCCTTGCTGCGATCTGCGAGGGACGCAATGCCCGTCCGTTGCTGAGCTTGGATGACATCAGGCAGAACCATGGCGTCTTGGTATTCGGTTCGCACTTTTGACGCAAGGTGCGCTCGCGTCAGTTCTGCAAAGTCTGGCGCATGTGTGCGGAAGTTCTGCGTGAGTAAGCGGCTGCGCTTTGTATGCCGCTCAGCGAGGTCTGACAGAGCCGCCCGCGGCCATTCTGCCTCTCCCATCTCGATGATCAGTCTCGAACGTTTGGACGTAGTTGAAAATTACGACAATGGCAATAGCACCTGGTGTGCCGACTAAGTATGACATAATACGTCCACCGTTTTCACATCTGGCGAAGCACTATCAGTATCGTCACACACCACTACATACCGATCCTCTTTCCCCTCCAACGACTTGCACATTCACATAGGATTTCTTGAAACTGGTGAAATGTTCCCTTGCATTTTCTCCCCCTTCCCTTGCTACCACAATGTCTACCTGAAAAAAAAGAACTCTGTTCGACTGCTGCTCCCTATTGTCATATACCTGCATAGTGCTTTCTCGTAAGACTGTGCTCGTACATTGTAGTACACAACCTGTGCATAGATCCCGTCCAAAACTGAGGGCTTTTTCAGATTGCATCTGGGTCTGAGTTATATTCTGATCCCGTTGTGCATGTCATGCATTGCTCACACTATCTCGATGAACGCCAACGTCGCGTGGTGACCTCATCCCAATGCTGACTAATATCAGGGATCAGCGGGTTTTGCCACAGGGCGGGTGCGGGGAAATCTTGTATGGGTCAGGGCCGATGCGCATTGCCTATATAAACACAGCAAATTCCTTCGTCTACCTACCCTTCATCACATTCAATCCATCATGACCAACAGTCAAATTTCCAAGGTTGTTTACAAGCAAGACCCAATGTCGACAAAGGAATATATCGTCATTGTGAACCCTGAGGCCTACGTTTCCTGGAAGAATGGCGACAAGACAATTCCACTTGCCGATGTCGTTGGCAGTTTCCAGATTATGACATCAGGACAGGGCCAGCAAGGCATCATGGGCCAGGTGTCAAAGCAGGAGATTCACACCATCTTTGGCACGAACAAGGAAGACGAAGCTATTGTAATGTTGCTTGAGCGTGGCACGCTCCAGGCCGGTACCCTGAAGGGCAACGACCTATCTGGGCGCAGCGCCAAGGGCAGCGGAGGCTCTGGAGGCGCCGGCCGCTAAGGACTTGACGAACTTGCCTATTATTTATTAGCCTTCCAGATCCTAAAAAAAGCTGAGATTATGTACGCGTGGTTAGTCGATGTTCATAGATACCGACGTTAACTCATTTACGGTCTTGGTTGTGCTATGGTACATGCGTGGAAACGTAGGTAGGCAGACGGGACACAGACAGACGCGTCGCATTAATGGACCTGGTTTTGGGCTTCATTCATATTGGCTGGATTGATAGGGTCGTAGACATTCGGTGGCTTCGGCGGCTCATGTATAGATGTCTCAAAGCACGGTGGTGGCGTCGCAGGCGGTTCGTAACGAGGAAGTGGTTCATCATCAAGCAAGCTGGGGTGCTCGGGGTCATGCGACACGTCCGATGCTTGATTATACTGCGATGCGGGTGGTCTGTAAGGTCGGGGGGCTTGTGTTCTTTGAAGTGGATGTCCAGGCGCTTGAAATGGATTGACAGAAGCCTGAGGGTGAAGTTGTGAAGGTCCGTGAATGCCTGCTGCTCTTAACTTGCGAGCCCTGACGCAATTGATGAGAATCAGTGCTGTGAAAAATATGACAGCTGCGATAATTACACCAACAGCTAACCACATTGCCCCACTCTACCGATCGTTCGAATGTCTACGTTGGGACTGGCCTCAGGGATCACACAAATGACCCTCCTCCCCACTCTGTCATGACACCGTGCGAAATATATGTGGACACGATTTAGCCAACATGATTTGCCCGATAGACAGTGCCACGCGTCTAAGTGCTTTGTAAATATTTTTAAGACTCGCACAGTGAATCTCTTCGTTTCACATGCACTAGGCCCCTTTTGGTCGATAAGATGACCCTGGGAGATACTTCGCTGCGTAGAGATACTTGTACCTTCCTGGAAGGCCACCCGAGACTCATTGTCCAGCACGTGCAAGATCCCGTTCTTTCGTATATATGTATATAATCTCTAAGGGTTCGAGCAAGATTAGAAGCCAATCAATCCGCATGACAGTATTCACGCCGCAAGAACTGGAATGAAATAGTTGGAAACATGAGGAATTAATTAAGATGTATACAGAAACACAAGGGCATGCTAGACCATCAAGCCACTAGAAGTTGAAGCGTTTTGTTCAAAATGAAAAAAAAGAACACATGAAGTAGCCCTATTACCAAAGATGCATGTCACAAGCTTTCCAATGCGTTAACACCATAGTCAACTGTACGAAGGCATGAAAGCTCGCAAATAAAAGTTGGTACATGTAAAGCAATCTTATTTAGCTCTTGTTTGGCGGCGGCCCCGCTGGTGGCTGATACGTTGTTTCGCTGTTGTGGCCAGGTGGCGGATATGATGGCGGCGCATACGAAGGAACGTCGTCGCCATCACTTGGTGGTGGACCGGGCGGCGGCTGGTATGGCATTGCCTGACTCGGGCCGTTGGGTGGCGGGCCATTTGGTGGAGCATAGGCGCCTTGTCCACCATATTGGTTCGTCATGGGATATGCCTGAGGTTGGTAGGGCTGGCCATAATTCTGTGTGGGCATGGAGCCACTAGCGTTTCCGCCACCCCAAAATCCAGGCCTAATGTACGGGCGGAAGGGTCGGCTGCGATACCGCGTGATCATCATGCCAATTAATATGACAATGATGACACCTGCAACCGACACACATACACCTAGTCTCGTTAGTCACCGAGCTTTTTAAAAAAGAAATAAAAGCGAAATTTAAAGAATAGAAACGTACCGATTGCAATGCGTGCGCCACGCGAGAGAGAGTCGTCGTAGCCATACCGGTCGTCGTAACCGTACATGGTGCCGTGAAGTCAGATTTGTGGCATCTTTCACCGTTGCCAGATCGACTTTTACTTGCACACGTGGCTTACACATACAGACTATCTTGCGGGTCTCATATGACGTAATCGTGCACACCTCGCGCGAGGATTCGTCACGGAACATGAATGACGTAAGTGACACAAATACACATACACGCGCGCATACACTTAGCTATGTCATCGTCATGAACGATAGATGCAAAGTTTCAGTTACACTTCAGCAACTACTTCGGTCCAAGTGCATGAAAGGAATAAGAACATTAAATCGCTATAATTAGAGTAGGCGCTAAGTGTCGATCTTGTTTGAGTAAGAATAAGAGAAGCACTGGATCTTATTGAATCAATCGATTAGAAGAGATTAGAATTAAGTGACTTGAACGACATTAGTGGAATTGTGTAGTGCAACCAAGATTTCACATTTACTTGTATTCCTTGCCGATCTTCAACGACTTCTTCACTTTTTGCATGAGACCCATCTTCTTTGGCTTAGACGCGGCATTCTGAACCTGGTCCTTGGCACCAGAGACTGCATCCTTGCCCTGCTTTTCAACACCTGACACGCCGTCTTTACCCTTCTTCTCAGCGCCCGATACGGCGTCAGAGACTTTCTTCTCAGCACCCGAGGTAGCATCTGTGGCCTTCTTTTCCGGAGCAGACAGAGCATCCTTACCGACGTTGCCAGTCGCATTGTTCGCCGACGATTTGGCATCGTTGACTGCGCCACCGACGCCGCCTGCTTGCTTTCCAGCGGCACCTGTGGCCGAGCCAGCCGCGCCCTGCACCTCGCCAGCACCAGCACCAGCACCAACACCAGCACCAGCACCAGCACCAACACCAGCACCAGCAGCAGCGCCACCGGTGGCGCCAGCAGCACCACCAGCGCCGACAAAGCCTGGCTGGCGATGAGCGAGGTCGATAGGGCCCCGCGACATTGTCTTGGAGGCAGGGCCACGCACCGACCAAGCCTGTTCGTCAGTAGGCTCAAACTTCTCGAGCGTCTGAGGGCCGGTGGCTGATCCACCCACAAGCGGTGCATCGCCAGCAGCTGCACCGACACCAGCACCTGAAACGGTGCTGGTGGGTGCAAACGTCTCACGAGCAGGCTGCGCTTGCGACATTGAGCTAACCCACGAAGGCTGGGCCGATGGCTCATATGGGGTCGCATTTTGCAGGTACGAGGGAACGGCCGAGCTAGCGACACCCGGTGTGCCAGTTATCGACGACGTCTCGACGGGCTGTGAGTTAATGGCTGCAGCCGTGTAGTTCGTCGAGCGGTTTGATCCAGAGTCACGAAGAATCGAATACAGGTCTCCCCCGGCAATAGGGGGAGCTGCGGTAGGCTTTTCATTGTAGTCGGGCACACTAGTGTGTGTGATTGGGACAGCCTCAGTCATGACGTGGTGGTTTTCCGACTCGAGCACCTGGGGCACAGGTTCCGTATACACTGTGGTATTCTCGTTCACGCGATCTTCACCTGTAGCCGTTGCGCCTCTGAATCCAGCTAGCGTGTTCGTCGGCTGGACCGACGACGAAGATGGCGCCGGGGCCGCCGCACCCGTCGGCTTGGCGAGGTCCTCAGTCGCCTGCGAGCGGGCGACATCTTCAGCATTTGTCATGACACCGTTCGTTGATGGTGTAGCGGTAGATTGTTGGCCTTCAGTACCAAAGACCTTGTTTGTCACTTCGTGCACTGTGTTGGCAATGCTCATGGTGGCGACGAAAGGGTGTTTACGCTACGATCTGACTCTGATACAAATATGCGTGACACGGGAAATCGGTCACTCCATCCTTATGCAATCTCGTGCTTTTACACATGCACTGCCACGTGCCTTATGCATGTCACACGTCAAAGCAGGCTGAAGCGGCGGAGAAAGGGGGTAGGGTGGGGGGGGGAATGTGGAACTTTCGGGGATAGTTTCTGCGAGGAAGAAACGAATCATCCATTCGCCCACGCGTTAAGCGAAATCAAAAAATTGCATCAGCATATGGATCTGTGCGTCTTGTTCATCCATGTGGCGGAGATCGACGGCATGGCTTCGGTGCCATCCCCGGGTCACGCTCAGCAGCACCAGCCAATGGACAGTAGCCTGTGTTGACCACCGTTGCGTGTCTGGAACTCCTGCCTGCCAGAGGCACCTCTCGTTGACGCCATGGCGAAGCACATCGTCGCGTCCTGTAGCTTCCTGGCCGACTGTTCCTCGTACGCACGCGTGTAGCCAAGTTGGATCAAACGATGTTAACGAGCGGGTCGTCCTGGCCGGCTGGGTCCTTGCGCCACGCAAGATATCGCGGCAACTTGCTTTTGTTCCTCTGCAAGATGCCTCAGGCACCGTGCAGCTAGTGCTACATGATCCAGCTTTGGTCGATGCTTTCGCGCAGGTGCCTGTGGAAAGCGTCGTGAGTGTCCAAGGCGCAGTCCAAGCACGTGCAGAAGGTGCCATTAATCCTGCGATGCGCACAGGTGCGGTAGAGGTGCGCGTCGAGTCTTGGACACTGCTTAATGCAGCTACCCCGACCTTGCCTTTCTATGCGACGCAGTGTCGTGAGCCAGCTTCGTTACCAAAAGAGTCTTTGCGTGCAAAGCACCGTTACTTGGACTTGCGACGCTCATCTCTCAGCGAAAATATCCGTCGCCGCAGTCGTGTCGCACACGCAGCACGTTGCTTTCTACACGACCATGCATTCACCGAGATCGAAACGCCCATCCTGTTGCGTTCGACGCCCGAGGGAGCGCGTGAGTTTTTGGTGCCCACAAGAAGCGCACCAGAGCCGCAGTTTTATGCACTGCAGCAATCGCCCCAGCAGCCGAAACAGCTTCTCATGGTTTCTGGCGTGACTGACCGCTACTTCCAATTCGCCAAGTGCTTTCGCGACGAAGATGGGCGCAAGGACCGCCAGCCAGAATTCACGCAGCTCGATATGGAAATGAGCTTTGTCTGTGGACACGGAGACCAGCCGGCATGGCCTCTTGGCGGAACAGAAATACGTGATGTGACCGAAGGTCTTGTTCGTTCTATGTGGACTGCTGCTGCCCAACCTTATGCATTGCCGAATCCATTTCCCATCATGTCGTACGAGCATGCTATGACTACATACGGATCCGACAAGCCAGATACCCGCTTCGGCCTGCGGATCGCGAATCTCATCCCCACGTGCACGTCCCACGCGCTGGACATTCTAGTGCTCCCGCAGTACGAATCATGCAAGCTATCGGGCCGTGCAAAAGAGGCCCTTTTGCTCGACCAGCATGGTCACCGCTGTGCGATTGAGCACTTCAAGGCACATCGCAGCGCGCCGGACAAACTTGCGCACCTACTACTGACCAAGTCACGGCATGTGCACGACGTGATGCACAGCGGCAAGTTGGGACCCGCAGATCGTGCACTGGATGTCTCATCGTTGACTCATACCCTGCAAGACGTGCTGCGTGATGCAACTGCCTTTCGCTGTGACGGCGCTTCCGCACATGCGCATGGTGACAGTGACGATCGCTGCGACGTATATCTAGCCACGCGCTCGTTGCCGATCGACGGCGGAAGCACACCCATGGGCGATTTGCGGCTGCGCATCGCCGATGCACTGCCGATCCGCTCTGCTGAGCCAGCGGTGCTGTGGATCACACAGTTCCCCCTGTTTACTCGTGCAGATGCTGACAAAGCCGAGGCTGCCCATGGGCGATGGAGCAGCTCGCACCACCCATTCACTGCGCCGCTCGCTAGTGACGTGCAGCGGCTATACGAGTCGGTGGCGTGCCGAGCGCCGGCCGATCGAGATGCTATCTTGGCACAGATCCACGGCCAGCATTACGATCTCGTGCTGAATGGCGCAGAAATCGGCGGAGGTAGTGTGCGTGTGCACGACCCCGACTTGCAACGCATGATTTTCCGGGACATACTAGAGCTGAGTGACGACGAAGTCGGCCGCTTCTCGCATCTCCTGCATGCTCTTGAGAGTGGCGCGCCACCACATGCAGGCATAGCACTTGGGTTTGATCGCTTCATGGCAATCCTGTGCGATACGCTCTCCATTCGCGACGTTATGGCGTTCCCCAAAACGGGCTCCGGCACCGACCCTTTGTTTTCCAGTCCTGCTGCTCTCGATGCACCCGAACAACGTGCGCAACTCGCTGCCTACAGTCTACAAGCACGCTCCGCCTGATACAGTTGCTGCTACGAATGTGATCGTGGGGACGACGATCTTATGGCAGATGTACCCTGCTCACCGCCTGAAGGCGCTGGCGTCGTAGGCCGTGTGGACAAGGACGTGCCGTAGTGCTCCACGGCATGTCGGTTCATAAGATCCGATAGCGGGCCTAATAATCGTGTGAATGCCTCCTTTTGCAGCACGGCCACTCGCATAACCCCATGGTGTGAGCGTGAACTGGCAATGACCGTCGCAGCGCGCGGTGCTTGGTTCAAAAGCGCAAGCTCACCAAAGTAGTCGCCGCGCTTAAGTAGTGTCACTGGTTGCTCTTTGTTGTCAGCTTTGATGACCTCGGCAATGCCGTTTACAACGAAGAAGAACTCCGTGCCAGTATCGCCCTCTTTCAAGACCACCTCGCCAGCGCGGTAGTCCTCCAATTGGATGGCATCAAACACACGCGAACGTTCATCCTCCCGAAGATGCTGGAGAAGCGGCACCTGTCGCAAAAACGAGTTGAACATGATGCGTCGCTGCATGTCTGCCTTGGCGAGGATCGAGCGGAATGTCACCCGGTCCATGGCCCACAGCACACAATCGGATGTCGCCACAATGGAGGCAGCGCGTGGTTGCATGTACAGCAAAGCCAAGTCACCAAACAGTGATCCTGGTCCATACGTCATCACTTTCGTTCCGAGCTTATCCGGAGGCGCAGCCAGTGCCTCGTGTGTGGGCATCTCGGGCGGCTGCACGTACACATCGAGCGAACCACTCTCCGTTACGTAGCAGTAATCGCCGTCGTCGCCTTGTTTGATGATAATGTGGCCATTTGGGATGCGCACTTCCCGCATCGCCATCACGACCTGCTGGCCTTGCTCAGGATCGAGTTGTCGAAACAACATATTTGCATTCAGCGCGCTTAGCAAACGCGCTTCCTGGCTCTCTGTTTTCGGGAAGCATGCCATGTCTGGCGCCCATGTTGCGTGGGTCGACATGCTTTCTGCCGACACGGACGATCGCCGCCCTAGGTTGATGCCGGCAGGAATACTATCTGCCTCTTCATCGTTCGCTACACGACCGCCGCCAAACGGGCCTTGAAATAGTCCCCCCGCCGTCATTGTCGTACCGGCTGGAAAGATAAAATTTCGGTCGACACTCACCCACTCACTCAAAGTGCGTGCACGCACGTCCCTTACTGGCTAGGAGCAATGCGCATGGGCTCGGCGCCGCTTACGTCTTCGGCCCCATGTCCACCCACCCCCCCCGTACTTCTTCCTCTTGTCAGTGCCGTTTCCTTTCCCCTTCCTCCGCTGCCAAGAGGTTACGTCGGCCGACCAACCCACATCGCCAGTCCAACGTGCACGCCACGTGATACACACCATACAAAGGGGCCGGATCATAGGGCGAACGAAACTGGACACATACGTTCATGGATCAACAGCCCGTCAGACACAGGGGCTCCCAGAAATGAGTTTTAGAGCGAAGTGCGCCAGCCTTTCCTGTGCGCATGATTCGTAGACACTTCCGAATAGTCAGCTAGTCAGTGCACGCGCTTGCTGCTACCAACGTTGCGGACTGATGCGCCGCCTATTTGTCGTTGCTGATAAACATAGAGAACTTGGCGAACGAGCCAGGAACAACCTAGAAAAACAACCTTGTACTTTCGTATTTCCAAGCGTTCGCTAGGCATAAGCACCAAGATCTAGCCATATCTCGCTCGCATACATGCTTTGCGCTATAGTATCTAGCAGACGGGACATCGCTGCAGAGGAAGTACAATGGCAGCAGGATTGATAGAGATCATAGCAATTGATGGCATGACAGAAGCCATCACCACACAAACCGAGCTCACATAATCGCGAGGTTTCCGAACTTCTCGTCGTAGCCAGGTACAGTCCACTTGCCCTTCTTGACCATCTCCTCGACAGTCTTGCCAATCTCTGGACGAGCGGCAATGACATCTCCCACCGTAAGTTGGTCGAAGGGACGGGCACCCTCAATGTTGTTCAGCGTCTCCTTCAAGTCCTTCAGTTCAGCTTCCAGCTTGGCCGAGCTTTCCTGCGCTTGCTTCACTGCGACCGACTCAAACGATTCAATCGCCTTCACCTGGGCGTTCACATCGTATGTCACAGGCTTGAACTCGTTCATGATCTTCTCAGCCTGAGCCAAGACAGCCTGGTTCTACACAGGTTAGTCTGTCCTACCACGCAAAATTACAGGCTGCGCCACGAAATAGTCTATGACCCACAAGAAACTGGCCTAGCGCGCTCCCGTCTTTTACATACCTTGAGCACGCCCTTGTAGTGCGAGAAGTCCACGGTCGTTGGCTGCGACTTGAGCTGGTTCAGCACACGGCGAGCATCCTCACTGCGCTTCCGGAACACAGAAAGTTGCGCGCTTGTCTCCTTGCCGAGACCAGACGACAAGATTTTGTGGAAGTTGACGGCAGCTGCCTTCGAAGCCATGGTTGTCTACAATTCGTATGTGGCTTGGACGAACGCAACGGGCCGGCGCCTGCGGGTCCAGCCCTGCTGCCGTTCGTTCGCACAACTCGCTCCGGCCGTCTCCGGTCACCATGGCTGTTCGGCCGACATTGTGGAGGTAGTTCGCCTCCCCCTCTTCCCCAGTGGCTTGTCCCCCTCACCGGGGCGTGGAGGGGTCCAGTGAGGGCTGGGGCGTTTCCACACGCGACGCGGGGCGCATTTTGTGCGATCTGGGCTGATCCAAAGCGGCCTGTGCGCACGGAAGAATCGTCATGGCCATTATTGAAGATGTGGATGACGACGCTGCGTCACTGCAAAGTCCCAAAGAACAGACGCTGCGTGAAAATACTTTCATTCCCGGAAATGACGAGACTACTGAGCTAGAGGATGAGCAGGTGCTCGATGCCTGGGATGATTCTGACGTGGAGGATGATGACGATGATGACGATGATGACGGCGAAATCGACCTAGACTACCCGTCTTATAAAGAACATACGGCGAAAGATTTGTATGAAGAAATTGAGGATGCGCAACTATCAGGTACAATGACATTCACCCTGGACTTGATTACATGGAGTATCCCCTTTCTCTTCATTTTCGAGATCCTGAGCCTGCTTGTACAGAAACAATACAATGAGGAATTCTCACTGACAAATGAAATCCAGCAGATATTAGCTCGTATGCCTCGTACGTATGCATTTAGGACTACACAATGCTTCTGTGTGTGTGGCCACTGACACGATTGTGCACGTTGTAGCTCTCATTGCGCTAATTGCGTGGAGTACGTGTCAAGGATGCTCCAAGTAGGGGCTTCTTCTCGCCTTCGCACTTACACTCGTCTAGACCTTTGCGAAAAGCGCCGGTGGCTCATACAATCCGTTATGTTTGTGCTCGGTACACTCGCTGGTTGCTACATGGCCTACCTGGTGAATCGTGTACGTATGCGGCCTCAACGCCCTTAGTAGCCAGCCTCCACTGGCTCGCCTTAGCACCCTGAGTGGGGGAGTTGGTGATTCGGGCTTCTCCGCTAAAGCGCTCGTTCGGGAAACTCACATCTAATTTATCCAGGCTTCCTATGGCGTTACAATGGCTCGGGCACCAGCGGTTGGCACCCTTTGGATCCTGTCTGTTGCCCGGATGGAGCTTGTGCCATCACTCTTTAGTATCCTCTGTTTTGCCATATACCTGCAGGGCGCAGGATTTAAACTCGTGGTGTAGACTCGGCCGAAATTGTCACGTGTACATTTTCCAGGAAATCGTAGTTTTACACGAAGGGCCACAGTGGCTGCGTCGTCGTCTTAACGGGTTTCGTCCCAACGACCTCTTAGCCAAGGTATGTTCGTGCGGTACACGCCGAGCTTAGCCTGTTGAATCATTTTGAACTAACGCGGCAACAGATGCCTCCTAAGAAGTCTGCAATCGCGGCCGCGGCCAGCAAGACAGGCAAGAAGAAGAAGTGGTCCAAGGGCAAGGTCAAGGACAAGGTATGTACAGGTGCATCCGCGTATGTAGCAGTTGGCTGACGTGCGAACCAGGCCCAAAACGCTGTTTACCTCGACAAGGTCCTGTACGAGCGTGTCATCAAAGAGGTGCCAACCTTCAAGATGATTACGCCCAGTGTGCTGATTGACCGCTTGAAGATCAATGGTTCCTTGGCTCGTTTGGCGATCCGTCACTTTGAGCGTGAGGGTCAGATTAAGCCATTGATCCACCACCACGGCCAGCTCGTTTACAGTACGTTTCATCGGTTGCTATGAAGTCACATGTAGAAACTGACACTTGAAAGCGCGCGCTCGCAACGACTAAACTGGCTCACAGGCTTTTGCATGCTTTGATACGCGTCTCGGCGGGTATTGATGTTATGGAAGCAAGAAAATGAAGGCAGGCGACCTACTTTGCATATTAGCGTGTCCGCAATTCGCGAGCATTGTAGACATAGTGTTCGCTGCCCCATAGTCATAGGAGGTGAGGTCGTAGCGTGTTTTAGTGCGCCTCCCTCTTTATTCCTATATTCCAAAATATCGTTCATACTCAAACGACGAGTGAAGTTTGGATAACATGTAAACTGGATTGCGTGGATTTACATGTCTGGCGTCTGCGTAGGAGCGCGCGCTTCGTCTGATCTGCAGCGTGGATTTTCATGGCCAGCACGTCGGCGCACAGTTGCAGTGTTGTACTCAGACAAGTTCCAGCGATCCTCGAGTGTGACCAATCCGGACTGTTTGATTTTGCAAAAATCAAATGCACAAGCTACACAAGCTATGCATTTACATCACAACTAGGAACACTGCATTACTGTGATAGGATTTGGCGAACAAAAGCCTCGTAATTGATACTGCCATCCCTGCTCGTGTGAGATTTTCACCGTGCAAAATGAAAATTCAATACGTACTCGCCCACAGCAACTCCCTTCAGTAGCTCATCGACCTCCTCGTTTGAAAGCTTTTCACCCAAACTTGTAAGCACATAGCGGAGTTCTCCGACGCCAATTTGACCCGTGCCATCTTTGTCGAACACTTGGAAACCACGAATGAATTCCTCTGGGCGGGTAAGTTGAAATTCCCTGTATGCAAATTACATGTTGGAGTACATACCTGGCGTTCCAGCCGGCTTAAATCCATTGGGACGGTTCAGGATGTTGGTGAATGTATTGTAATCAACTGGCAAGGTTAGAAATGCCACTAATCAGCAAACATACTCTCTTTGGGTGCACCTGACGCCAAGCTGGCAACCTCTGCTTGTGTCGGGTTTTGACCCAATGCTCGCAAAAGATCGCCAAGGTTCTCACTTGCGATAGTGCCTGATCCTTTCTTGTCAAACAGGGCAAATGCTTCTCTAATTTCCGAATCCGCCTGTACATGCACACGCGTTAGTTTACATATACGATGGAGCGCAAGTCACAAATATGTACCATTCTTACTTAGACTGCGCGTATGCAAAGAACAATCAAAGTGCAATTCAAGAGAAATTCCAAACGAACAAGTCTTAGTCGAGAGTCACACACACACACACACACATACATACACGTACAACAAGAAACACAACTGACGCGACAGTACAGGACCTGGAATGGAGCGTATTCGAGTGTGTGTTGATGACCGCAAGACATATTTGCAAATGTGTCCATGTTGTATGCACGCTTGCGTGGATTATTTGGCCCATGCCCCGCCCCCCGCTCCTGTCGACGCCGCCGTCCACAAGAAATATTCAAGATTTAGAGATAGTGCTGTGGATGACGCCTCCACTTTTAATTGGACTCAACACACCAAAACACGAAGCAAACTTAGCCATTACTCTGTCTTGCCTTATCTTACCTTACCGTATCCAGACCTGCCGAGCAAAGCTTAGCATCACATAGCCCTGCTTGCTGCAGTACTTGATCAGTAAGCAACATGGAAGGCGTATCAGGATCTTCATCCCTCTACACACCGTCCATATGGACACAGAGTCATCTCAGTCATCCATCTGATGTGGATCTGCCACATCGGCCCCCTGTGTATATACGGCGTACAGACATAAGTGCTTCTTTGCACGCCTATGAACGACTTTTAGAGACGTCCAAAACGTTCACTTCATGCATGTCGGCAATGTCGAAGGCATCTGCAGATATGGCAGCTGCATTAGAGGACTGCTCGTCGCTGAAAGGAGCACATGCATGTGGCGCTGCTTTTCAAGCTGCCTGTGGTCTACACTACCTGAAATCTAATTACGACCAAGTTTTATGTGATACGTTCTGGAAAGAGTTCTCGATTCCGCTTCTGAGTCATTTGGATGTATATCGTCAGACCGTGCAGGACCGGCAGCTTGCGCATGAAAAGACCATGTCTGAACAAAGCCAAATTCTCAAGGGTATTGAATTAAAGTACCAAAAACAAGACCGACAGCGACATCGTGACTTGTCGAGTTTCCGTACAATGCTTAGTGAACTCCAGCGCAAGGTAAATGATATGGAAGAAATCAAAGCTCAGCATTATACCGAGGTACTTGAGAATGAGGAATATACTTGGAACCTGATTGCACAAAAAGTCATGCTCCTTGTCCGTGCACAGGTTGATATGGCTGATCGCCTTTCATCGAAGGCAGTGAATGACCCTATTCTTGAATCGATCATGGCGACAATTCCCGACCCCTTCCAGTCGTACGGACCACCGAAACGTGAAAACGAGCTGTTTTCTATTCTGCAACCAATGATTTCCAAACGCTCTGCTTCATCTCCATCACCTACATCTCCTAATTTGCCTAGCACATCAGATGCGAGTCTGTCAAAGGCTGATATGTCTGTTTCTCCGACGAATTTGTTGACCGAAAGGGCCTCGCGCCACAGCCAATCGCTCTTTCCCGTTGATGCTGCCTCTGAGTCTGCCGAAGCTGACACAACTCTGCGTGCCGACCCAGACCGCAGCATGCCAGGTACGGGACAGGTAGACAAAGATTCGACGTCTTTTTCGCCACATGCGGATCGCAAGCTACCTGCACGTCTCCTACAGTCCAGACCTTCATTTCATATGCTCTTTGGTTACACACATCCCGAAGAGCCCTCACCCCCATCACCCCAGACTCAGTCGCCACATAACCATAACCATGATGTCTCATCGTAACTGTATTATGTACGACTCAACCCTCTTGCGTGTCTAGTAAATAAGAAGAGAATGCATAGAGAACGACTATGGATACGACTTCGCTTTTCACACATGGAGAGGAGACGCAACAAAGTCTTTATATGTGGCTGTAGCTGTAGTGCTTTTGTAGCGCCACAAACGCACGTTGCGCATAAATGAATCGGTAATTTGGCCTGACCAGCCGGCCTTCAGAATGGCATGTACGATCGTCTCTTGCTTTGACCAGCCTTGAGCTGGTGCAATCTCTGGCAAAAATGTCGCTGTTGTACTCATAGCTTGTCCACCCACTGGCATAACAAAACTGACATACACACCGTGCACACCCATTTCCCAATCAAATAAGTCCTTACACTCTTCGAATGGTGTAAGCAAACTGACTGTGCACTGCAATTTTTCCAGCTCGGCTGGCCGAATGGGCTCGAACCGCTTGTCATTCCAAGCTGATTGGATTGTGTAGACCTGTAATGCTTGCGACAATGGATGTGGTTCGAATGTGCCGATGCAGCCGCGAAGCTGCTTGCCTTGCGGCGCAGCATCGTTTTCTAAATACCAAGACACAAAGACAGGCACATTCAGTTCAGCATCGGGAATATCGGCTTGTGGTATCGCGCTGAGTCCCATGGACGCACGTAGGACGGCGAAGCAAAAGCAGCAATGTTCTTTCTGCGCAGTGCACACGTCTCCCTTCGGCGGAAGCTCATACATCGTGGTGCGTACTGCGCTGGTCGTGAGAATAGGACGTCATAGAAATTGCTTTGATCTGGCAGCCGCTCTTAAATCGACCGATTACGTCCATGAATGAGATTGATTCGTCGGACATAATACGCCTTCTCCAATTCCACGTGATAAAATCCTCGCTGCCCCCCTGCGTCGATGCGCCCAGGAATAAGCGCAGGGAGGACTTGGAGCTGACTGAGTGGGTGCGAGTCGATATCGCTGTGGACGGCGCCTCTCTATTCATCAGCAAGCTCTGTGCAGACCATGTCATTATTTTTGACTCGTCCGCCGCGCACTGGGCTTGCTTTCGTGGCCCATATGCTATGCCGGCACCGGCAGCCTAGGGCATGGCTCTCCAGCTTGTCATTTGTCCCAGCGGATTCTCAGACAGACCGAGAGGTACCTACCCCACTTTTATTCCTCTCTGCACCTCGATGGACTGGCGATCAACCTGCATCTCAGTACGTTCTCGCTCTCGCTCTCTCTCTCTCTCTCTCTCTCTCTCTCTCTCTCTCTCTCTCTCTTTCTCGTAGGCCACTATGTATGTGTGCGTTCCTGTTACTTACACCTTTAGACTTTATGCACCGTGGCTTGAGCACCTGAAGAAACATGGATTTTCGGCTCTTTTTCTCGATTTGGATCCAGAACTCCCAACTCGAGACCCGGCCAATGTTCTTCAAGTCATGGAGAAAGGTACGTGAACTGAATCCGTTCTCTACCTATTGCTGTGGAACTGTCGCTTACATTCTTCTTCTACTAGATATGGCTGCCGCTCTTCGTAGTCCAGCCCAGAGTGCCGCCGGCGTTCAGCCGCCGCCATTTCCTCCTGCCCTTATTGCATATGGAGCCACCTGTCCTATCGCTGAAGCATACGCTTCTTCTTACCCCTTATCTGCATTGCAACTCATAAATCCGCCTGTATCTATGGAGCGAGCCAAGCAGCGCTATCCACATCTATTCGGTGGCTCAAACATACGAGAATTCGATTTTGAGGCGACCTTCCCTGTTCGTGTAACTTGGACGCCAGATGAACTTGCGTGGCAAGCTCAACACCAAGTACCATGGTACGAAGTACACAGAATTGAACATCAACGCGAGGATGCTGCCGACGAAAGCCTCGATAGGTATGAATGGGACTCATTCGAACATGGTGTTCAAGACACTGTATGCTGGTTGGAAGACGAGGCAGGTCTGTACGTATGCTCAAAGTGCAAGCACAAATATTAATTCCCAGCTAGATTCCCGCTTCCTGAATCGCGCCTAAATACACATGAAGCGAGTGCTGGTACAGTAGAAGCACAACATATTACCGAGACTGTACATGAAAAAAACACGGATCCTGCTTCCCCTGCGACCCGCACTATCGATCGTGTTCCTCCCGGCACTGTGCCAGAATGGTTCTCGGCAGGAAGCTACGCGTTTGCTCGCGACGGATCGAAAAAAATGCCAATCGATCTCGATGAGCGTGATATTCGCGAGCGATTTATCCGAGGATCAGGCCCTGGCGGTCAAGCCATCAATAAGCTTTCTACGAACGTGGAGCTTGTTCACATCCCTACTAGTACACGCATTACGTGCCAGCTTACCCGCAGTCGTGCACAGAATCGCGAGCTTGCGCGTCGACAGTTGAGTCAACGTCTAGAATGGCTCATCAAGCAGAATTGGTCCCATGTATCGGCCCAGCAAGGCACCAAACCCGTGTCTCGTGAGCTTTCACCCAGCGTAATTCAATCAAACTGGGACAAAGCTCGCAAACGCAAACAAAATAAACGCAAAAAACAACGCCGGCGCGCCTCTAATGAATCATTTGATTAGATTCGATCCCAGTGTCTTTTCTCCTTCGTTCATGCGTTCACATAGTCTTGTCCCAAGATCTGATGTTCCGACGCCAGCCTGCCCTTGACCTTCGAATGCACTTGAGGTCGGAACTCCACACGTGCCTAGCGCTTGTGGAGTGTGTGTACTTGTCGGCACGTCGTAGATGATGGAGGAATATGACACGCATACTTCCTAGACGAGCCGCGCGGTGCATCAATCCACGATTCATTCACGCCACTATCCGTTGCATCTGGGCGTGTCTCGTCGTCGGCAGACAGCTCTCCGTGTGTGCTTGTGGCACCCGGCAAGCAAACACAAACACATCCCCCTCACGCAGTACACTCGGACGAATTCATCAACCAGTCTAGGTGGCGCATATGTTTGTGTCTGCACCGTCGGTGCCGCCGCAGCGTAGTCGCGCGCTTTCCACACCTGGCAAGACTAGCTCATCAAGCCATGGTGTGACTGGTGATGTTTCTCGCTCCTTGTCGCGTTCAGCGTCCTGGACTCAGGAATCTATGTGTCACACGCCTTCGTCCATCACCTCGACACCTGCACAAGAAGGTCCGATCCGTGCATATGCGAAGCTCGAGTTTCCCGGCTTCTCGTACTATATCCAAACGCTTCAAGTCACGATCGGTCGACGACCTCAAGGCGTGCCACCCCGACCACCACATTTGCCGTCTCCAAGCGGGTCAGCTGCTTCTTCTGCGCTTCCCGCTCCCTGGTTTACGCCGAAAGATGTTGATGTGGATTTGGGTCCACTCAAGTCCATTTCACGTTTGCACGCGCGCATCTTTTACTCGGCTCAGCCAGAATTCATTCGTGCACCGCTGTACGCGCCGACATCTGTCTTGCACCATCAAGTTCCTGCGACGCCTGCCACAACTTCGAAGAATTTAGGGACGCATTCCGGCGCACCTGTTGCGAATAATGCTAACGCCGGTGCTGACGCTGACGTAGCGGCTGACGACGACCAGTCCGACTCTGCATTGGCGGCTACATCACCGTCGTCAGATAGTATGCCTAGATCCGAGGGTCGCTTCATGCTCGAAGTACTTGGACGAAATGGCGCTTTTGTTGACGATGTTTGGGTCAGTGTACATGGCGTTGTCCCACTTGGTCAGCGGACCAAGATCCAGATTGCTGAGCGTGTGTTTTATTTTGTATTGCCACCACCCATTAGCTCTATGGACAATGCTGCTTTGGATGAAGGCACAGCTCTATCAGGCGAAGATGAAGCTCATGACGAAGATAATGATGATGGCGTGGCTTTGTCGTCTGAGCTCTCCGACATGGATACGGATGCAGGTGCAAACATGGTTGACTCAACGGGAGCGCACGCCAAGACTGAGACTGGCAGCATATCTGCAGACCTCGAGGAAGAGAGACTACGTTGCAGTCCGACTACATTGAACTCAACGGATGCACCACGGCCACCAAAGTTTGTTTTGAAACCACGCACAAAGGTGACTTCGACGGCTGTGAAACGACTTCGTGATGATGATGATGATGATGATGAGGCCTCGGATGATGCCAAACGCGCACGACCTGCCTCCGGCACAGTCTTACACGACAAAGCAAAGGGTAAGGGCAAGGGTAAGATCAAAGAGAAAGAAAGCGACAAGGACCAAGTGAAGGAAAAGAACAAAGCATCGACAAAGGGTAAAGGTAAAGGTAAAGGCAAGGGTACAGGCAAAGGAGCTAAGAGTATAAAACTCGAAGACTCGATATCCAGCGGAGATGATAATGTGATCCCTGTGGATGATGATGACGATGATGAAGCGCCACTATCCCTACATAAGTCCTCCCCTGCTACAGCGAACTCGTCTATGCCAGTGTTCCAAAAACCTGATCTCTCTAATGTACAGCTTATTACGAATGCCCTGTCATCCGAGTCATGTTCCAGAAAAGGACACAAACTCACACTGCAAGAAGTAAATGAATGGCTTCAAAATACGTATCCATGGTTCAGTCAAAATGGCCGAAAAACGGGCCGTGACTGGCAGAGTTCTATTCGTCACACCATCAGCTCAAGCCGTGAATTCGTAAAAATCCCCCGTCGCCCTGACGAGCCTGGAAAAGGTATTTTTTACACGCTCAGTGGAAGTGAACTAGCCAAAGCTCATGTGGCTGTACGCCCAGAGCCTTCATCGGCGCATGCCGACGATACCACCTCGGCTCACACAACGGCCAGTTCAGACCTTAAGCCGCCGTCTTTGTCATCGGTCGTCACAACTGTCCCATCCACTTCGACTTCGTCATCTTCGTCTAACCGTTCGTCTGCTTTGCTATCAACAAGAAATCTGTCCACTTCTCCCTCTGTCAATGCCAGTCCAGCGACACTCTCCGTACCCACAGTGGCCCCGACATCTGCTTCGTCTGCTGCACCCTCAGCACCACCCGCATCTTCGACTCTTTCTTCGGCTGCTCAGCACCAGACGCACCCACCGCATCCATCCGATACCAAGCGGGTCATGCCGCGCATTCCTCTAGTCGTTGGCGTGCCGCCTCAGACGGAGTCCAGTGCATCTCGTGCACACTCAACCCCAGGCTCGCTCGAGTCTTTGCTTGAAACCCCGCCGATCGCTCACCACCAAGGCAAGTTGTACTTGAGTCCCTCGGTGTTCGGGCATCTTACACGTGAGCAACTTGATCATATTGAAGGACTCGGTGCTCAGCAGGCATTGCAAATTTTACAAACTTACTTGGTCACGCATCTCAAGGCCAAAATGCGCAAGGCTTCATCTTCGCCTGGTGTAGCGCCCACAACTGCTTCGGCTCGTTCGCCTACGCCGTCATCGATGCCGTCCTCTATGGAGTCATCAGCATCTACATCGGCAGCAGTCGCGTCGTCATTAGCAGCGACAAGCAGACCCGCTGTGTCTCCGGCACCTTCGTCCACACCCACATTAGGTTCATCCTCCGCTACGATGCCTTCCCAGACTTTAGCCCCTAATCATGCACCTCGGGCCACCGCAGGGACTCTCCCAACGTCTGCATCGACGCCGACAGCTGCGCCCTTTACGACATCATCCTTTGCACAACGACTCGAAGCCCCGAAAGTGCCCCGTATTCCCGTGGCAACCAAGTCAGAGACATCCATTCCACCTAGCGCTTCGTTTCAAACGACGTCCCAACCATCCCAAGCCACGACATCCGAAATGGCTCCCTTACCCACGTCAACTCCCCATATACCCAAGCCTGCCGACAAGCAGAGCGATCCATTATCTGCCATCTCGGCCCTTGCAGCACATCCTGAGGCAGCAGGACTCATTACGCTCCTTAAGAAGCAACAGGCTGGTGGTCATGGCACGGTCAAGCTGACGGCCGGACAACTTGAGCTTCTACAGTTAGCGAATCGCTTGGCTATGCAGCGTAAAAAGAAGCCAGGCGCAAGTCCTTCCTCAGCAGGCTCATCCGCTTCAGGACCCTCAGCGCCTGCACCTCCTGACCAGATCGAGCAGCCTCAGCAACACCAACAACCATCGCGACCTGCCAACTAGTGGGCTGCCTAGTTCGTTCATTCGTATAGAGCTTACATGAGCTAGTAAAAAAAAGGTTGTTCATTCATTTATTGCGTTGCATGTAAAGGTGCAACGCAATTAGCCTCGACGCGTCTGCACACGTAGACCACCACCCCGAGCCTGGCGCGCCTGCATCTTGGCTTGCCGCTTGCTGACACTTGTTCCTTTGTCTTCGGATGGCGCCGTCCCACGGTACCCGCCTTGTGGCACATGACGTGCGGGACGGAGCCTCGGCAGAATGTACGGCACAAATACATTTTTGTAGAACAAATACGATAGGTACATTGGGATCTGCATAAGTGAATTGTATGTTGCGCGAGAAAAAGAAACATACCACCGCATAGGTCCACCAGAGCCGCCGCGATACGAGTGCAACACCGACGTGCACAAACCATGTAATGTACACAAAGTCGAACATATACCTGTGAATAAGACGATTCCTTTACGTACGCAGTCATTCCCGGTAATGAAAGATCATCTCCAACCTGCGCCATAGCTACGAGCTTCCATGCAATAAGAGCAGCAAGGAATTCTGTTATGCCGTACAGCGTCCACGTCCGCCACGGGCTCGTCTGACGCCTCAAACAAGCAGCTAGCACAAAAAGTGTATTGGACACCAGGAATCCATATGCTAGAGTGGCTACTGCACGCTGGTTCGCTTGCGAGACACGTTTCTGTGCACCCCGAGCCATCGGCGCGTAAGAAGCTCGCAGTACCTTGAAGCGAGATGCTCCACACTCTTTCTGACACTCGCGTCACGCTCTCTGATCGCGATGTTTTATCACGTGACTATATGGCTGGTGTACCCTCGTGTGACGACCAGATAACTCTCAGGCACAGCGCTGGAAATTAGGTGTCGTGAACCAAAACATATTGCAAGGCGCCCATCAGCGCATGGAAGCGCCTAGTAATGTCTTAGCACGGTCAAATTTTTGATATATACTTTTCGACTGAAGTACCCGTTTATTCGTCTTACTATTCCACATAAATTGTGTCTCTCCTTACGTGACCGTGACCTGTAATCGTGCAGGAGATTTGCCAGATGCACGTACTAATGACATACCCCGAGAAAAAGAAGACCTTTCGGTTCATAAGTAAAACAACGATTAGAGTTCTGCTCTGACGTATCGGCCAAATATCCCTAGCACAGGATCAACGATCAAGTACACTGTCAAACAGGATAAAAAGCGAGGCTTATACCGCGGCACGACTATTCTGGTTATAACCACTTCGCGTGGGATGGTCATGCACTCATTTCGTACAGCCATGATTGCCTGACTAGCTTTAGAAAGCAAAGGAGATTTTTTTGTCGTTGATTGGTACCTTTATATCGCACATTTAAGATTTGGTATTTGTTCCACTATCCGTGCTGTTTTGTCGTACGGTTGTTCATCCGAAACGTATCGGTTAGAGTCATCCCAAAGAAGCGCTTTCACATTTACTCTCAAGTGCAGGCTACAACCATCCCTGGACTTTAATTTACTTGGCGTGTTACCCCTGTCTCGATACGGATATGAATGCTGAAATTTGTCAGGCCGTTCTTAATGGATTACTTTGTCTAGCCCATGTAAGATATTGTTGCTCTACGTTTTTCGGCCAGGAAATGAACGTGGTTTTCTCGTGAAGTCTTTCTAGCTACTACTTGTCGAAGGATCCTACTTTCTGTGGACTGCATGAACACAAGGCTTATGACTCAACGTCTACAGCCATCAGAAGCTGCGTGTCTAGCGCAGGAACATGCCAAACATCGCAGAATTTACGTGGTGCGAGTAACTCAGATGTGGAGCAATCACTGCCTTATGTTCCCCTTCATCTTTTCCCAGGAAAACTTATTTCTGCCTCACCGTATAACGGCCAGTTAGAACTCAAGTCATACTGAGGTTTATGCGATTGCTCCCACGAGATACGGGCTGAGGAAGGTATTTTGAACCTCACGCGCGCCGCTATCTTCGCTCTGCTTTCAGTCGCGATATTTCTTCTGAATCATTCCTCGTCACTATTATGAGCAAGGTGAAAACTTGTATATATATACTTTCATGTCTGATGATATTCCTGACTTGTCAACTGTAGGTAATATAATCACCTCTGCTACATGCTTGCGTGGGGTATAAATTAAACCAAGCATTAATGGACGCGTTAGGTCCTAAACGAAATTGATTTGTTCTTTAGGCACGTCTGGCAGTAATCTTATGTAGGTACATGAGGTTTTTCCCGTTGCTTTATTCAACTTGAGCAATGGGGATTATACCCTCACCTAATTACATGCGTGCCATGTCTGTTGGACAGCTTGGTTCCATGAGAATTAAGCCCCAATAATACGCAAATATCAATAAAGCTCCTGGGTCTATAACCGCTTGTATGACATCTCTATCGCGTGCTCTTTGAGAAAAGCATACATTAGGATTCTACCTTTCGGCTTCCTCCTCAACGAGAGTGTTAAGCCTTTTTACCTGCCCCTATTTTATGCTGATAAAACTGAATCTTCCGCTTATTTAGCTTCGTATTTGTACGCGTAAAATACTCTAGCGCGAAAAAGATCTGACGATGGATGGTTGCTTCGCATGTAGAGTTTTCGCTTATAGTCACATTTTTAATCCATCCTCTCACTAATGGTTTGGCACGTACAGTCCGATTTTTTTTCCCTTGGGCAATCTAATGGCCAGCATCGTCTATTTTCAGCGCTATTACTTTCCGATTAAGATGTGGAACATCGAAAACAAAATAGAACCGTTGCCTAGCTCATTGAGCACTTTGGTATTGCCCGATAAATGGTAGCCCCGGAATGTGAGAGCACTTCATCACCGTCTAAGCTTGATATGACTATGTGACATGATGCCACTATATATGTGAAACAATTAGGGTTACACTCTATCTGAGGGGCTTGATTGTCTAAATCAAATGCGGTGCTTTGTCGAAGGAGAGAAAGAAATGAAAGCAGTCTCAACACGCACTCCTGAACGTGCAAGTTACTCTCATGGTGCATAAGATATACTCGAACGCTTGAGGCAAATCAGTTCTATGTACCACTTGCCTCCGGCCTTGCTCTACGGAATTGCAAAATATATATATATTAAATGAAGATCAAACCCGATGGGAAACTCAGGCTTTAGGTCTCATCCGTGAGATCACTCATATTCGACAGCGTATTTCCCACAGACACGCCTCCCGCGAGGCAACTGCATAAAACCTCCCGAACTTCTGCTCATGCAATCTCGTTGTATATTTTATACTCTCTAGTCGCGAACATGATACTAGATGCATGACCGCGAACTATGGGATCGTAACGCTGGCCCCGTAACAGACAGCTACAAAATGGACCAACAAAACGCAGCTGGAAGCGAGACCTACGTCCACTCCGACATCACACCAGAGCAGGGTACATGCAGCAGGACATGACGCACCTGCCTTGGCACAAATATAGGACACAAGACCCATTTTTTCCGTCTAATTAGACCGAGGCCTGAGGCACAGGCTCCTTGAACTCTCCGCTCTTGATCTTCGTGCCTACATCCTCAGCACCCACGACCGAAGCGCCACCGTGCAGCTCGTAGAGCTTGTTGACATCGAACTTGGGGCGCTTCAACACCTTGACCTTGTGGATGAACACATCCTTGAGCGGGTAAATACCTTGCGTGCTCTTTTCAATTTCGCGGCCCATGACCTCAGGGATTAGCTTGGCCACAAATTCGCGCAGGTCGCACGACGACGACTCGCGCTGAATCACCTCGAACATCTTCTTGCGAATGGCGTGGATCTGAGAGGACTTCGCGTATGTGGTCTTCTTGACCTGGTTTGCACGACGGCGCGTGAAACCAATAGCAAACACACGCAAAAGGTAACCGTCCGTCGTCCTAATGTCCTGATGCGCCTCAATGAGCGACTGCCACTTGCGAACAAGCGAGCGCAACTTGTCAGACGTGAAGCTCATACCGTAGAAGTTGGTCAGGCAGTTACGACCCTGCACCTCATCCACACGAAGCTGGAACTTGCGGTAAGCTTGCTCGTCGTCCTTGTTAAGGTCGGCAAGCGACTGCTCAAGAATACGGCCCTTGAGCGCATCAGAGGCATTCTCTGTTCAGTGTCAGCGGGACGGCTCAACCTTAAGAGGCTAACCATACGTACTCAGACCCTGAGAGCGGTTCACAATTGTTTTACCGACGTTGCGGTTCTCGAAGAACACGGGCGCCTTGATGTCGTACCATTCCTTGCGGGTGAAGGGATCAACAGCGCGCTTCTTATTACCCTTACCCTTGGAAAGCTTCTTGTTCTTGCCAACCGCTTCGATGGTTAGTATTCATACACAGCCGAAAACGTCGCACAAAGCATACATACCCATGCTGAACAAGTATGGACAAGAGAGTACTGTGAACGCACCGCTCGCACGCCTGAACAAGAAGAGCTGGTTCCTAGTATACACGTGATATTTCATGTGAAGGACGAAGTAACTATAATTCACGTGATGCAACGATGCACCAAGGTGCTTACGTATACGGGTTCACGCTGTGCACGCACTCGTGCACGGCAAGTAGTGACAGAGGTGTGCGCCTCATGCCCACCTCCACATTGCCACGAACCCTGGGAGTAGAGGGTTGGGTGCTGTGCCGTGCCGTGCCGTGCTTTGTGCTTGTACAATCGGGCCTTAGCGCCGGGAACGCCCAGCTCGCTGCGCGTCGCGCCGATTTCGTCTGCAAAAATTTGTGTTAGTTGTCAATCCTCCTAGCCCAGAATATTTGCTTAGTATACATACCGGCTGGCACGTAGGTCTGCCTCCTCCATTTTTTCCATTTCAGCTTCACTGAGGTACTCCAGTAGCGGGCCAAAATCAGACGTTTCGGCAAAATCGCGCCAAGCCCCCTCGAGAGGTCGAGGACCAACAGCAAGTAGATCTCGTAGTGTCATCAGAGCTTGATGTCGCCTCAAAGCCAATGGTAAAGATTCATCAGGTACAAGGAATGGGATAGATGCCGCGCTGGGGAAAGGAGGAAACGGCGCAGAAGATGATAGATTCGAAGGCGCCGAAAATGCTGCCGTAGCATCATGAGAGTGCGATAAGCTCCCATATTGTGTTGCAGCAGCTAAACGCCGGCTACGCGTATGAGGCGGCGCTTGGTCGTCGCGTGTGAGTGTGGCGCCATGCCATTCGTCCATGTCACTTGCATTCGTCATAGCAGCTGAAGAAATGGCCCGTCGTTGGTGCAAGGCTTCGTCCTCTGATAACGGATCGAGATCCATCATAGCAGACGTTGCAGCGGTACTTTCTGAGGGTGCAGCACCTGTCGCACCCTGACCAGATTCGGATGGACTCGCACTTGCACGAAGCAATGCACGCTCAGCCTTATCGATGCGCAAGAGCTCGTCCATGATGCACTTGTAAATCTTACCACTGCCAAACAAGCCCAGCTCCATTGCTGCACGTCGATGATGCAAAAGCTGCTCGCGAACCGCATGGGAAATTAGCACTCCACTCTCTAACGGAAGGCCCAAGTCTCTTGTCAAGGTCTTGGCAAATGCTTCTGGCGTCAATGTTGAACAAAGGTCCCACTCCAAGCGGTCACGCAACATATGACGAGAAATTTGTACTTCATACTCGACGATCACTCGCAGATCATCTTCGGCATCGATCCTTGAGATAGCATCATGAATAGAGGCCTTGTCGACAGACTTGGAAGCACTGTCATTATCGATTGCTGGAAGAGCATGTGCTGTCGGCCCTGATACAGGCACTGAAGCCTGAGACAGTGGCTGCGTCGGCGCAGGCGGCTGAGACAACAGCTGTGACTGTGGCTGCGGTGGCACGACGGGCGAATCTTCCTTCGACTCAGGCGCGGGGTGTTTTCGAGGCCGTCCACGTTTGCGCGGGGCGGACGGAGAAGCGCTATCAGAAGCCGAGGCAGCTTGAAGCATGGCAGCTGCACGACGCCGCTGCATTTCTACCTCAGTTTCAATACGCTTGCGCTCTCGTGCAGACGATTTAAGATCGAGAATTCGGCTTATGCCATCTCCCTCTCGGTCCAGAACACTCATAGCATCAGATAGTTGCTGAATGATCAGACTTTCGATCTGCACAGCATACGGTTGCATCGGCAACTCTAGATCCTGCAGGAAAATATGTGCAAATTGGTAGGGCGTAATGAGACGTTCGTGGAGATTCCACAGAAATACATCTTTGATGCGATGGGTATTTGTGTGAAACTCGATGCGGATGGGGACTAGGACTTCGGCAAACTCACTCTGCTGCTGAAGCTGTTGCTCTGTGGGAAAAGTGTGAGGTGTTCGCTTAGCAGGTCGCACCACGAGCCGGTCGCATGACACAGGCAAGCCCAGCTGGCTGCCTGGCGCTGCAAGCTCTGCTTCAGCTTCTGGATCCACCACACGTGTATCTAGACTGGATGCTGACCGCGATTCATGCGCACCTCTCCGACGCTTTCGTCTTTGAGAGCTGCTAAATTCTTCGTCTTCATACTCAGACTCCTCATCGTCGTCATCTGATTCATCTTCGCCATAGTAAACGGACTGTCGAGCACTTCGAGTGCCAAGAACCGACGTACCGTCCAGCTCATTTGCACTGCGCTGGATCGGTTGCATAAGAGTCGTAGTACCGGCACGCATTCGGCTCGCGTAGGTTGAATACTTCGCCTGGCTTGGAGCTATGCGTGACTGCAGACGCAATGGGGCTGAGCTTGTGCCAAGAACCCATGCACCGTTCGCGAGTGCAGGTCCTGCTACATTTGACACTAGCGATGCGCCACGGTGATATGGCGCACTAGTGCTTCGCGTCGCATCCATGGTATGCAACGACGGTGGACGTCGTGACTAGCGTCACACACAGTGCAGAAATGGGAAACCAGGGTCTAAGCGTCGGAACGATGTCGCCAATGCATGCCGCGTCAGCCTATCCACAGGTAAACGCTGAGCTCGCGCGTGTGGCGCACATGGCACGTGATCAAACGATGGCGAGAGGGCACAAGAGCTCGCTCAACGCGCGATCTTGGAGGGTGGCTACGTATGAGTCTACACGTGCAAGAATAGGAATATGTCATGACCCCATACAATCGGAGGAAGGCATTACCAATCGCGAGGCATTTTGATAAAAACGGTCAATGACAATGTCACCTAGGCGTGTGGTGCGGCGTCACCTTGCACATCTGACGGGGGAGGTGGTGCAGCGGCATCTTTGGCATGTGTTTCTGCTGCACCATCCTGAAGAGGACGCTGCTCGTCGGTGGTCTCAGAACCAGTATGCGTCTCTTCTGGACGCGGTTCTGCTGAATCCGCTGGCACAGACGAACCGATACGTTCACGATCGTTGTCACCATCGTGATTAGTTTCGCGCCGCTGCTCATCACGGCGATGATCCGTCTCATTTCCACGGTTGTCATTGCCATCTTCTTGGTGCGCATCATTTCGTGGATCACCAGTAGCGTCTCGGCTTGGTTCATGACGATCATCGCCAAGCCTGTTCACAGGCCCATCAGCCCGATCATCGTCACGTCGTTCATAGCGATCGCCGTCACGCTCGTCAACAGGAGCATCAGCCTGGTCATCGTTACGTCGCTCATAGCGATCGTCGTCACGCTCGTCAACAGGAGCATCAGCCTGGTCATCGTTTCGTCGCTCATAGCGATCGTCGTCACGCTCGTCAAAGCGTCTGTCATTGCGTTCATCAACGCGCCTGTCATATCGACTCATGTAGCGCTCGTCATCGCGCCCGTCATCGCGATAGCCACCGCGTCGCTCATAGCGATCATCGTTACGCGCATTCCATCGATCACGAGAGTCATACCGATCATCCAAACCGACGTCACGCATGCGAGGAGGCGGACGCTCATCACGGTAGTCATCGCGGTATCTCCCAACGGGACTCCGCTCACGACGCTCACTGGACGACGGCGGCGGGAGAGGCGGCAAATCACCATCAGGCTCAGCCCGGAGAATAGCGCCACGCAAATCAGTGCCCTCAATACGCGCCAATGCGCGCTCATAATCGTCGCGCGATTCAAACTCCAAGGCACCTTCATCGGGTTGATTCGGATTGATATCGGAGAACGTGACATGACCATGCTCGCGGCCAACATCTTTCAAATCTTGCCAGCTAGTGCCTGGAGGCAAGTTGAACACAATGAGTCGGTACATACCACGACGTGGCCCCCGGGGTCCTCGAGGACCACGCATATCAAACCCGCGTGGGCGACGGGGAGGACCGTACGGATCGCGCTCACGATCACGGTCGCGACGCAAAGGTTGTTTCGCGGGTTGTACAATAATGCGGTCGCCCATGAACATAGTGCCATCAAAGTCTCGCACGGCATAATCGGCGTCACGAGGATCGTCAAATTCCACGAATCCAAAGCCATTCAAAACACGCACATCAACAATCGGCTATGTGGTGGGGGAGGCGTCAGTCTTGCAGATACACAGCTTTAATACGTACGCCCACATTCTTAAACAGGTCTGCGATATCATCACGCGTCACCGCAGGTGCGAGTCGACCCACGTACAAACGAGTCGAGCCACTATACATTGTGTTGTTTGAAGTTGGTGTTGCCACGTATGCTGGTGCTTGCTAGTACTCGTACTCCAGTAGGCAGTGTTGATCCAATCTCCTGTAATAGGACACACACACACACACACACACACGCTCTCTCTCTCTCGCTCACTCGTTCCCTTGTTCCCTAGCGGTCGCACACACAAACACGTGTTTGTTGCTCCACGACAAGATGCGCATGACGACACACTACGACGACGGCAGCACCGGCGGCGGCTGGTATCACGTGATAAATGACGCTCATTCGCTCCTCTTCCTATTCTCTCGGACCAGTCGCGTCGAGTTTCCGCCTCCAAGTGGGTAAGGGTAGAGAGGTAGAAATACGCGTCGGCTCTGAAACAAGCTTGCAGGTCCGCTCGCCTCTGCGTGTCCTGGCGTACTAAGCGACAAGCGTTTGGACGACGACATCGCGACCACGCATGAGAAAAAATAGGTCATCAAATCAGATGTAGCAACGATTTGGCAGACATCCACTCTCGCACGATCCGACACGCGTGTAAGTTAGCCCTATGTTAATATCGTGTTTTTGCCACACTTGAGTAGCCATGCACCACTACAAGCTAGCTTCAAGCGATCTGCTCTGTGCACAAGTGCTGTCTCTCTACATAGAACGACAATATGTAGCGCCAGCCCATACGCGAGGGTTCTAAGCCTCATGGAAGCGATGGGTCCCATAGCAAAGGACGACATATACAAAAAGATAGGATTAGCACACGCCCTGTGAATAGCGTCATAGTGAGCGACACATTCACACAGGTTCATGTGGCTGGTTGAAGCTATGATGTACAGGCATGTGCCATCTATTAGCTATGATGAAAGTGGTTTTGTCAATATGTCATCGGCTCGCCCAAGCACATTTGGCGTGCATTCGTTGCCGCACCCCTGCGTATTACACAAGCCATGCAATGTGCCAAGAGAAATCGATCGACTGCGTCTTTGCAGGGCATCTGCAATTCAAGACGAATTGTGGCGCCATGGCTGCAATCACGTGGCAGGACAAAATGCGAGCGATGCGTGGAATTATACAGGGATGGGGGCGTGAGGAGGCAGTGGTGAGGAATCACATCGCGCGCGCGCGCGCGCGGGTCGATGCAACAGGTGCTGAGTCATCGAGCAGGGGACAAGTCATGCGGGGCTGTGCGGCCAATGCGAATGAAACGCGCCATAGTGCAAAACGGCTCCTAAACTGACGGCCATTCGAATACAAGGAAGGAGGGGTGCATTGCTTGTCGGCCACGGCAGTTGCAACAGCCAAAGGAGCAGCTAACAAAGTGAGCGCATACCATCAACACTGTTGAAGAGGTCCGAGTGCATGGAAGGTCTCGTCCGTTCCAATCCGACTATGACATCTGATATGTCACGCAGTTTATCCGCGGACGAGTCGTCCTCGGTTCGCGGCACGGCATTACCCCATCCACATGGAATCTACAGGTCGAAAGCACCATCGAACATTTCACTGAGCCCTGTCAGACTATCATCGACATTCTTACCATCGCCATTACGCGATCATCATGCCACCACCACGCCAACGAATGGAGCTGCATCGCCGCGTCTCATCAGTGCAAATGAACTACCCGATGACCCCGCGCAGGCATCGAATGTGGTCCATCTGTTTGCACCACCACTTGCACCGGCTTGGAGTCCCGTCTCAATGTCGCGCTCCCAGAGCTCCCGCACGGACGACACATCAACTTATTTCCCCTCTGCGGGTGGAACTACTGCGAGCCACGGTCACAGCTATGGACATGGCGCTGGCACTGGCACTGGCGCCCATACAGCGAGCACACAGCGATACTACCGACCACCGATGTCGCCGTCAGCTCGTTCGGGCGCTGAGCACGCACTGAGTCCTGGGGCGGCCCAGCAACGTATATCAAGTCCTCGCTCACCTACGGGACCGTCGTACGTCGGTATGACTCGAACTTCATCGCGGCAACGGTCGCCAGAGCACAACATATTCGAGCGCGATATCGAGTTGTGCGGAAGTCCGCACCTTATGACGCCCAAAGAAGCGATCGACGTAGCTGTGCCGCCAGTGCTGGACGATGCAGCAGATGCTATTGTGGGAGACTCGACCCTGGAAATCGTGTCGCCATGCGAGACTTCGTCACCGTACGCATCACCTGATATGCGTCCGCACCTTCGTCGCACAGGTACGGGCGGCGAAATGCTCGTTCGCGGCGCATCCCACGATGGCACGCACATGTCGGCGCGCCAGCGAACGTACGGCCATCGCCGCCTACATTCTGAACAATCGATGCTATTGCCGAGCATACCCAACATGCCATCAAGTCCTGCGGCTGGCAAGCGACGCTCGCACATGCAGCCACCGTCACAGACACATTCGCAGCAACAACCACCTACGCCCAACGCGTCCACATATCATCCAAGCCTAAGCATCGACGGCGCTGTCATCCCCGAGGGCCAGGCTGCCACCTTTATGCATAGTCTCGACGGCCTTGCGGACGCCGTCGTTCACAGATCGCCGTCGACGACGTCGGCGCAAGCGGCAGTGCCGGGATCTATGGCGACTCCTGCATCGCCTGTACCAGCAGTGGCTTCGCCTAGTGGTAGCACCAACGGCAGCCAGTTGGGTACGTCGAACAGTTACTTTTCATTGAGCGAGGATCCTCGCAACTCCAAGTTCCGCTACAGTGTGATTGGCATCAACGCCACACCATCTGGCGCACCCGGTGATTCGCCCACATTCGGACGTACGGGTACAGCGAATAACTACTTTGCTTCATCGGTGTCGAGCCCTCGTAGCTCACGAACCATGCAGCCGTCGCTTTCATGGTCCAATTCGGAGAATTGCTCCTCGCACTTGCAAGTGCCTGGTGCTCTCAATGCTGCATCGCCGAACCTGCGACCAGCGTCAGTGTCGAATGCGCAGGGAGATCGGAAGCGTCTCTCTTGGATGTCGTACGCGGACATTGTGAATGATGTCAACGAGAAAGTTCATGACCTTGATGTGACTGGCCGAGTGTAATAATGACAAGCAAACACATAGACCGTGAATGAACGTTGCGAGAAAGAACCAACCGCAAGACACGCACGCAGTTGCGTCAGCAGATTGTAGATCGTGCAATCGTGAGCTGGCGACACACATGAGCCCTGCGGCTCTGCTTACGATGCCGTTCACGGATTATTGCGCGTGCTAAACGAATCGACATGCGGCTTCTCAAAAATATCCATGACCAACATCAGACGCATCCGTTCCGCATCGTCATGTATGTGTGTCATGCTCACATTTTCCAGCTATACAAGAGGCATCATACGCCTTCCCCCCCCCCTTCCGCACCCCTACGCCTCAAGGTGAACATAGCGCATCTCTACGAGAACCAATTCTCCTTCTGATACGCACAATAGGCCGGTCTATCAAGCGAGTTCAGGCCAACGCGCTTATCAATGTTAATGTCATCCATGAGCGCCTCAAGATTCGCGTACTTGCGCTCCGGCCGGATGTAGCCCAACACAACCACATGCATATCCTCGCCATAAAAGTCAGCTGCATAGTTGTGCAAGATGTGCACCTCGATAGACTTCTGCTGGTTCTGGAATTGTGGATTCCAGCCAAGGCTCATGACCATAGGATATATCTCTCGATCAGCCGCAACATGAGGCGCACCGTCGCGGAATCGCACCTGTGCGTAACCAAAGTAGACGCCTGTCTCGTGCAAACGGTGTTGTGGATCATTGACGGGATCATCCAGCGCAGAAATAGGTAAATTTGCCGTCGCACAATTGAGTTGTTTACTTCCGCGCCCATAGCCATGCTCGACAGTGCCGCGCAAGTAGACGGGGAACGGTGCCTTGGGTGTATCTTCGCCACAGATCATGGGACGCGTCATTCTGAAGGCGCAGACGTCGGAAGAACGAAACGAGCGTCCGCAAATGAGCTTGTGTGATTGTCTGTTTGCTTGCTTGCTCGCTTGCTTGCTTACTCACGCGCTTGAGTGCGTCAGAGGTAGCGCGTGTTTGGTTGAGCCGAAACAGCAATGTATGCAGGCAGTTGTCTTACACAAGCGTGATGCTCGGCTCCCCTCCCTAGACAACCTGTCCCATGAGGCGCACGGCGCATGAACGAACTAGACGCCTACGTGGAGGTGCATAGTTCCACACCGGCACCCAAAAGGGGCGTGACGCCTGTGTGTGTGTCTGTGTGCCTGTGTGTGTGTGTGTGGTGATGGCACGTGATGCGAATTAGGCCATGGGGTGGGGGAGTGCAGCGGCAGCGGCAGCGCCATCGACCGGCACTCGCACCGTCCAACGTGTACGAAGCTGACACCTCTTCGTGTTTCCGAGCGCATGAAGTACTTGAGCACGCGTGGTGGGCATGAGCGCCTGACGTTCGAAGAGGCTGTCTTGCAAGGGCTCGCACCGAATGGAGGATTGTATGTGCCAGCTGAGATGCCAACGCTTCCAGACGACTGGCAGACGGCATGGGCGTCGTTGAGCTTCGTCGAGCTGTCCTTCCAGATTGTGTCTTTATTCGTGCCAACCACGGCCGAAGAAGGCGGTATACCGCCGGATGACCTGCGAGAGCTGATCACAAAATCGTACGCGACGTTCCGCCACGAGGACGTGACGCCGCTGCGCCGTGTCTCGGAGCACGAATGGTGCTTGGAACTGTGGCACGGACCAACATTTGCGTTCAAAGATGTCGCTCTCCAGCTGCTTGGAAACTTGTTCGAGTATTTCCTCGCTCGCCGAAACGCCACCGCTAGCAACGCCAACCGGGCTGACCGTGCGCCCCACACGTTGACGGTGCTTGGCGCGACAAGTGGCGACACAGGCAGTGCGGCAATCGCAGGACTGCGCTCCAAGGAGAATATTCACATATTTATCCTGCATCCACGCGGCCGTGTGTCGCCGATCCAGGAAGCTCAGATGACAACCGTACTCGACGACAATGTCCACAATCTGGCCGTCGACGGCACATTCGACGATTGCCAAGACATTGTCAAGGCGCTCTTTTCCGACAAGGCCTTCAACGATCAACACCATCTCGGTGCGATTAATAGCATCAATTGGGCACGCATCTTGTCGCAGATTGTATACTATTTCGCGGCCTTCTTTGCCCTGCGCCGCGAACAGCCGCAGATCGACGCTTCGTCCGTGCAGGTTGTTGTGCCTACGGGCAACTTTGGCGATATCCTCGCCGGATACTATGCGAAGCGCCTGGGCGTGCCGATGTCGAAGCTTGTCGTTGCGACGAATGAGAATGACATCCTGCAGCGGTTCTGGGCGACGGGACGCTATGAAAAAGAGTCGGCATCCGGCGAGGTGCGCGCAACGCTTAGTCCTGCGATGGATATTCTTGTGTCGAGCAACTTTGAGCGCTTGCTTTGGTACCTTGCGCACGAGTCCGACACAGAGGCGGACGACAAGGAAGAGGCCGCTGGGCAGCAAGTCACCCAATGGATGCACGAGCTCAAGACACGCGGCTCATTCGCCGTCTCAGACGCTCAATGGGAGCTTGCCAAGCGCGACTTCCTTGCAGAGCGCGTGTCGAACGACGAGACTCGCAGCACAATTCGCCGCTACTTCCGCACGAAGGAAGAGCCCGGATCCTATCTCGTGGACCCGCACACAGCCGTCGGCTTCGAGGCTGCGAACCGCCGTGCTAACGGCCATGCCGTGCCTCAAATCATTCTATCGACGGCTCATCCCGCCAAGTTTTCCGAGGCTGTCATTTCGTCCATTGCCGCCGACTCGAATGAGGGCGAAGCTGCCCGCTATTTCGACACACACGTCCTTCCCAAGGAGATGCACGGCCTCCTAGACAAGGAGCGTCGCGTTGTCGATGTGAATGCGGCGCCTGAGGCTGGCTCTAACAAGCTGCAGGGTCTCATTGCCAGTACCAAGGCCATCATTGAGCGTGATGGCTTCAGCTCACGTATGTAGCATGTTGTCTCTGCCACGTGCGAATCGTCAGGTCATCACTAGTTGAAACGAGCGTCGCACCATGGGGCCCACGACTCCAGCTCACTGCATTGATTTCCGCACTGGATTGGTTAGTTGCTCTGCTAGATGTACGTTTTTTTTTTTCGACGAGGGGTGCGTGTATGCATCAATACGTACTTGAGCTCGTGTGCACGAGGGAGAACGATGCCTCCTTCGCGCGAGATACCTGCTTCATCCACCAACGGCGTCATAGACATCGGCTTCGACACGTCCCAAACGACCACATCGCCAGAGTGACAACCCAGTGCTAGGTATGTGTCATGGTACAGTGCTAAGCGCGCATACAATGTATTTTGTCTTTGTATCTCGTGATGCAAGGCACATACGCGTCCCGGTATCAAAGGACGCGCCACGTCGTCCGTATTGAGCACATAGATACAGCCGTCTGTACAAGCAGCATACATCTCGCGACGGCTGTGTGCGACGACCAACGACGAGATGCCGTGGGGCCGCGTGTTCCACGACGCTCGCTTGGAGCAGTCCACACTGCTCGCACTACAATGCGCCTTCCGCATATCCCATACATGGACAATCGCGTTTTCACTGCATGCCGTTGCTAGGCCATGGCCCGGTACGAAGGCAAGCGCCGTGACGCCAGCCGACCCGGTGGGTTGCAACGCTCGTCGACGAGGCCTCGGTCGCTGTCGCTCCTGTGTTGGCAGGCGACGCGTGCGAGGCATACCGTGTGCTCGTGGGATATGCAATGCAGCCTCCGACATCCGCAGATCCCATATGTACACGTCGCCATCCCGACCGCCACTCGCAAGAATTCGCCCCCCCGCCGCCTCATTTGGATCCCATGCCAAGGCTCGCGGACTTCCTCGGTGCGCATCATATGAGGCGACACAGAGCTGATGCTCGACATCCCATGCGCTCACAGAATAGTCGCTTCCCCCTAGTGCAATCACACGGTCATCCTTGCGCCAGTCCAAAGCAAAGATCGAGCCATGCAACAGAGGCTCCGTCACATGCCGGCAAGCATCTGGAGCATGCGGAGGCCGAAGGGTATCAAGCAGATGGACACGGCCCTCGTCATCACCCACAGCGAGGCACTGTGGTGTATCCCTCGTTGCACATGCGCTGTGCATGTACGCAGCACTCAACGGACTGGACGTGCCATGCGGGATGCACCCTGACTCGAGGTGGTAGTACGAGTCCGCATCTGTACGAAATGACGAGAGAAACGCACGTGCGTGTCGTGCATGCGAAGTGAATCGGCTCTGTACGCGCTGCCACGCTAGTGGAATACGAGGCCCAGCATGTGTGGCGAGTGGATAGCGTGACATGGACGACGGCATCGACACAGTACGTGTCTCTGCGTGTCTCGTCAGAGAAAGAGCTGGTACGTCTTCAATACAATCCAGACGAGCATGTCCGGTCGGGGTATAAGAGCGCTGGGCTCTGGGTCTCTTGCGGTCAAGGGTCGGCGACGATGGCCATTCTCGCTCGCACTCATGCTTGGGTGTGAGCACTTCACTCGACGCTGGAGACGACGACAAGGATTGTTGAGTATGATCGGCATCATAGGGTGACATGCCCGAGTACGGCGTCGAAGCCTCAATATCAATGACGGCGGATGTGCCTCGTTCAGGCGTGCACAGAGGATCCTGACGCGGACACGGTGTGCGTGGCAAGAAGAACCGCGACGCTCGACTAGGCGTCACATTACCGCGAACAAGACGCTGCGTCGAGGACAACGCAAGGCCGTCACCACTTGACGTCATCTGAGCGCACCGTCGGACGTCCCCAAGCTCCCAGGGCCGCCAGTGTGGCCTTGGTTATCAATTGTCAGCGTGCCAACCATTCTTTGCCACCGCGCGTGTAGTGGCGCATTGCTTTCGCCCACACGCGCCGCGTCGTGACGCGTCACGACGCGCGTCACGACGTGCATTAAACATTGTCCAATCACGTTGCGAGTCACTCCACTACAAGGACGTGCGTCTGACTGCGTATGTGTGTGCCGTCCGGCTGAGCTACCATTTGTATGGACCGTGCGCGGATCACAGACAAAATCTGTGGTATGGACGAAGGGTGGGGAAAGAGCCTCAACACACATGGCATCACCAGTCAGACGCACAGAAGTACTACACAAAAGGGCCGAAGATGCACCAACGTCGCTCTCAAGTCAGGTCAGCCCAGCAAAGCGATCCGAGCATCCACCTCCTTGGCCGACGGAATGCTCTCCATGGCTCCATCGACTTCAACTGCCATAGCTGAAGCTACAGAGGCACGGTGCATGATGGCCTTGATCCGCTCAGATGAAAGCGAATCACGCTCGTGCAAGCTCATGAGCCCTGCAACCAAATAGCCTGTGTACGTGTCACCAGCACCTGTAGTATTGACGACCGTTCTCGTCTTGGCCGCCTGTGTATCGACCCACACGCGCTCCGAGCCCACGAGCACACCCGCACAAGAGCCTTGGCTTCCACGCGTGACCACGATCCATTGAATCGATGCAAAGGCCGGCAAAGACGCAAGTGCCTTCGCTGGCTCAGAGCCTGCGTCACGTCCAGAAAGTGCCCTGTGCATGTCTGCTGCTTCCCCTTGATTCACAATAAGCACGCGGATTCCCGACCACGGGAACGCCCGAAGCTCGTCGGGCGTCAGCATAGGACTGGGGTTGAACACAGTGCAGACATTACCAAGGGATGCTGCATGTTCCACAAAGGCGATGGTACAAGCGAGAGGGATCTCGTTCTGAAGAACGAGGTGCGTTATTTGCTGTTCGTTCCTCGAGAACCATGCGTTGGGCTCATCAAGTGGCGTGTTCGTAGCAAAGTTGGCGCCTTTTAAGAGGACAATAGAGTTTTCACCATCCTCAGACGAAATCTGAATGAATGCACGGCCTGTAGGGACATCCGGCGACACGTACATGTCCGTCGTGTCGACATGGCGCTCCTTCAAACAGTCGATCGGCCAAGTAGCATCCGATCCCACGGCACCGAGCATCTTGACCTGCACACCTGCCAGCCCCAGTACCGCTGCTACATTGGCGCCTTTCCCTCCAGGTCGCGCCCACATGGCCGATGAGGATATAGTCTCGCCCGGGCGCACGATATGTGGCACCTGGAATGTCTCATCAATGTTCACACTGCTCCGCACGAGGCATATTGACTTTGACACAGACGCCATGATTCGTGACAAGAATGGCTAGCCACCGTTCTATATCAGTGGGATCGATGTCACTGACCGTAATCGCTCGTCGCCGCACAGCCACGAGACGCTCGATGGAGATTGGATGAATGGAGGAATGGTCGATTTGGTTGGTTCGAGGCACACAGACTCTCATCTCAGAGGGGATCTTGGGCCCCTCCACATGACAAGACCTTTCCCAACCTCGTGATTGCATTCGTAGTCGACTCGTAGCATTGTGCACGAACCGCCTCGATCTGGTACTGGCCCATGTTTTCTTGTGTTGTAGCAGGGCGCTTGCCACTCCCGCCACCACAGCAAATTGACGCGACCCATGCCGTGTTCCAGCTGGAGCAGGCGGACCAAATCAATCACATCGTCGTCTTCATGACAGGACAACAAGCCTTTCCTGAGGGCTATGGTGCGACGGTGCACCTCATGTGGCCTAAAGAGGATATGAGTGCGAATGCACAGACTTGGCAGCTCCTTGGATGGTACGCACACAATCTTGGTCTCACTGACTCGGCATCAGTTTGCAAAACACCAAGCCATCGGCTATCTTCCGGATCCGAGACCCTAAGCGTGACCAGGTGCCGCCAGGCATGGTGCGCACGGCCACACTAGGTATAAGTATCGAGACACTCGATGAAGTTGAGAGACAGATGCAATCGCTAAGTTCATCGAGCCAAAGCACGCCATCCAATGCATTGGCTCTTGCTGCCAAGTCGCAGCCAAACACACTGATGCAGCAAGCTGCCCAGCTCGCTGCACCCATCGGTACGTGCAAAGAGGTCACCTTGATACACACATTGCCTAACACGCACACGCACACACATACGCACACGCAATGTCTCTCTCTCTCTTTCTTTCTCACCTTCAGCGCAAAATGTGTTTTCGTATCTTTCGTCCTTCGCGCCAGACTCAGCTCCACAGGCTGTGCCGCTCCTACAACGTTGGCTTGAGCAGTTTGAGCGCAAGCTGCAAGCTCAAGGCATAGAGTTCCTATTGAGACAGACATAACTACGATTCGTCAAACTCGAATGTGCGATCAAAGTCACCATAGATGATATCCCGCATGCCAGGTGCCATGAGTGGCTCTGTTTGGGATCCTGGCACGGCAAGGTACCGGTAGGGAAGCTCCACCTGGTTTCCTGTTAGTATCGTGGTGTCAAGCGTCAACGAGACAGCGACTGGTCGTCCAAATACGTACCGACTCGCCACGACCAAATTCGATCGTGGGACTATCCACAAACACGAGCGACCCCTGGCCATCTGAGTCGATGTCAGCACCTTCCGTGCCCTGGAGCTCTGCCAAGCCTAACCGCAATCCATCCTCTACCACACGCTTCGTGACGCCTACCGCCGTGTCTGTCGACATTTGGACGCTACCGAGATGCCGACCTGGAAATCCCATGTTGCGAAGAGACGACGTTCGATCGCGCGGCGGATCATCACCAAGAATGCCTCCGAACAAAAAGTGTGTAAAGGGCATGGCCTGCGACGCCGAAGACGGTGCCGGCGCTTGGGACGTGTGCATGCCAGCATCCCGCACAGACAAAGGCAGAGGTGCTTTCGGATCAAGCAAGCAGATCCGTTCCATGCTCCAACCACGTTCCTTCGCCAGGGTTGTGACTGACTTGGCGTGTAGTTCAAATTTGGCTGGATTCGTTAGTGGCAGCAGTGGCTGAGAAAAGGCCTCTTCTAATGCGTCCAGGGATGCCTGTGATAGGGCCGTAAAGTGCACTGTTGAGCCGGCGCCGATATGGTATAGCATGTGCCGGTACTCGAGGAGTGCCCATGGTGGGAAGTGCGCCGGCGCATCAGGTTCATCCTCTTCCATATGCTCGATAATGTATTCTGGCCGCTGCATGCTGGTGCTGGAGGTGGAGATCCGTGCTACGTCAACGACGCTTACATGCCCGCGTACCCCATGTGAAACTGCGTTGACAGCCGGTCGGCTTGTCGGCCGGCCAACCTCTATCGGCCAGTCAGCCTCCAGTAGACAAAGAAAGAAAAAAAAAATGCCCTATTTAAGCGACAAGTGCAAAACGAATCCTTTTTCCCACAAATCGACCACCAAGGACGGGAATAGTTGCCTGCCCTGTCCCAGGGCATCATGATGTCGTAGCAAGAATGTGCACGCGCGTTGGAAACACATGCACTAGAGGAGAAGTGCGTGACTGGAACAAGGACGAGGCTTAGAAAAGAATGTGTGACTGTGTGTCCTGTGTGTGTAGGAGGCGAGGGGGGTGAGGGGAAGCGGACATGACCGAGGCACGATACGTGAGTATGGGACAGTGAGTCAGTACGAGAACAAGGGACACAGACTACGTATATACGCGAGCGCGAATGTATGCTACCGGCTCTTGCAGATGCACGTGGTAGCTATGCTTGTGCTCGCAATGCATCGAATGCACACGATCGAGATCGCCCGCTCCTTACCCCGTGCCTGTGGGATATCGATGACAGGTATCGGATAATATGCGGATTTCAGGCTTGGTAGTACTTGCCTGGCGGAAAAGAAACATCAAGGTATTCATTCGCTATCAGCCCTAGACTCTGTCGATGACGGCTCATAGATAGTAGTTTACCTACAAAACCCGCTGCTCGGCAGCACGTTCAAATTGCTCAATAGATTCGGCAAGCCAAGAAAGAGGCGGCTCCGGCGGCGGCGGCGGCAGCCGGTCAAGATGGTCCCAAGCAATGACGGAGCGTGGCCGCCGCAGCTCGAGCGGCGTCACACGTCGCAGTGGCGTGCCTGGTTTGGATTGGTCATAGACGCCGCTAGCTAGGGGGTCTTTGTCGTCTTCCATGTCGGTCGTGGCCGATTCATCTAGGGACTCGGCATCTTCGCCTTCATCGCTGTCCAGTGTATCAACAGCGCGGCGCGTCACATAGTACAAGTACAGAAAGATGCCCACACAAAGAGCGATGCCAAAGCCACCAAAGACCTGCCGTACCGTGTTGGTCTTTTTGTGGGAGGGATCGGCGCCCTGCGTCTCGTTTGCCGCCGAATGGTACGAAGCGAAGCTCTCGATCGATGCGCCAATGCTTGTGTGAACAAGGAGCTTTGGCAGCGCTAGTGCCGTGCATGTAATATACGTGCGGAACGTCAGCACGTGCGAGCTTGCGAGAAGCATGTTCAGAAGGTTGTAGGGATACGGCGCAAGACGCACGAGGAACAAGAGCTGCGGCCGCAGCTCTATCGCACGAATGACCCGCTGCAGGCCACCAGCATGTGCAAGAAGGCGCATCATCCACGCCCTCAGATGCGTCCGACTCAACACAAACACGGAAGCAGCACCTGTGAGCGCTGCCACGTAGCTGACAAGGAACCCCTGCCACATGCCAAACGCAAAGCCTGAGAGCACGATCATAGTCGAATACAGCGGCATCGGTGGGAACGTTAGCACAAAGATGATCATGCCAAAGAGCACGCGGCCCACTAGACCCAGGCTCCTGAGCGTCGTCGATAGCACATCCAATGCATGAAACAGCTGCACATGAAAGAGCATGACCATGGTCGTGCTCATCACACTGATACCGACCCAGATGAGCAGCGGCACGTACGAAGCAAGCCACGGCGGCCACCAGATTCGCTGGTCCGTCATGGGGTCGCGGAATGCGCGGGCCCAATAGATCCATTGTGCATGGACATGCTGATGCACCGAAGCGGCAAGTTCGCGTGGATTCGCGAGCAAAGATAAGCCTGTTCGTAAACGCGCCCATGCATGCTCGGCTGTCCATCGTGCCGCGTGCTCCGCCTGGCGGTTGCGTTGGCGCCGATGTGTCGATGCTGCCGACGCCTTGCTCGGTTTGGGATGCAGCCATACGGCCCCATGCCTCGCTTTTGGCGCCACAATGTCGTCCATGGGGATCGAGTGTTCGCTGTGCGTTGATTTGCGTGCATGTGTTCTGAGTAGCTGGACCTCGTCGTCGTCACCAGCCAGCGCATACGCGGGAGCCGAACCCGCTGTGGTATCCGATGAACTGCGTCGATCGTCGTCGTTCACATGGTGATGCGCGTGGTGTTGGTGTTGTTGCACGGGATGACGTATGTCGCTGCCGCCGTTAGGGCCATTAGCAGAACTCGTTGTGGAATGGGCGGCAGTGCGATGATCGTTGCTGGACGTGCCTGCGTCTGCATGTCGATGATCCCAGTCTGCGATGGAAGATATGGGGGAGGAAGCCGTTGGCATGTCGAATAGGATAGATGCATAGCCATGCGTGCTGCTTGGCGACAGCGAGCGTGTCACGACATCCACGAGGGATTGTGCTGCATACGCAGCTGCACGCCCAAACAGGCGCGTATGTGCATGAGAGCTGGGCGTGCGCGGACTAAGGACAGAGAGTGGCGATTGTGTGCGTGATGTTGAGCCTCCTACCGTACCCGCACCTCCGGCCGAGGGCAGCTGCCCATGACTTGTCATCGTACTGCGTCTCGATCGACCTGTGGCGCTTTGGCCCGCTGCTGCTGCTGCTGCTGCTGCTGCCGATGACGACACAGGCACCTGGCCTCGCCTCGCCCCGGGCTCTGAGTCATACGAGAAACTTCGAAGCTGCGTTGTCTGAACACGTAACGATGGTGTCCTGCGCTGTCGGTGCGTGGTGGCCGAGTCAGATCGTTTGGGGACTTCAGCTGGTCCATGAAGCGACATGGTTCATGGGAGGGGGAGGGTCGTTGGTGGCTTTGATACGCTCGCTTGATCGCACCCTAGCTCTCGTATTCGCTCTCTTGTCGTGTTCACACACTTGGCCTGGTCTTGTTCGCACACGTCTTGCCCCCCTCACAAACGACAGCGCCACAGCTGCAAAGTTGCGTTAGATGCAACAAATCTTATGGGCTGTGTATAACCTCGAAGCCCCCTCTTGTCGATGATTCGTTGGATCTCGGTAGGAAAGACGGTCATTCCCTCCACATCCACGACGCTTCGTGTCGGCTTCTCCAAACGACAGCGGCATCACGATGAAAGTGCGGACAAGGCCGGGCTGCACTGGATGGCTCCACCTCAGCTTGTCTCCATGATGAGATAGCAAGGTTGATTTTCATTTTATTTTTTACCACATATTCATGGCAGGTTTTTCGTCTGGATTCTCATAAGACGAAAATGCTTGCATGAACCGTGGGTGTGTGTTTGCATGGCTTGCTTCGACCTTTCCGAGCATCTAGCACAATCGCACAGACCCCTCCCCCCTTACACCGAGTGCTGCGCTGCACAGGATAACCGACTGATGCGCATCGCACAAGTCGAAAGCGCACGCATGCTGTGTCGTCACAGATAGCGCGCCTTGCCTTGCCTATGTTCTATAGATTCGCCACGGACATGAGCGCAAAGAAGACAACACGTGGGCAACCAAAGGAACGTACGTACGTGTTGGTATCTGTGTCTGTGCCTAAGCACGATCGTCGCCCCAAAGACGCTCAACACGCTCCCAGTGCAGACAGTCCCAAAAGTGCGTCAAGTAACGTTCCTTGCCCCAAAAGCCATAGTCGCCCAGCCATGCATGTTCAAACATGCTTATGCAGAACAAGGGGTATAAATGATGCCCAATTGCACCGGCTGCTGAGCTTCGGGAGAGGCTGTCGAAACGATTCGGTGCGGATGCACGTAGTTCTTGCGCTGGCGTCGTGGCGCTTGTTGACTCATTCGATGCTGGCGTCGTCGCTGGCGTCGCGGCATCGCTCGACGTCTGGCCATCTTGCACGGTGGTGACAAGGTCACTCGGTCCACACTGCCGTCGTTGGTGCACTAGCACAGTGCTTGCACCATACGTCGGGACAATGCCCAAGCGTCCATGATCGTCTTTCACAAGCCAGATCCATCCACTCGAGACCATGCCCATAGCCGCTGACGAGACTGCCAGCTTGAGCTGCGGAAGCGATCCAAACTGGTCTGCGATTGCCGTCGCAAGTGTCTTGCCGTAGAACGTCGGAACGGCACCCATGTGTGTCGATGGCTGTGGGTATGCCTGCACCGACTGAGCAGCGTGGGGCACCAGACTCGAGAGGAAAAAACTCGTGTTGAGTGCCAGCGAAGCATAGTTGAACATGAGGATCTTTTCTCGGTCACGCGCTGTATTCATCACTGTCTCGACGACAGACTCCGTCGCATTGGGCGTGCCTTTCACCTCTTCATTCAAGCGCTGTAACAATCCAGCTTGCCATTGCGTCCACAAAAGGTGCACTGTCCTCTTTGACAAGAATGGATCACACCCTTCCGTCAGTGCAGCTGGCATCGGTGGCAGCTGGTGCAAGTACCGCGCACCATATGTACGCGTTGGCAGCTTCGCCACTACTGTGCGACGCGCTGCAGTCGCGAGTCCCGCTGAACGCAGCATGCTTTCCTAGCTCTTGCTCGCTCTGTGTAGACCAGGAGAGAAATGAGCGACGAGCCGTTCGTTTTCTCAAGCGCGGCCGACTCGCAAAGTGCGCGCGTTCGTAAGCCATCTTCTGAACCACGTGGCATTTCTTCGCTCGCCACTCTTCCTGCCCAGCGGCCAACCAACAACCTCTCCTGGGCTGTCGGCAGGTAGACCCACCCAGGTAGCGCGCCGAGCCGATTGGCAGTGGAGGCGTGTATCGTGCGTCTTCTTCGCTTACGCGTCCAAAAAGCAACATCTGACTTGGTCCTGCTCCGTTGGTTGTGTCGCCGCAGCCTTCTGTTGCTTCTTTGGGAGATCCACGCTCACCCCGCCCCATGTCGGCTGATCTTCTGCCGGCACACCCACCTCCCGTGCAGCCCATGTCGCCATCCGCGACTTTTCGCGCGCTCACGAAGCGTGCGATGCGCCCAAGGCAGGAACGCATCCTGTTCCTGAGCACCGTGGCGTCTTACCTTCTGCTGGCCGCGAGTCTGCTCTCACCTCGTGCACTATGGCAGCCCTGCATGCTGCTCGGCACGCTTTGCCTCGTAGTATGCGTGGTTCTGCCGCTTCTTCTCATGCGCCGCACACATTTGATCCATTCCACCCCCCCGAACGAGCTGGACCGCGTGCCAATATCCCGTGCGGCATACGCGCGCCACATTCTCTTGGCGGGCGACGTGTGGCCATCACTTGGGATGCATGCTGTGCTTGGAATGTTCACTGTGTTCATCTATGCAAGCACAGCCGTGTGTCTGCAAGGCACACAGAAGACCGCATTGTCGCCCATTCGCTATGTCGATGTAAACCAAGCATACTATGTGAACGAGACTTTCCTTGTCACCACGGCTTCTGCTGCCTGCTTAGGTAGTTTGTATGCGGCATGCTCTATGCTTTGCTTCAAAGGTGCACGACGTGGCGTGCCACCCTTTGATGCACGTCATCTCGGCATGCCTTTGTATGTGCATGCCATGGACGCATTGTCGTCCCATATTGTGCGGACACTGCCCGTCTTGTGTGTATGGCCTGTGTTTTTCTGTGTATATGTCATGGTGCGTGATTCATTCTGGACGACGGTCCTGCGCATCACAGGCGTTGATACCGTGGTCCGGCAAGCCATCGTGCCATCATTCCGCGTGCCATTCCACGCTTGGTCCATGTTTGCATCGGCTGTGCCAGTGCTGGTGCTGATGATGGTGCTTATGGAGGTCATTCACACTCTCTTTGACGTCTATTGGACACACCCACTTCCTTCCATCGTGTCTGCGTACAAAGATCCCATCACAGCGCTTCTGGGTGGCCTGACCGACAATCATGCTTTCTTTTCTACACACGCCTTCGCTGAGCTCACTCGACTTGCGAAGCATGACAAGGCATTCCGCCTAGCTGTCTACGACGATGTGCAACGCTTGCATGGCCGTCCTGTTGCGTTCCCTGCGATCTCACAGGCGTGCATTCGAGCGCTGGATGCACTCGCTCCCGCTCCGGAAGCGAAGATCAACAGCGCAGCACAACAACCTTTACCAAGCGCGAAAGCATCTGGCTTGGCGACTGCTAATACTGACACCGCCGCCGCCGCCGCCGCCGCCGCCGCTGCTGCTGCTGCTTCCAAAGCTTCCAAAGCTTCTCGTGCGCCGCCCCCCACGTCCTTGTCGTCTTCGCGCTTCAACATCTGGCAGACGCTGGCGTCTCGGCCCGCGAGCACTTCATCATCTGCAAAGACGTCAAATCCAGACGCTTCCAGCGCCTCTTCCAAGCCGCTGACATCGGCACCCCCAACCTCCGCGCCATCAGCCGCATTCCTCGGAAAGTCTCTTGCTCAGACAGTATGGAAATGGATCCCATCCGAGGCCAAGCATGTGCTTTTCCCCCATACGATCCACGCAGCTTTGTTTGCGCCCGAGTCCACGCTCCTGTTGGACACTACGCTGTACGTCGAAGCGCCGCGCGCTTGCTTCGCTGCGATGGCTATGGAGTCTATGGTGCTCGCATCCCTGACCGAGGACAAGTATGGCAGTGTGCAGCACCAAGTCCAGGGTTTGGTCGAGGCACTCTCTCGTGCGCATACGCGCATGGAGCGCGTGCGGCAATCGGCAGAAAGCTTGGCCGTCCAGGCCGATAGCCAGCACGTTCGCGACATGTCTGTCTGGCGCGGCGCGCTCGCCGACGCTGGGTCAGATGCAGCAGCGACCTTTGGCCCTGCATTTGCACCTTTCTTCACCGAAATGCAGATGGCCTGGAGTGCGTACATGTGTTTAGACTCGGCTCTCTCGAGGGCGACACGCCGCATCACCGAGACCTTTGCTGCCTTCAAGTGACCCAAGAGCCCGTTTGGAACTGGCCGCACGTCGAAGCACGTCCACAGAGACGAGGTGAGGTGATGTGTGCCTTTGGTATGGACGCCCTATCTCAAGCAAATACAATGCGCTGGCCAACGACTTGGAGCACATTCAACGAACTGTACTCTTGCAGCGTGTCATGCAGCTGGTCTTCGACCCAGCCTGCAGCTAGGACGCGTGCACGCACATCCGCCAGCACAAGCTCGCCCAGCCCCGACGCATTCGCATGCGCAGGATCTTCCTGGCCTGCATGTACGGCCATTTCTCGCAAGAGACGAAAGATTCGCGAGACATAGCTCTGGTCATGGCCCAGATCGCCGCGGTGCCGAGCCGACGTGTACAGCGACGCTTTACTGACATCCATGAGACGCAACGCCTCTTCGACGTCGCCGATCTCGACCATGTCAGCAAAGCGCAGGCGTGCAAGCGCCTGTGACAGCCGCACAATGCCCAGCAGCGTGCGGGCAGACGTGTAGGTGAATGCTTCGTCGCGCTCCTCGTCCTGTTTGTGCTGTGCACGCATTTGCACGTATGCATTCACCACATAGTCCGATACACTGCGTGGGATCACGGGCCGGCACTGCCGCGCAGCAGCAATAAAGTGGCGCAGCAGATGCGGCGGCACCACATCCTGCGCCTGCACAGGCGGCGCACTGTACATATGGACATACGTGACGTGCTGAGCGAGCCGCTCGTCATCGTCACGGGAGGGCGAGTCAAGAATCAGATACAGGATGTCGAATCGGCTCAGGAGGGCGGCTGGCAAGTTGATATTGTCGACGGGCGAAACGCGTGGGTTGTATCGGCCATACAGCGGGTTGGCAGCTGCGAGGATCGATGTGCGTGCATTGAGCGTCGTGTTGATGCCCGCCTTCGAGATAGAGATGGTCTGCTGCTCCATGACCTCGTGGATCGCCGTCCGGTCGGCGTCTTCCATCTTGTCAAACTCGTCAATGCAGGCGATGCCGTTGTCCGCAAGAACAAGTGCGCCGCCTTCGAGCACCATCTCGTCCGTGACGGGGTCCCGCAACACCGCGGCGGTCAAACCGGCGCCGGACGACCCACGCCCTGTCGTGTACAGCCCACGGGGCGCGACCTTCGCAATATACTTGAGCAGCTGCGACTTGGCCACACCAGGATCCCCCATGAGGCAGACATTCAAGTCGCCACGAATCTTGAGGCCATCGCCCATCGTCTTGTTGCATCCGCCCACGAGCAGGAGCAGCAGCACCTTTTTGATGTCTTCATGGCCGTAGATCTCCGGCGCAATGCTCGATGCGAGTCGATGGTACAAGGACGGGTCCGAGCGCAATTCAGCTAGTTCCGCCTCCATCTCTGGCGTCGGCTCCATAGCCTCGTATGTCTTTTTCAGCTGGTGGATCGACTGTGCTTCCAGATACGTGTCAGTGAGCAGGCCAGCACGGATGCCTCGGAAGCCTGTGTATGGCAGCGGCAGGAATATGCCGCCCAGCTGCACAATGTCGCCGGGACTGACCTGCCGTGTGAGCCGGCCGTACAGGTGCACATTCATCGAGCGCGGAATATGCCCCACCGGCACCTGGTCGGTCATCTCCTGGATCCGGATCTCTTGGTAGGCGAGAAACTTGCTCGCTCTGGCCTGCGGATACAGCGGGGCCCGTGTCCTGTTGGTCACACACACCCGACTCGTGCAAAAGGTCAAGGGCATGTACTGCTGTCCGGTGACTTCTTGAAACACCTCGGCACCGCATACATCGCATGCGTACGCATCGACGAGAATCGACGGCTTCACATCGGAGATGCGTGTGACAATCCCGCGCACGCTCAAGAGCTTTCCAAGATGTGCGCCGCGAATCGCTCGTACGGGCAGGGACGCCGTGCGCGAAGGCGGGCGGAAATACAGCATGTAGCGGCGAAGAAGTGTGGGGGGAAATACCTCTGCTACTTCGCCCATGCTCTCCTCCTGTTGCTCGTTCATGGCATTGCGCTCCAGGCGCTGGTGCCGAATGACATCCAACACGTCGTCCTTCTCGGAAATGTCCCGGTCCGGATCAGGCATCATGCGGTCAATCACTTCACAGAACAAATTCAGATACCGCTTGGTGTTGGACTGGATCGCGACGAGCAACGTGCCTCCGATAAACTGTCCAGATGCGGAGCGATACTGTAGAAGGGAGTGCATATGTAAGTGATGGCTGTCACAGACCTAACGTCATGCGGCACACGTACCTGAGCGACATCGTCTAGATCAATGGCGAGCATCTCTTGATCGCGATTGGCTATCCGTTGCTGAGCAGGGAATCGTGTGAGTATCAATGGTTTTGCACTCGCTATCACGCCCATCCCAGTGCCTCTTCTTCTCCTGACGTATGCGGCCACGAGCGCGGCGCGGTTGGGGCATGCATACGTACCAGCTGGACCATGTATTTGTTTACGACGGCGTCCTGCGCCATGTCGGTGTTTTCGTACAGAGCATCAATCTCCATAGCACCTGCATCTGTTTCGCGTGCTAGTGCGGCCTCAGGCGACTCGTCCGGCATGTATGATGCATGCTGCGTACCAACATCGGCTAAAGATGGCACCTGGGCAAGCGATGCCTTGAAGTGTTCGAGAAAGTCTTGAATCTTGTCTCGTTCCTCATCATAGTTGACTGGCACATTGATTACGGGCAGGATCGGGCCCTGATTCCCGCTCATAGTATGCGTGGTATAGCAAAGTGCGGTGATGGACCGGCCCGGTCTCTCCAGGCCAACGTGGATGTGTGATCGACAACGATGTTAACAACGACTTCCACAACGCGTGGCGCGCGTGTGTTCCGCAGTGGCGAGACAGATGCGTGCGCAAAATTTGGGTCGTATTTTGGCACCTGACGTCGCCTGCACTATGAATTCTCCACCGGCTAGCTAGCAGCCCGGACGCTACAACGAATAAAAGTAAAATTATCCGAGATGGGGACGAATCCCACGAGAAGGGAGCGACAAAAAAAGACGAATGCGCCAAGGGGGAATCGAACCCCCGGCACAGCTAATCCATTACTTACATGGCAAAGCTGTATTTTACCACTAAACCATTGGCGCTAACTCGTGGCGGAAAACGGGCATGCATACAATTTAATATCCAATCTAATGTTCACTCACTCGACGCGTGAAGTCTGAGGAAGCATCGCTCGATCGCGTACTGACGGCGCTTTGGATGTAGGTTCATGGCTCACGCGGGTTTCTTTGCACACATCGTTGTTCCTATCATGCAGAACTATTTTTTTTCGTGCGCGTCCCAATCACGCTCATACTCACGCACGATTTCGAGACCTGGAAGCTCGCCTGCGACCGTGCCGTACAGAGCGTCACGCACTTGCGCACTTCGGAGCGACAGTTCGTCCTGAGCATATAGATCGCCATGTCCAGCGGTGTCACGGGCGCGGCGCGTCGGGTATGCAGATGGCGGCTTGACAAAGTGTGCACGCAAACCGTCTGAGTCATGCGCTTGTCGATGCCGTGGCGGCAGCGATGTGGACATTTTGCTCAAGAACGAGCTTGGCAGGCCCGCGTTCTCGTATGTGTCCATCTCGCTAAGTGTGTCACGGCGCGCTGTATGCCATGCCTCACGCTGATGATGCATAAGTTCATGCGTGTTGGAGCATTGTACGAAAGAGCGGCCAGACCGGTGGTTCAGGAACGGCCCCAAGATACTTTCGGCGACTTCGTCCCGTAGCTCCTGATCCTTGTCTCCCGCAACATCTGTGCGGTAGAAAGCAGGTGTGATGTGATACAGTGAAATGGCATGTCGCAAGTCTTCATCTTTCTGTCGCTTTACTTGCCGCCGCGTGCGTCGCGATACACTGACGCAGGCAGTCGTATGGATGGCATGCGTGTGGCAAGGCGTCCGCGATGCAAGCGGCACCAGCGCCACTGCTCTGTGATACATCATGAGGCAGAGATCGTACGGTACTCTTGACTCTGCCAGAGAGCAACAATAGAGTTTGCGACTGAAAGAAGCAAAGACCAAAACGAACGCTGCTAGTAGCTGTTGCTCTTGCTGCTGCTGCTGCTGCTGCTCCTTTTCTTGTCGCTCGTGGTCTATGACGGCGCAAACGCTCGCGACGAGACGACCGGCTCAGATCACGTGATACAATTCCTCACGCGTTGAGGTGGATGCACGCGAGCCCTGAGACTGAGCAAGTGAATGCGTGAGTGGGTGGATGGGTGGCTGGGTGATTGTGTGTGTTGGAAACAAAATGGGCTTTGTTCACGATACTTCTACACACAGACACATACAGTCACTCACACAGACATACACGCACACACACATACAGTTTGGGCGAGTCTCGACGTCTTTGTGGTATTGAGATAAAACAGCGAGTTTATTCCTCAAAGGCTATTTGCTGGGCATCGTTTTGAACATGTCAGTGTCGCAGCGTCCATTGCCGCAGCCATCAGGCTCGTTCGCTGCGTCGTCGCCCAGTGCCTATGATTTGTTTCATCGCGGCCATAAGCCAGTACGCCGGACTTTGCCACAAGCGGAAGCCACAGAAGAATTAGGAGCACATCGTTTCGGTGGACATGCTGACGAGGACTTGCCACCACCTGTGCCACCCAAGCCGGAGAAATCACACGAGAGGCCACGAGCACCGGTGCTTCCACACATGGATTTCCACGAGCACACAACATCGCGTAACAGAGAAACAGCGTCACCATCCTTCAAGATCCCACGCAAAAGACCATTACCACCGTTTCCAGCAATGGATACGTCGCCAACAACCACACCTACATCTTCGCCGCATCGACCGCTCCCTTCTGTGCGCCATGGGGCGCGTCCATTGCCCATGCCTGGCGCAAGTCACGTACCTATAAGCATGGGCTGGGTGGCAGGTCCTCCTGATAGCCCATCGCGGCCATGGTCAATGTATTCATTCCCACCAGCGCCAGCGCAAGTTCAAGCACAAGAACAAGTGCCAGTCGCCCCATGGCCATCAACACCTCCGCCAGCGCACCACTTGCCTCTCTCACAACCACCACCGTTACCGCCGCGGTCTGTGCCGCCGAAACCACCATCGCTTGAGCGAGTTGACTCGCCACCGCCATCTTTGCCTGTCGATTCCCCACGACGAGCTATGCCAGTGGCCACGGCCGCCACTCCTGCAGGAACAACACTGTCTGCATGCTCACAGCCTCCAGCCTCGGAGGCCACCGGGTCGTTGAAGCTGACGCCATCGACATCCACTCCGTCTGGATCAGCTACGTCCGCATGCTCTGCTATAAAGCCATCGGCATCGGCTCCTTCGTCTTCCAGCACATTGGCAACTGCGCCCCCTCAACATGGCGAGCATGACAGTTCACGCACACATCCCTCTCTGCCTGAACACACGAGCGACGTGGTCCCTGCCAATGCAGCGGCGTCCTCGGCCTCCTCTGCTAAGCCGCCGATCCCGCTGATCATGCTGGATGGTCACGTCATGACAGACGATATGATGGATCCAAGCTCACCTGACGTCTCGCACAATGTCGCAACAAGTGACGAGATGCCGGCGCCACAGCATGCATCGAGCTCGTCTGCCGCAGATCGGGAAACGACGCATGGTCCCTACATTTCTGAAGGCATTCACTCCATGTGCCATCGCTGTGGGCGCTGGATCGGTGGTTACATGGTACATGCAATGGGCCATGCATGGCATGCGCGGTGTTTCACATGTGCACATTGCCAAACGCCCTTGGAGCACGTATCGTTCTATGAGCATGATGGCGAGCCGTACTGTCACTTGGATTTCCACGAATTATTCTCGCGCCGCTGCTACCACTGCCAGACGCCGATTGTCGATGAAAGATTCGTGACGGTCGATGCGTTTGGTGATGTGCGCTCGTATCATGAAGCCCACTTTTTCTGTGCACAGTGTGGCGATCCATTTGTGGAGCAGAAAGACAGCGATGAAAGCACCACGTCCGAGTGCAGTCGGCCGTTCTTTGTGCATGGCCGGCATGCATACTGCGAGTCGTGTCACCGGCCGCGATGCCAAGCATGCAAGAAGCCAGTGGGTGACGAACATGTCCAGGCACTTCGTGCTGTGTGGCATCCTGAGTGCTTCGTGTGCACGCGGTGCCGAAAACCGTGTCAAGGTGCGACGTTTGTCGCGCCGGACGGGTCGCCGTGTGACTTTGACTGCTACCAGGCATGGGTCCGTGGCGGCCGTGGCGGGCCTGCGCCGCCAGCCTTTCTTGCCTAAATGTATATACAATTCCACATTCATACATACATACCTTCATACATACATACATACATTCATACATGCATTCATGCCAAAGGCTAGGGAAAGCCAATTAGCTAAGTACGCCTAAAGAGAGAGAGAGAGAGAGAGAGACAGAAAGAAAGAAAGAAAGAAAAGGATGGGCGTGCTTGTGATAGTCCTAGTGTGTCATGGCGACGGGCATGCGGGGTGTGAAGAGCGCCAGTCTTCGATCGTCAGAGGCGCCTGCTCCTTCCACACCACATGCCCATGCGTCGCATCCGTGTACAAGGGCGTTGACGTGGCGTCCTGATCCGCGTGCGCATGGAACGGCTCCGGATCCTTGCATTGTAGTATGTACTGCAGGCCCGGCGGCTGGGTGAGTCGGAACACACCCACACTCGGCTGCTCACGTGGCGCACAGACGACGGCAACGGCCTCGGGCAGGAGCGCCTGGTAGCCAGAATGAGTGTGCAAGTCGAGCGACGACAGGAAGCACGTCTGTGTTGGATGCGTGTGGATCCAGCCTATAGTGAGCAAATCGTGCTGGATCTGGTATGCGAGCAGCTGTTCTTCGCCATATGCCTGGCAGCTGTAGTTGGTGCCGGTCTGCTCGGGAATGACAAGATGTGTCACACACAAAGCGTCGAACCTCCGATGGCCCAGCAAATAGCCACACGTCTCGCGCTCTGCTTTGGTATTCGCCTGTGCATGTGCAAGGAAGCGCGTCGGGAGCGTGCCAGGCAGCACAACTTGCCGCAGTACGTCGCCAGCCTCTGTCGTAGGACACCGTGCCTGTTTGCCGTCCGTAGCAGCCGTAGCACCACTAGCAGCGGATGTGCGGGACTGCGCAGCAACTTCGCCGAGCTCCTCGCTCGGCAGCATAAACAGATCCAAGCTCGTCAATGGTGGTGAGCTCTGCACTTCTGGCAAGCGTGCCCAGCCTGCCAGATTTGTGCGGATATCCACGGACGATGGGCGCGGCCCGTGTGGTTTCGATGCGCGGCGCTGTAGCGGCATATGCGCGCGCGCGCGCGCATGCACTTCGCGGTCGCGGTCGCGGTCGCGATCGCGATCATAATCACGATCTTGATCTCGATGTCGTACAGCCTCGGTACTCGTACGCGCAGGAGTTCGCCGCTCATACTCCTGCTCGGTATCGGCCACGGACGCCAAGCGTTCTTTTCCTGCCGGTGCACGGGACGACGCTGGCATGCCTAGCAATGATGTGGAAGGACGAACGACGAGCGACGCGGGTCGGTCAGATGTAAGAAAGCGGCGCTCACTAGATCGGCGCCGCACCGACGGTGGCGAGCGAGAGAGACTCGCGATAGGCGCGGCAGATGATGATGTACGCGGCGGTGAGGATGTTGGTATAGGCGCCTGAGGTATCGAAGGTATAGAGGTGGAAAGGTATGTTGATCGCCTGGCAAAGCCCGTGGGAGACGATGCACGACTCGTCGACGGCGACAGAGTGGGCGGCGATGGGGAAACTGAGAGCGGCGGCGACACGGCTCGCGAGGCGGTGCGCGAAGCGCGTCGCGTCACTGTGGCCGGGACCGGTGTCGGCTTGTGCTGCGCTGTCGTAGAGTACGTAGTGCCGCGTCTGCCAACGGCCGCATCGGTGGGCGACATGGATCGGCGTGGATCTTGTCGTGGCCGCCCGTCAACCGGTGGTGGCGCAGCAGCGCGACTTGGTCCTGCTTCAACACTTGGCGGGTACGTGGGCATCGGTGCCGGATGTAGTGCGGCGTACGATGCTGGTCGAGTGTCTGGCTGCGTGGGTGGACGAGCGGTGGACGCTGACGCTCTCGCCTGTGCTGTGTGCTTGACATGCGAGGCGTGCGGGCGTGAGAAACGCTTGGGATCCGCTGCCACATAGCCCGACGCGGATGTCGACGTTGCGGGTACTGCAGGCTCTGCAGCGCTCGAGGCCCAAGCATCAGGCGTCGACAGAGGAAGGCCAGCCGGCCGCGATGAGAGCGTCGTTACCACCGCTGGTGCTGGCTTGTCACTCGATGAAGTTGCCGAGAGCGACGGCCGGTGCCATGGAAGGATCGAGCGCAACGACCACCCAGACCGCGGCGTCGTACGGTTCATTGAAGGTGACGAGACGGACTCTTCTGCGAATGAAACGCGTTTCCTGGTGGATGAGTTCCGGCGGAATGACGAGCGGCTCGGCGTGCCAGCCAGGGCCGACGGCGACAGCGGGGGTTTGTATTGGGCGGACGACGCGGACGACGCAGACGACCGCGCCTCGCCGCGAGCATCGAGCAAGGCATCTCGAGTGAGTGACACTAGACTGTGGATAGCCACGGCATTCTGTCGTTAGAAAGCATCACCAAGCACATACTGTCTGACATAATTCTTTGGTCTGCTAGTGTCAGTGACGCCGTTGTGCGGGAGTAGCTATGCCTGGCTACGCAGCAACCAGAAAGCCACGCAGCAAGCACCACGCAAACACGTACCTTGCTGTCCAATTTGTGCCATGCCGTATGCTCGTGGGGAATCAGCTCAGCGAGGATTCTGTGTATAAGTTGGATGGTCTCGCGCCCCAGCGTACGCACTTTTCGCACTTGGCCAGACTGTATGTGTGTTAGCCATCGTCGCTTATGCGAGAGAGAGAGAGAGAAAAAAAAAACCACTCGATGCTTATCGCATCCTACCAACATACCATAGGTATTGGCCTTCCAGATCACTCGCATGGTGATGCTGATCAGCCCGACGCTTGAGCACATCCGCACACCGGATCCAGTGACTGATTGGGACGGAGCTAGAGAATCGCAGCTCCTGCCGCAAGTCAGCCACCTGTTCGTCCAGTTCTTGCAGCGATGCGGGCCGCCGGTTGGTGCGTGAGAAGAACCCGGCTCCCGGCTGCGTCTGTGGCTGCTGCGTGTCCGTCCGCGCAAGAAGGCTCACCTGGTTCATCGGTGACGTCAGCATCCTCTGCTCTGCCAGGGTCCCTGGTGCAGAGCATGGTACGGCTGATGCCTCTTGCGCGCGGAATCGGCGCAGTTTCATCTTATGTCAATGAGCGATCGGTGCGCGCCACCGAGCTTATCACGGGCGTGGGGGGAAACTCGATAGCCGATATGTCTGCGTGGACCACCACCCACCCACACATGACGCGGCCTGCACGAGACTCGACACGTGGCCCTGGCCACATGGCGCGCGCGACGCGCACCACTCGCGCACGAGCTCGTGCGCTGAGCTCTGTTATGTGTCTCCACAGTGCGTCTTCATGCACTCCCTCTGATTCCCTTGACGGGCGCCTTCTGACCAATCAGTGCACATGTGGAGTAGCGGCGTGTCTGACGCGTTCGTGTGTGTGTGTGTGTGTGTGTATATGTTTTTCCAGCGAGACGAGTTCGTGGACAAGTGTGCGTGCGACGCGTTCATTCCTGTTCACTGCATGCTCCTTAGGCCCTAGCCGGCTTTTCCTGTAGGTGCAAAAGAAGCGTACACGACCGACCATCGCATGAGCGCATCTGTGCGAGAAGCCAACCTGCATGTAGGTGGTAGTAGCGGGCGCATCGTGCATGTGACCGACATCCAAGGCAACACACGCCTTCCACGAGCGCAGCTTTTAGACCGCTTACGTGCACAGCAGGGCTTGGCGTATGTACCAGAGCTGGAACTTGTGCGTGATGTGCTGTACTTGATGCAGGGCATCTCTGGCACACATGTACGTCTGCACCATGCATGGCAGCTTCCCTCGGACAATGGATCTCACGAGGCTTGCACGCACATGCGCCTGGATTTCGACGAGCATGCCGGCATGATCTCGCCGCCCACACGCGATCTGATCCACCGCCTCGCTGAACTGGGCCAGCTGTTTGAGCGTGTACAGGCTTTCGTCGACAGCCACGAGAGCCAGCCTGTTGCAACGCATCTCACAGCGCAAAGTCTATGCCACTTCTTGACCGGCGAGCTTCAAGCGCACAACGCGCTGCTGACGGACCTCGACGCGCAGTGGCATGCACAGGCCGAGGGCGAGAATCTATCGCCGCCACTCACGCTACAACGCCTCGCCCAAGTGACAAGTGAGCCCATGATGCGGATGCGTCTCATGAGCACCATCGTCGAGAGCTGCCGACACGCACATGGCGGTGCGCTTGTATCGACGATTCATACATACACACTCACAGGGCACCCATTTATCCGGCGATGCACAGCCACGATGCTGGACCACGTGTCTCGGCCCTTTTTTCATACGCTCTCGCGCTGGATCTATGATGGCGAGCTGGACGACCCATTCCACGAGTTTTTCGTCGCTCGCGCACCGCCGAGCCAGACACGCAAGCCCCCACTCGTCGACGATCTCGTCGTGCCGACAGAGCTTGGCACAGATGCCGCTGACGTTTGGCACAACCGATTCGTCTTGCAGCTCCAGATGCTCCCGAGCTTCTTAAGTGAGCACTTTGCACGCAAGATCTTCTCCACCGGCAAGAGTCTGCATTTCCTGCGCGACTGCTGCAGCAGTGGCCATGGCCATGCCGAGTACGGTGACACAGCGCAGCCGTCTGTCGCACTGGATCCAGAACAGGCGCGCTTACGCACTCTTGGCTACGGATCCGCGCATCGTCGTGAGCTGCGGTACTCGGACATGGCGGGTCTCGAGCATGCCATCGATGCCGAGTTCGCTCTTGCTAGCGGACACTTGTGCATGAGGATGCTTAGCACATTCCGTCTACTGGATCACTTGCGTGCGCTGAAATCGTACTTACTGCTTACGCAAGGCGACTTTGCCGATGCGCTGCTCGAGACCCTTGGCCCGAGTCTTGCGCGGCCTGCGTCGACGCTGTATCAACACAATCTCAGTGCGGCCCTCGAGACGGCGATCCGCGCATCCAATGCGCAGTTTGACGATCCCGAGATCCTGCGGCGTCTGGATGCCCGCAGTCTTGAGTTTGGCCCTGGCGACACGGGCTGGGACACCTTCACACTCGAGTACCGCGTCGATTCGCCCGTCAATGCCGTGCTGGACGCATCTGCCATGGCCGGCTACCAGCTACTCTTCAACTACCTATGGCACACGAATCGCGTTGCGGCCCGCATCACCGCCGCTTGGTCACAGCTTCTGTCGGTGCAAAAAGCCGTGTTACGCAGTCGACACCGCAAGCTGGTCGATCGCGCTCTCATGCGCCAACTGCGCGCTACCCTGGGCCATGTGTGTGAAATGGTGCACTTTGTTCGTCATCTGCAGAGCTTCATTGAACTCGAGGGCATCTCGTATGCATGGCAGCGTCTGGAGCATGACCTGACCGTCACGAAGCCGAGTGACTTGGATCATCTTGTCGACATCCACCGCACCTATCTCCACATGCTCATAAGCACGACGCTGATGCGCGGCCGTCGCAGTGCGTCCGACCATCTCGCGAGCGACGTGCGTGCACAGCTGCACGGCATCCTGGCATATGCCGATGCCACCGACGAGCTGGGCATGTACGTCACATCGGAACTTGCCCGCCTGGCGGGCGGCGTCGACCCGCTCTCGTCGGCGGCTCGGACGCATGCTCACGTGTCGCAACGCCTCGTCAACGAGCACACGCAGTTCCAGCACCGGCTCCAGAGCATGCTTGCCGCGCTCGAGCGCCATCCGACGCTCACTGTGCGCGATCTCGCACGTCGCTGGAACTTTAACAATGTATATTACCGGCGCGAGCGCACCACGGTCAGCACAAGCCATGCTACTACTACCACGTCGGCGCTCGCACGTTAGCATGCTGCAAGAGTCGCCGCACATGTGTATCCACTCGGAATCCGTGCCACGGGGGAGCACTGAACTTGGCGACGAGCCGCGTCCACACATCAGCCATGTACATCGAGCTGGCTTCGCGACTCCTAGTGTCGTCTGTGCCGCTGCCCTCGCTATGTGGCACCGCATGCACGCGCCATACAGCCCGGAGCACCGTCGCGATCTGCCGTGGCGACGGTGCTGGACTGGCACATGATCCGGAAGGCTTGACTCGCAGGTATCCGTCGATCAGTTCCGCGAGGATCGGCTCTGATTCTCGGGTGGTGTGTTTTCTGCGTGCCAGCACGCCCAACAGAGAATGGTACACGGCTAGTGTGGGTCCCTGCATGCCATCACCGTCACCGTCACCGTTGCTGCTGCGGCTGCTGCCACTCTTTGACTCGAGGCCGTCATGCAGCACATGCAGTGCGCCGTACAAGTCGTCGTGTTCTGCCAAAAGGCGCGTCACGGTCGCATATGTCTTGGATGTGAGCGCCAAGTTGTCTGGCACGCTCGTGAGCCCTGTCACTCGACGCCATGCATCCATGGTAGCGTCGTCCACCTGAAGTGCATGTGGATGTGCCATGCTTGTACAACTACGTCCGCTCGCGCCCTGTCCGCCCAGCTCCCGGCATAGCGCCGCGTATCGTAGCACTTCGTACACACACCGCACATGCAGCGCAGGCGTCGCATCTGTCGAAAGTTTCGCATACGCGTGTAGGACCACATGAATCGCATCGATCGTCAGCATCCGATGTGTCTCCATCTGCCGCATACAGTCGTGCACACGCTCCAACTGACCCAGGCGCGCGTACAGTGTCAGCCGGATGCACCATGATACGCTCGATGGCTGTGTCGTGCGCCACCGAGACATGTGTGTCCACACGTCGTCAAAGCACTGCACAGCCATACGCGGCGTGAGTGGCTGCATCTGCAAAGTATGCTGCAGCGCCGGTGCAAGGATCGCCGCTGGCACAGCTGTCGTGGGCCGCCGCCACCGCCACCGCTGCCGCTGCCGCTGCCGCCGCCGCTGTGCTCGGTCATTCGGCTGGCCCGTTCCACACTGCACCAGAGCGTGAAGGAGGAAATTGTATGTGACTGTATCAGGGAACGCACGGTACGGTGCCGTGCCTATGCCGGCCATGGGCGTGTATGATGGCGGCGGTGTGAACAGGCGTGTCTCTTGCAGGGGCATGCATGCTGACGTCCAAGCCGAGGTTGTGTCGTGTTGTTGGTCAGCATGTGCGCTAGACTTGTCGTGGTCGCTACAGTGGCCGGGCTTCGCATTCTCCGTACGCGTATCACGCATGGCTGTACTCTGCGTGACGACAGCTGCGCGTGCAAGCAGGTCGAGCATGTCTTGCAATGCAAGAAACGCCGATCTTCGTCGCTGTGGGCGTATGCAGGTCAGCAGACTATTCCATAGAAACGCATCCTGCAGCATGTAAACGAGTTCCGACTGCACGAGTACATCCGCTGCGCTTATAGTGTCTGGCGTCTTTGCCAGGGCCTGCTGTGCATGTTGGATGTGCTCGACAACCAACAGCACTTGTTCCACAGTCGCCTGTGTGTGGGGACGCGTGCCTAGGAGCACATGTAGCATGCCGCGAAACTCCACTGGCGTTAGCACAGTGGTCGGTTGCCGTGCCAGAGCGATGAATGCATCCATCGCACGCTGGGCATGCCGCTGTGCTAGTGCATCGTGTAACGTCGCAAGTTGCTGCCTTTGGCGCTCCCACGTCCCAACTGCTGTGTGGACAAGTCGCGGCGCCGTCCAGCTACGCGCATACACAGGCCATGCCACGCATGTACTCGCTCGAGCACGTGCACATGCTACGAGCATGCACTTGGCCGCAGTGCAAATGTATGTGTGTTGTGGAAAATGACCAAGGGCAGGCACATCCGACCGACGCCGGGCCTGTGTGTCGATGCGGTCGACCGCCCATTGTCGATGGAGGCGTGTTTCTTCTCCACTGCTCGCCTTCACTGCTAGCCCCTTCCCTGTTCCTCATCCCGCAGATCCGTCTGATCCCACAGCAGTCCAGTGCGTGGTGGGAGCTCGTTCGTATGGCTGGCCTCGAGTGCAAGTACACACACATACACTTGTGTGTGTGTGTGTGTAACAACAGCCGTGACCAAAGACGGTCATAGGCATGGCGCTTAGTACGCAAAAGTGCCGACGGAGTACATCGTCAGGCAGGCTTGGCTGCAAGCGCATCATAAACATAGACATGTCTACAAGAGTCTACTGCTCACGCCAGGAGTTCTTGAATCACGATTGTGCTGGGCCCTGGCAGATTTGCACCTTGATGCATGCTTTCCCATCTTCGCCGCGGCCAGCTGTGACTACGTCAAACGCTTTGACAGCATCGGCAAACACGTAGCGATGCGTCACGAGACGAGCCACGTCGACACTCCCTGACGACACTAGCGCGATGGATTTGTCGTAATCGCCACTACTGTAGCGGAACGATCCCAAAAGCTCCACCTCCTGCACGGCACAGGCGGGTAAGTGGCACCAGCACATCAGGGCGGCCCATACCGACAGCAACGACGCGACCCTGTGGTTTGGCTGCCCAAACACCGAGCATGATGCATGACTGAGCGCCTGTAGCATCTATCACGAGCTCAAAGCCATCGTTGCGCAGCACATCATCACCCAGTTCTTCCTTCAGTGCACAGGCTGTCCGTGCTGCCAGGTCGCCTTCCGACTCGCCAACCTGCGGAGAGTTGGGCTTGAATGTGGACGTTGCACAGAATTCGCGTGCAAAGACGAGCTTCTCGTCCACGAGATCCGACATGACCACGCGTCGTGCGCCGTATGCACGCGCCACGGCACCACACAACAGGCCAATGGGTCCAGCGCCCAGCACCAACACATTCTGCAGTGCACGCACGCCGGCACGCGTCACTACTGCATGCACAGCGACACTGAGAGGCTCCATGAGCGATGCCTCTTCGAGCGACATGGTGTCCGGGACGTTGTGCGCAAACGATGCATGGATGTTGTAGTACGTCGCAAGCGTTCCATCGTAGGGTGGTGTTGCAGCAAACACGAGCTTGCGGCATTGGTTGTATTTGCCTTCGAGGCACAATCCACACGACAGACACGGCACGCCAGGCTCCAGTGCGACACGGTCACCCACGGCGTGCGACTTGACGCCAGGCCCCACCTCTGTGACGATCCCGGCAGACTCATGTCCCAGGACCATAGGACTCGTTAATACAAACTCACCAATCCGACCGTGTGAGCGATAGTGGCAATCCGAGCCGCACAGCCCCGTCTGTCGTACGTTGACACGCACTTCGCCATCATGTAGCGGACGCACAGGCCTGTCTTCAAATGCCGTGTCCTGGATGCCTCGCAGCACGAACGACACAGTCCTTTCGGCTGGTGGTGTCGGTAGACTATTTTCCATCACCGACGTCATCATGGCCCGTGGGTCAGTGGGAAAGATTTTGCCCGCATCCTGCCGTAGAGGCGAGGAAAATTTGCACCCCCCCCATCTTTCTCTGCCTCTTGCGCACATGCACAACCGATGTGTGTGGAGACGCGCCCACATGGCCGGTCACCTCTCTCTGATGGTGCCATTCGGTCGATGACCTTGTCCTCTGTCCTCTACGAGGCTCTGCGTCCCAGAGTCGGCAGTCACATTCTGCATGGTCCTGGTGCACGGATTTACGAGTATGTCTGGGTTCGGTCGGGGTTCATCGACACTCCCTCGTGCCGCCGGCACACGACCCCACCTCTTTCGCGTACGTCAAGTCAAGGGCGCCGGCGCCACACGCGTATGGAGGGTGCTCATCGCTGCTATTTGCTGACAAAGCAAAGCCGATCCGTGAGGCACAGTCTCGCATGGCATACGCGCAGATCGGCGGCGAGCTTATCAAGATGCACGGACATCGGGCACGGACTCGTTTTATGAGGCAACGGGAGGAAATGGGTGTGGAAAGGCGGAGAGAAGACGGGGAGAGGGAGCCATGATGGAAAGGAAAAGGAGGGGAATACATATCAATACGAAGATCCGACTACATCACAACGCACTTGGACGGCTGCGCTTCAGCACCGCCAGGCGATGACGCCTTTTCAATCTCGGCAAGAACAAGTTCAAACACCTTGGCTGCGTGTGTGAGCAAGACACTGTATGATGATGATAAGGCACAACGTACCAACGTTAGCATTGTGTCGCGCACTTGTTTCGATCCATGCGCAATGTAATGATTGTGCAAGTGCTTTGCCTTCTGCTTCCGAGACTTGGCTGTACAGGAGGGTTAGTGGTTTGCTGATACGATCGGGTCAAGCGCAAACAGAGGAAGAGGAAGAGAAAATGGAAGAAGAAGAAAGAGCAAAGAAAAAAAAAACGACAAGGCACAGTACGCAATAAGCGAATGGCCTTGTACAAGTCTGCACCTCTCGTGCACCCAAACGCCCACTCTCAATCACGCCGCTCGTGCGCATAAAATACATACCGCTGGGAGTGCAAGTCGCTCTTCTGACCCACCAACACACATGGTACTGTGGATGTGCCAGTATAATTCAGGATCTTATCATAAACAGTTTGAATCATCTCGAAACTCGTGCGAGAAGCAATGGAATACACGAGTACGTAACCATGAATACCTATTGCATGCTTCGAGTTCAGGATCGAGTATTCGTCCTGCCCTGCTGTATCGACAATATCGCACTGGAAGTCTTGTCCGCGGTGCTTGACGGTTTTCTCAAACACATTCTCAATCGTTGGGTAATAGGAATCCACGAAAGCATCTTCCACAAATCGAACAACCAGAGACGATTTACCTTGGCTCCGTTAGTCTACGTCGTGCGCTCGCGCGACATGCGAACGGGACGTTTTCAACAGCCTGATGTGGTCTTGAAACTTGATCCCGTCTGCACACACGTACCGACCGATCGTGATCCTAGCACGGCAATCTTTCGCTTCTTAGATAGCTGTTGTGAGCCCGTTGGCGACATGTCTGGAAAACCACCACACCAGGCTACTCAAATCCAGGATGCGAAAATAAAAAAAAATACTGCTGGCTGTGGCCACTGACAAATACAACTACAAGGCAGCGGCTAGATCGCTTGCGCCTGTTGTTGCGGCTGCTGCTGCTGCTGCTGCTGCTGCTGCGCCTGAATGCGTGGAGGGAGGGAATCGGGCGCGAGGGCCACCACAAAGACGAAATCGGCACGCACAATTGCGGAGGTGGACGGGCGGGCTGGCGGCCTGCCGGCCAGTCATTGCCGACACACACACACACATCTACAATCATTTGTCCTTTGCGTGGCAACACAGGTGGAGGCCCTGGTTGTCACCTGCCTCGCGTGACATGTGACCGGGGCGCGCGTGCTGGTCTTTATTTTTTCGACGCATCCAGCGCACAGATCTGTCCGAATGCGACCGGACCATGTTGCTTGGGACCATGTGCGAGCCAAAGCGTGTGAGCCGGGCGGCTGGGATGCCGCGCATATACATCGGCCAGAGACATGGAATGCAATGTGGCAGTCGTCGCTGCCTGACGCCGTAGACTCGAAAAACAAGATCACCCTCCACCGATCGTGCCGCACGCTGACGAGTCGCAAGTGGCTCTCGATGTAAAGCGCAGCTTCCATACCTGGGACGATTCGTCTGTAGGAGATCGTGCTGTCCGGCAAGAACAGCTTCGTTGGATCATTTGCGATACTCTTCGAGCGTACCCATATCTGCACTACTATCAGGGCTTTCATGATGTGGTATCGGTGGTTGTACTGACGATGTGCGAGGCGCCCCAGCAGACAACACCAGCAGCCACCGCAGAGACATCGATAAGGGCATCTAAAGAACCGGCAAGGTCTCCCATCTATCATGACACTCAGATATGGCCAGATCAGCACGTTCAGAAGAGCATTCAGCGGGTCGTGCGACAAGTCGCCGTGTATTTCCTGCGTGATTGCATGACAAAGGATCTGCTTCCTGCGATGGGCCAGCTCAAGGTTGTCCAGCATATTTTGCGAGCGGCTGATGCTCCGTATGCATATGCCCTAGAGCGTGTATTTTCGCCGAACCATGTGGTGGTGTGCCTGTCGTGGCTGCTAACGCTTTTTGCGCATGACGTATCGACGCTACGCACAGCGCAGCGAATCCTCGACTTTGCTTGGTCGTTTGGCCCAGCTAGTATCCTGTATGTATGTGCGTCGGTCCTTCTTTCCCAGAAAGAGTCCCTGCATCCTCGCTTGTATGCGATGGATGTAGCAGAGGTGCATCAGCATCTTTCGGACGCACCGCGTTCCCTCGCGGCTGATGATGTGCTCGCGGACACTCTACAGAAAGCGGCATCTCTTATGCAGCAGTACCCACTTACATGCCCGGCTGTCCACGCGCACCATGTCCTGAGTTGCGAAAGTGTGCTTTTCACTTGGCGCGCTGAGCGTGTGAATATCCCCATGATCATGCAGTTGCCGACGACGCACATTGCGTTGGATGTCATGCCATCGCCACGCGACGAGGTTGACTTTCATTCTGTCGTTCGCTCGCACTTGCGGCCTACATGGCATCGTATCTTCCGTGAGCTGGCTCACTTGCATCCCATGCGCCGCGTGCTTCTGTACCCCAAGGCCCTCTTTGTCTCGTCGCTCTCCCTGCTGCTGGGCGGCAGTGTTGTGACACTTTTGCTTGCGATACATGTCACGGACCACGGACGCATCGCATAAGCTTGGGAACGGATCGTTCTTCTCCTTTTTGTAGTTAGCTCATCTATGTGTATGCCCTGTGCATCCATCCGTCCCACATTGTGGCGCTTGGCCGATCTGAATACTTCGCTCCCTTGCTGCGCGTATACTCTCGCCACCTCCACAGTCCGTTACCTCTTCTCCCTCCCCCTTGCCCTTGCCCTTGCCCTTCCTGTTCCAGGTGATTGATTAGTCAGCATCTGTCGACTCGTCGGCTCGGTCGTTGTGGTTCACCCTCGCGAGTGTGAGGGGGGAGGGGTGGGGAGGAATTCCTTTGTTGCAGTAATTTTGTGCCTACATCATGGTGGCTGGAGCCATGATGAATCTGACCCTGTACACGACACGAGCTGGTACGTGAGCTGCATACATGCATGCATTTGCAGAGCTGTCTCTCACACTGTCGCACCAATAGTGATTTTGCTCGACTCCGAGGGTCACAGGATTCTGGCCAAATACTTTCAGCCGCTAGGCGCAGCGAATAATGATACCACGTCCGCAGTGCACCTGTGCCAGCGCTCCCACTGGCCTTGCGCCTCTCGCATCCAAGAACCCGTATAAAGACAAAGCAGCAGCGGATATTTGAGCAGGGCATTTGGGACAAGGCTCGTCGAGCTTCCGGTAAGAAAGAGAAAGCTGGTGCCGGTACCGATACCGATGCCGATACCGATACCGGCCGTGTTGGCACTCCCACTGACATATCAGGTGATCTGTTCCAATTCGATGGAAACCTCGTTCTGTTTAAATCTTCGTATGATGTGTATCTATTTGTGGTGGCGCCTGATCGTGAGAATGAATTGATGATCCATCACTTTTTACAGTCTCTCCATGACACGTTAACAATCCTGCTTCAAAGCCAAATCGATAAGCGCACGGTGCTGGACAACTTGGATCTCGTGACGATTGCCATTGATGAAAGCGTCGACGATGGGTACGTGTATGCTGTGTTCTAACACGGGTAGTGTGATTCTCGAAACAGACAGTGCTGCTGTTGCCAACCGTGTCACGCGCACGCGGCCCGACACTATTGAAGTCCAGCTCAATGAACAGAGTACGTGCTTACTATCTATTTATCGCACTCACACACACTCTCTTTCTCTGACACCTCACACACAGCCTTTATGAATGCATACACCAACTTCCGCGACAAGTATGTATGATGGTGTGAGAAAAATTCGAGTCTAACACTTGACAGAGTGGCACAACGTCTCAGTGGTTTGTAGACAGACAGGAACGAGAGTAGGAGAACGTATGCGTATGGTGAGCGCCTCGAACTGCCCGCCCCAAGCATGCAAGAATGACTTGTCCGTCGCCATCCACATCGGATGCCTGGATATGTGGAGATGCACCGGCGATACGAGAAGGGGAGGGGAGAAGGTTTGTCTTGTCCCACGTGATATATCACGTGCAGATCAACACACCGACACGCATAGAGGGCACACGCGTCAGTGATGATGGGTGAGGGAGAAAGTGTGAGTGTGTGTTTATTGTTGCTTGCTGCGATCGTTGTGAGGTATAGTGACGAGACACAAAGAGGGGAGTGCCGACACACTCAGACCATGAGCGCGACGACCAGGTCGCAGCTTCGTGAGCCTCTACGACCGCATGTATCACTACTACAAACGGATGCGCGTGGGAAGTTTGAGCTCCCACCATTGAAGCACGTATCAAAGCCAGACGAGGTTCGTGGCGCAGGCCGGCCGCGGTCGGTAGCGTCGCCAGGCCCCATAGGAACAGATGTCAAGGTGCATTCTGTTCAAACTGACCACAAACTAGCGTCGAATCCCTTTGTTCAGCAAGCAGCAGCACAAGCACGAGAAGCTGCTGCTCATGTAAATGAACGATCCCCTTATCGCGGACGTGGCCGAGAAAATCGTCCTATTCATCCGTCGGCCGCGGGCGCTGTCACGACAAAAGCAGGTGGAAGTAAGCCAGAGACGGGCTTTGCTGCGGCTCGTCGATTGTTTGCTGCGCCTGCGTCGCAGGAGTCGTCGGTTATGAGCCGCAGCAAGACGGCACGCAAAATCAGCGAAGCTTCAGGCGCATTGGGTACCTCACGCATTCGCCTATCGCGCCAGAGTCTTGCGTCATTTCCGAGCGTAGAAGCCAATGTGAGCAAGGCTTCTTCTGGGACATCTGTCACAGCCACTACAGCAGCAGCAGCAGCAGCAGGAGTGGCTGGGGCTGGGGCTGGGGCTGCCGGCAGCACTAGTGCATTAGGGACTCGGAGTGTCCTTCCGTCCATGCCCGAGCACGCCAGCAGTGTAAGCGGACTTGGTGGCGGAAGCAAGTGGCTCGAGCAAGAACGCGATAATATTCAGGCATACGAGTACTTGTGTCACTGCAGTGAGGCTCAACAGTGGATGGAGCGGTGCATTGGAGAGCCGCTGGGCGGCGACATTGCGAACATGGCAGAGGAGATGCGGAATGGCATTGCGCTTGCCAAGCTCGCCAAGTCCTTTGAACCAGCGTGTGTGCCGCGGATCTTTGTGCACCCGAAGCTGCAGTTCCGTCACACGGACAATATCAACTACTACTTCCAGTTTGTTGACAAGATCCGACTTCCGAATTGCTTCCGCTTTGAGCTGACAGATTTGTACGAGAAGAAAAACTTTCCCAAGGTTGTGTACTGCTTGCATGCACTGAGTCACTTTATGGCGCACCACGGTCGCTCCGATAAGGTCGACGATCTCGTCGGCAAGCTGGAATTCAATGAAGAGCAGCTATGCAAGACACAAAAGACGATTGATGCGGCTGGTATCGCGATGCCAAGCTTTGGTGGCGTTGGCCAGGCACTTGCACAGGAGATCGGCGCTGGCGCCAGTGCATGTGGAAGTGCCGACGCAAGGACGGCGGGCGCGAGGCGTGCGGGAGCCAATGCCAGCGATGTGCGTGCGTCGTCTGTGCAACGAGCTCCCGAGGCATCGACGCTTGTGACGCAGCGTGCCCATCTGAGGCCGGTGCCTGCGTCGCCCACCAAAGCCAAGACGGCGACAGCGACGGCCATAGCGACAGGCGCAGCACCCCATAGCGTCGCGTCGCTCCGTGCCCACCTCAAGCCTGTCGACAGTGAGCCGACACTCCGGTCCACCGACCCGCGTGCACGGGATGCCTTGGATCGCGAACGCGAACGCGAGCGAGACCATGATCGACAACGCGATCGCGAGCGCGAGCGCATCGCACGGATGGAAGAACGCGAACGTGCGCGTGTGCAGCGTGAACAGCGCGAGCACGAGCAGCAAGAACGCGAACGCGAGCGCATCAGGCTGCGCGAGGAGCGTGAGCGGCGCGTGCAGGAGCTCGAGCGCGATCGTGTGCAGAAGCGCAAGGATCAGCAGCTCGAGCGGGAGCGCGAGCGCGAGCGCCTGCGTCTCGAAAGCCAGCGCGAGCTCGCAGACGACCGCGAGCGTCGAGAGCGTCTGTACCTGAATGCGCGTACATCGACGCAGCGCGAGCTGGCTCTGCAGCGCGAGCATGAGAGTGCGCTGCGCCAGCGCATGGAAGAGCGCATGCGCGAGGCCGAGGACCGTGCTCGTGCGCAAGAGCAGGCACGCGCCGACGAGCGGGAGGAGCGCTTCAAGCGTGAGCTCGAGTACGAAATACAGCGGAAGCGCGAGATGGACGCGTATGCAGCGGAGCTCGCGGCTGCGCATGCCGAGACGGCCGCCGTCGAGGCGCGCCTGCTCGCCCTTACAGAAGAGGCTGCACGCCGCGATGCCGCAGATCGCGCCCGCGCCGAGACACGGCTGGCCGTCCCACTGCAGGCGGCCGTACGTGGTCTGCTGGCGCGGCACGCGCACAACGCACGGCGCATGCCGATCCGCTCCCATGCCGCGACGTGGACACATCTGCAGGCACATGTGCGAGGCGCGCTGGTGCGCCAGGCGCTCTACACGACGCTCAGCAGCCTCGATGACATCTGGGCCGTGCAAATGCAGGCGGCAGTGCGTGGCATTCTCGCACGGCGCTCGCTGTATGCGACGATCATGCAGGCAGAGGCCCATGCCGACTCTATCACGCACATCCAAGCTATGGTGCGTGGCATGCTCGCTCGACGCGCCCTGCTCGCCAAGATGCGTGCCATGGACGAGAGCATGGCATGTGCGACGGGCCTGCAGGCTGCCGTGCGCGGTGCCCTCGCTCGACGCGCCTTTCGGCAGATGCGCATGGCGTTTAGCCGCGTGGCGGTCGTCAAGGCAGGCAGCCCGGCATCGGGTTTGGCAACAATAGGCACGTCCAGAGGACCGGCGGCGTCAGGAACGTCAGGAACGTCAGGAGCCTCGGGAGCCTCGGAAACCTCACGAGCATCAAGAGTGTCAGGAGCGCCCGTGTCTGTCCGTGCCTCGCTGTCCCGCAAAAAGCATCACCAAGAGCTCCGCAAGCGCATGGAGTATGTGCGGCCGGACGTGAGCGGCATCCAAGCACAGATTCGCGGCGTCCTTGTGCGCCAGGACTACTCGTGGTGGCAGGCCCATCTGCACGGCAGCGTGGATGTCGTCGTGTACCTGCAGGCGATGCTGCGTGGTGTGTTGGCGCGGCGGGCGTTTGACGATGGCCTAGGCCGCTATCTCGCGCATGTGCCCGACATTGTGCGCGTGCAGAGCCTGTTCCGCGGACGGCGCGCAAGTGCGCACTACCAGGCGCTGCTGCGGGGACACCATGTGCCGCTCGAGACCGTACGTGTGTATGCGCACCTGCTGGACGACGGCAGCCGCGACTACGACGACGAGGTGCAGCTCACGCAGATGCGCACGCAGGTCGTCCAGCGCATCCGCGAGAACCAGTCGATGGAGACGCACGTCGCTGATCTTGACCGGAAGATCGCGTTGCTCGTCAAGAACCAGATCGGCATCGAAGAAATTGTCAAGGCCAAGACCGAGCGCGGCTGGCTCGGCGCCGGCTCGGCGACGGCACGCGACCACGTCTTGACACAGGCAAATGACCCCTTTGCCGAGCATGTGCTGAGCGCCGAGGCACAGAAGCG